AGTGATTAAGACAGTCTTAGAAGTTACAAAATTTAGACTGACAGATGAGAATCAGAAGTAAAGCACCAGTGTAAGGAATGTCTTGTCAGACAAATGAGTTAGAATTCAGTAAATCAACAAAAATGGAAAGTTCTTACCAAATGGGACCAAAAAAAATGAAAACAAAAGAGAAACAACTCCCACTCACAGATGTACATTCTATAGCATCAGTATACTAGTTCAGAAAAAGATCTATAGCTAACTTATCTAAAATACTAGTAGCCATGTGCACGAATCTGTGTGCCAGTAGCTCTCTGCCACGCCCTCTTATAGCTCTCCACCTGCTGCCCTGCCCTTCGGTAGCTCCCCTCCCCCTCATAGCCTACTGCTCTGCCCCCTCCTGTAGCTCTCTGCTGCCTGCTTGTAGTTTGATGCCCCACCCTCTTGCAGAACCGTGATCCAGTTGTTACGTGGTCAGTCGTTACGCCTCATGGCATAATGGATAATTAGCATATCCCTCTCTTATTATATGATATATGCAAACAAGCCAGATGGGCGTGGAGATGTATAGTTTCAGCAGTTTTCTTGAAGACAAAGTGCAGAAACCTTGGCTATCGCTTTGAATGGTAGATATTTGAACTTTAATACACAATATACCTCTTATTTTGAAAAGAAAAGATTGGAGGAAATGAGTGATGTGTTTGATTTAAGTATTCAAGTTAAAAAGTTGCTAATGGTAGACTTTCTTAGGGCAAGAGAAAGGATCATCTTTAGGCATTGTAGAGGTAAGGATCTTTTTTATAGCAAGCTTTTGATCCACAAAATATTAGAGCTAAGAAGGGCTTTTGATGCTACTTAATGAAAGTTTTATTTACAGAGAAGGAAACCGGATCCTCGGATAAAGTGGTTAGCCCTAGTTCACCCAAGAATTTAGAAGCAAAGCTTTTCTACCACGTGCATGTATTTGTAGAAAATTTGTGGCTACTCCTATTTGAGTAACCAATATTCCTATTATCAAAATTGTCTCCACCTAGTGGCAACAGATATTTTGCAAGGCTGAGTATAAACTTGAGAAAAACTGTTGGGTAACTTCATTGATCACTCCTTTTGAAGAAGAGTCAGCCTGGTGACAAACTGTTGCCTTTACAGAGGGAAAAGAGGAGACAGCGTGCCTAATACTTGCATGTGCCACAAGTCCAAAAATTGAGGTTAGCTTCTCATCCCTTTCTAGAACATGCATACCATTGCCTGTTTAAAATTATATAGTAATTTTAAATATATATTTTGCTATCTCACTTTAGATTTTTTTTTTTTTTAAAGTACTGACTACTAGACAACAAGCTTGGCAGCTTGTGGCTTTACTCTCCTTTTTTTCTCATTTATTGTTTCCCCTGTATTTTACCTCCTAAGTGTTTTTCAGCTCTGCCCCTTCTAATTCATACTGATTATAAAAATGTATTCATTTTTCATTTGGATTATTGCACAGTTCTTCAACTAAATTTTGCTTCCACAGGTCCATCCTCCACTGCTGCTGGAATTGATTTGTGGGTTTCAAATATAAATCCGATTTTTATCATTTCACTGTGGATTTCCCCCAACACCTTTGCATGTGGCATAGTAGGCCTCCATAATCTGGTCTACAGTTTAATTCTTTAGCCTCTGTTCTACGTCCAACCTCCCTCTTTTCTGTTAAGCTAAAAAAACAAAAAAACAATAAACAAAAAGGAGAGGCAACAAATGTTTATTTGGGATCAAAAGAATTGCAATTTTGGAAACACTGAAACTGGCCTAATTATAGGGTGAACGCAAAGGGTTTTATTAGAAAAGGAAGGGAATAATTACATGAAGAGAAGAAAGAAATTTCTATTGGTTCTAACAAACTGAGTTAACATTTTAGCTATACGTGGCTGATAACTGATTCTGTCCAAAACTAGAATCCATAATCATCAGTTTGTGTGTCCAGAATGTCTGCTTTTCTGTTGGCTTTGCGAGTAGTTGTTTGTAATACATTGTTAGTTTTGTCTAGTCCAAAGCTTATTTTCTCTAGTTCAAATATTTCAAAGGTTCAAGGCTCAAGGCATAAAAGCACTTCCTCTGGAATGGCTGCTCTGGCTCCATTTTTAAATAGCTTCACTTATGTCAGCTTCTCACATTTCACTCATTTAGTAGTGAACAATTTCGAGTTTCACAAACAGCCTATGCCGAGTTGTGCCTTTGCTTATTATGTTGGTCCTTGTGGATTACTTTCCTTTCCTTAGTTGGTTAACTTAACACTTAACCTTAGATTCTCCTCTTCCAAGAGAGGAGTCTCTTTCTCTAGGAAACCCTTTTCTGATGTCTGCTCCTCCATGTGACTGCTTTTTTGTGCTTTTGTAGCATTTACCAAATTGTGTGGAAAACATTGTTCAGGGCCCACTAGCCAATAAACTCTTGGAGGGTCTCATTTCCTATCACATAGTAGCTCTCAGTAAATGTTTCCTACTCAACTGGTTTTTATTGTGGGTCTGTTAGCTTCTAATGTGGGTATACAGGGACAGAAGGAAAAGGCTGCTGCTAATATAACTGATGTTGCCTAATAGTAGACCTTGATAGATGTATCTGAAGTGTTGGGGAAAGACTGTATTGGGCCATTAAGAAAGTATCTGTGTTGTGGAACAGGAGTTGAAGGAGTAGTGTTAGAAGAATGAGGAGTGATGAGAAATATTATAAGAGGGCGCAGGTGATCTAGATGATCTAGGTCTGGATTTTAAGTGGTACTTTAAAAAATCTTAGAACATTTATTTTTCCTGTAACAATAACTTAATTCTGTAGAGGTTAGAAAACATTAAGTCTGTTACCAGTACTCAAAAACTTAATTAAGACTGGATAATGAAGCTCTGTAATTCACCTTTGAAAGGTTTCTGCTCTGTGTTCCATGATGTGGAAAAAATACAATCCGATTAGGAGTTGATTATATTATCTTTTTAAATAAAGAAGCTATTAGGTTAGCAAAAATAAGTTAGATGTATATTCCAGTTGTTTAGTACAGTGACAACTTTTTCAATAAAGAACACTGTCTTTAGATGCTTAAGAAACTAGTGTCTCTTACAGCTGTCACTTCAGATTAAAACGGCTGCAAGTGGTTTTCATGGGGTGATACTGCAGACAATGCTATGATGACCGTGAATTGCTTACTGAGAATTTATCTTTGCTCCCTATTTGCCAGTCTTGAATACATTTCTAAAAGCTAACACCTGTATCCGGTAAGCAAGGAGTGTTTTAATTAAGAAACAAATCATTTGATCATTCACATATTGTATGATATACTAATGAAATAAGAAAAAAATGCTAAAGTTTGGAAGAGTTAATTTTAAAAAGTGTATTTCTGATATATATTTCAAATTCTAAAAAACAAATTAAGGGAACAAATTATATACAGGATTAAGACATAAAGCATTGCTTTGTGAGGAGTTGGTTATAAGTTACTCTTAATTTTTCTTGGTAAGTGTGGTAGGCTGAAAAATAGGCCCTCAAACAATATCTGTATTCTAATCCCTGGCATCTGTAATGCTACTTTATCGGGGGTTGGGGGGAGTTGGGAGGTCTTTGCAGATGTCACTAAATTATAAATCTTTATATAAGGAGATTATACTGGATTATTTGGGTGGGCTCTAAATGTTATCATGTATCCTTTAAAGAAATATGCAGCCCTAGCCAGTTTGACTCAGTGGATAGAGCATGGGTAGAGCATGGGTCTGCAGACTGAAGGGCCATGGGTTTGATACTGGTCAAAGGCACATGCCCGGGTTTCTGGCTTGATACCCAGTAGGGGGCATGCAGGAGGCAGCTGATTAATGATTTTCATCATTGATCTTTATCTCTCCCTCTCCTTTCTTGAAATCTTCCCTCTTGAAATCAATAAAAACATATTTAAAAAAAACAACAAAACAGAGACAAAAGGGATAGGCAGAGGGAAATAGATAAAAGTGCCATGGTGGGAGGGTGGTGGGGGAAGGAAGACATGAAAGAATGGCAAAGTAAGAATTTAGTTAGACTTCATGAAGGAGCTAGCTATGGGAAAATCTTTGGGGAAGAGAGTCTTCTGTTACAGATAGAAGGATGAGCTAGAGAAGGTTGTAAAATGAAAATGAACAAGATTGATAAAGAGAATGACAGATGTGGCTGACAGATGGTGAACAGAACTCAGAATCACAAGCATCTTTAGGTGTTTGAATTTCTGTTTTAATTTCTAAAACAGGCATGATAAACATTTTGCTCTACAACTAGCTTTTTAAAAAAGCTGAATGTTGGTTGTGTACATCTGTTGAACTTCATGTCAGATATACAGCTTACATATATATATTAGCCATATTCTTATTGATAGGCATGCATAGACTTTTATGATTTTTTGATATTACAGATAATGCTGTTGATTTTGGTTCTTAGTTTTTTCCCTCCCCCTGTTTCCCTAGTAGGTGGGGATTGGATGGCTAGAATGGGCAAAAGTTGGCTATTTTCTTTCTCCGGGTCAGGAGGTTCTGGATAATATCCTGGCAGGTTAAGTTCTGGTTAACCAGTTTTTCCTGAGGGCAGAGCTTAGGAAGAACAGAGTGACCAGTAGCTTAAAGTGCTGGAAAGCAGCTTTTGTATCTTTGACAAAGGTTGGACAAGAGGCCATGCTGAAGAGTCTGAAATTTTCCTGATTTAGTTCTAAGTTCTAGGATCATGCCTCTTTAAAAAAGTATTGTTTTGGGTAAGACAGTTTCCTATACCTTCAGTAATGATCAAGTACTTTCTGTGTGTTTAATTGTTTTGGGCATTCAGAGATCAGTTAGTTTTTCTTGCTTTTTAGTAGTTTGTATTTTAAATGGAGAGATTCTTGAGCTTTTTTTTTTTTTAATTTAAAAAAAATTTTTTTTGAGAGCCAGTGTATAATTTTTATTTTTATTACCCTCAGGATTTACAATTCCTAAAATCACTTTTGAGATTTATTTCCCTTTCAGATACTGAAATTGTTTTTTCTTTCCTTTTTATCCCTAGCAATGTCTCAGGCTGTGCAGACGAATGGAACTCAACCATTAAGCAAAACATGGGAACTCAGTTTATATGAATTACAACGAACACCTCAGGTAAATGTAGACTAAGATAACAGGGGAAATATGATACATATATAAATTGGGATGCATTTTTAGAAAATGAAAACTTGGAAGAACATAACAGTAATAATAAATTGATAAGTAGTACTGACTTTTGTATGTTTGACACTTCATTCAACAAATAATTTGAGTCCATATTCTACAGGTCCTAAGGTAGGCACTAGGTGAAATGGTGAATAAAACATGTAACATCAGCTCTTAGAATTTATAGACATTAAACAGATAAAACATCCATATAATTATACCTTGAGAGATGAGTAGGGAAGACTATTTTGAGAAGTTAAAGATGGAGAAGACTGGGGGTGGAAGCAGGGTTGAAGGAGCTAAGCATACTTAAAAACTGAACTCGTTTTAAGTTTGTGATGCCTATAAAACAGGCAGTGATGTTAACTAGAGAACTGGACTAAATATTAAGGTTTAGAGATTGTTAGCACGTTTACAGCTTAATGAATAGATAAGATCGCCTAGAAAGAGAGGAGCAGAGGGCCCAGATCTTCATCCAGAGGAGCTTCAACATTTAGAAATTAAGTAATGGACAAGGAGCCAACTAAAGAGACAGGGGAAAATGAGAGGGAAATACTGGAGAGAAACATAGATTTGGGAAGTTTTAAATTTCGTTTTGTTTGTAAGGAGATAGAGCTGTTTAGACTCCTTCCACTTCCCTTGTCCAACCTCCCCTTTTCTCCCCACCTCTCTGTCCTTGACAACTCTAAGGTGTATTGTTCACATTTCTCCATGTAGCAACTCTATGGAGATACTACTCTAGGCTAATTTAGTGGAGGAAAGTTGGCTAAAATCTGAGAGCAGATAGAATAGTCAAGAGTGATACACTTGATAACATAGAAAGGAATGTATTTTCAATAGACAGAGGTATACTTTTTCCTTATAGCAAGAAAGAAGATGATTTATGAAATTTGAGTTAATGTATTAAATGTTCAGGTGGAGGTCTGCAGATAGAAGAAAAATTGTACAATAGTTTACCAAAAAGAAAAATTAGTCTGTTAGAGAAACCAGTTACTGAGCAGTGTTGAACACCCATTTGAGTCTGGTGAAAGTTTTAGTGATCTCAGTCTGGTTGTGAGATTCCCCCCATTTAACAGTGCTGCTCTACCTGCACGGGTACAGGGCTGGAGAACAGGGATGGTAGGGTATATCCAGGGTTGGGATTTAGCTAGGCAAGTTCTTTCTAATCAGGGCAGACTTACTAGCTGAGTCATCATCATTCTCTGATTATTTCCTCATCAGAGGTTATAATTCTAAATCAGAAGTTTGTGTATGTATTAAAACTAAGTAATAAAATATAGAAAATGCTTTATATAGTGAGGCTGAAACATGATAGACTATTGATAATAGTGATAATTATTTTAAATATAAATATATTTTACTTGCATTCTTTATGGACAGTACCTGTTATTTCTGTCTTTCCTTGTGGAGTCACCAGTTTTTGACCCTTTAGAGAAAGCAAGTACTATGGAGAAGCAGTGGAAACAAGGAAGTGTCACTAACATGGGAGCTTCTGAATCTCTTTTCTTATTCCATAGGAGCCTTTGGTGGCCCTTGAGCTAGATAATTTGTTCTCAAGGAAGAGTGGATAGTGGTGGAAGAGAAGAAGCAAGAGTCACTAGTCTCTCTGCAGCTGGGAGATGTGTATATCGGAACTCTTAATGTATTTTCTCACTAACATTTTTTAGATATCACAAATAAAAATACTTTAGGTGTACCATGATTTAAATCAGTTAGCCGAGAACCTGACCACTTTGTGTAAAATTGCTTTTGTGGACCAAAACTTTTTAAGTTTCAAAGAAATGATTTTAAAATGAAATAGTTAAACCATGCATATCAATTAGAAAATATTTGTATTGGAATCTTAAAATCTTTTTAATAGATGGCATGAAATGTATAACTTACAGTAGTCCTCTCTTATCCACAAGATTACATTCTCAGATACCTAGTGCATGATTGAAACCACAAGTGGTACTACTAGACACTGTAAATACCTTGTTTTTTTTTCCTATATAAACATACCTAGAATAAAGTTTAGTTTATAACTTAGCCAATTCATGACTAGAACACTTCTTCTTACTATAAGTCTTAGTAACCTCAGCATACAATATTTTCTATTCTTATTGAGAACTTTCACCTTTTTATTTAAAGAAAGCACTTTATAGCTTCTCTCTGTCATATCCAAATTGCCAGCATCACTCCTCTTGTGCTTTGGGGCCATTAGGAAGTAAAATGAAGGTTACCTGTACACAGCTCAAGACACTGAGACAATTGATCTGATAACTGAGAAGGCTCCTGTGCCAGCCTAAGAGTAGCTGTGTATACTGTGGGGATATGCTGGACAAAGGGCTGACTCACCTCCCAGTGGGATGAAGCAGGATGGCATAAGGTTCCATCACATGACTCAGAACAGTGCAGTTTAACCTTCTGAATTGTTTATTTTTGGAATATTCCATTTAATATTTTCGGACTGTGATTGACCATAGGTAACTGAACCGTAGAAAGTGAAGCCACTGATAAAAAAGGGGGGAACTATATTATCAAAATGGTGTCATTTCTAAAGATGGAAGAAACTTCCTCATTTTGCAGAGTAATGAACAATGTTAAATAGTTATTTAGAACCACATAACTAGTTAATATGGCTAAAACTAAAACCGAGAGATCAATCAAAGGACTTATATGCATGCATATAAGCCTAATCAGTGGACACAGACAACAGGGGGTGGGGGCATGAATAGGAGGTGGGGATTAATGGGGGGATAAGGACACATATGTAATACCTTAATCAATAAAGAAATTTTTAAAAAATAATTTATTGCCGAAACCGGTTTGGCTCAGTGGTGGAGCGTCGGTCTGCGGACTGAAGGGTCCCAGGTTCGATTCTGGTAGGGGGTATGTACATTGGTTGCGGGCACATTCCCAGTGGGGGGTGTGCAGGAGGCAGCTGGTTGATGTTTCTCTCTAATCGACATTTCTAGCTCTCTATCCCTCTCTCCTCCTCTCTGTAAAAAAACAAAACAAAACAAAAAAACAACAACAAAAAAAACAATAAAATATATTTTAAAAAAATAAATAATATATATATTTTTAAGAGTTGCTTTTCACTTGACATATTCAAAATTATATAATAAAATTAACAGTATGGTACAAATTAAAAAAATAAAACCTAAGGTATCTGATTCCTAATTCAATGCTTTTTCTTATTATACCAGGCTAATTTACTCCTAGATGTCTTTTAGATACATTAATATATTATCTTTAGCATTAAAATAAGAGCATTTGTATATAATGCATTGGCGGGGGCAATGAGGAGAATCGGGGGATATTATAGCCCAAACAATATTGGCTGTGAGTTGACACTGATAGTGGCTGGGTGATAGGTATGTAGATGTTCATTTTTGTCATCCTCAATACTTTTGTGTATTTGAACTTATCAACAAAAAAATATTTAAATTTAAAAAGCATTTAAATTTCCTTCTTTTACAGGAGGCAATAACAGATGGCTTGGAAATTGTGGTTTCACCTCGAAGTCTACACAGTGAATTAATGTGCCCAATTTGTTTGGATATGTTGAAGAACACCATGACTACAAAGGAGTGTTTACACCGTTTTTGTGCAGATTGCATTATCACAGCCCTCAGAAGTGGGTATGTTGAAATGAGTTATACCAGGCACTTCAGTTGTACCAAGACAGTGTTCTGTAGGTTTTTGAGAAGTACATACTCTAGAAGTATTGATTTGAGAATTGGAAATTTTTATAAAGTCTAGGTTTGAATTATTGGCATATCTTTGTTTTGAAATAATTCATTTTGAAAAATATTTTCAGAAGCTTTATAGGATGCATATTTATTTTGAGGAAATTATGAAGCCATGGTTTTTCTGTTTAAGTATACAAAATAATATCCTTATAAATTGTTTAAATAAAGTAATTGATAACATAAATTAATATAGGTGGTGATTTTTTGCTTGTATGTCATGGGATTGAGAAAGGGGAAATTAATATTAGGAAAAGAATTTATTTTTATTTCTAAAATGTTATATATAAATTATTATTGGGGATATTCAAATTTTTCCCAACAACTAATATAGAGTATCGGAGATTTCCAAAAATCTTGCTTACCCAAGATTAGTCAGATTTTTAATAAAGTTTAGGTTAATCAGTTTAAATTTATGTGACTTCTTAAAGATATTAGAATAAAGATAATGTAACTATTCGGAAGCTAGATATTTTTGTCTTTAGCCTAAAGGTACTGGCATCATTTACATTGTTTTTCCTCTTTTTATTTAGCAATAAAGAATGTCCGACATGTCGGAAAAAGCTAGTTTCCAAAAGATCACTAAGGCCAGATCCGAACTTTGATGCACTCATCAGCAAAATTTATCCAAGTCGTGATGAGTATGAAGCTCATCAAGAGAGAGTATTAGCCAGGATCAATAAGCACAATAATCAGCAAGCACTGAGTCACAGCATTGAGGAAGGACTGAAGATACAGGCCATGAACAGGTACATTGGGAAGAAGGTGGCCATTTTCTTGAATACTTTATTAAATATTGAATTTACTTAGCCTTCATTTTGAAAAAGACAAAATACAAAAAGTAATAAATAGTAGTTCTGCAGAATTACATTTTCATGCACGTGTGGTATATGCTTCCAGGTATCATATATGCCTGGGTTTCCATTTAAAACAGTAGAACTTTTTTTTTTTTTTTAATATATTTTATTGATATTTCACAGAGAGGAGGAAGGGAGAAAGATATAGAGCTAGAAACGTCGATGAGAGAGAAACATTGACCAGCTGCCTCTTGCACACCCCCTACCGGGGTGCAGCCAATGTACATGCCCTTGCCCGGAATCGAACCTGGGACTCTTCAGTCCACAGACCGACATTCTACCACTGAGCCAAACCAGTTTTGGCAAGACAGTAGAACTTTTGAATACCCTTTTATACTCACTTTTCCCTCCACTCACCTACTATCCTATTTCTCTTTTTATAGCAAAACTTCTTAAAAGAGTTGTCTGTGCTCACTGTCTCTACTTTATTCATTTCATTTTGAACCCTCTAGTCAGACTTTAATCCCTTGTATCACTCTTATCAAAAGTTACCAGTGGTGTCCACATTGTGAAATCTAATTGCTGATTCTCAGACCCCATCTTACTTATTAGTCTTTTACAAATTAATTTTTCTGAATAATTTTCTTCTCCCAGCTTTCAGGAGACCATATTTTCCTGGTTTCCTTTGTATGTTATTAGCTATTTCTTAACCTGAAACTTACCATGTATAGACATGAACTGAACTTTTTCTTCTTAACCCCTATTTTCCTTCATTCTTGCTCATTTCAGTTGATGGCAGCTCTATCATTTCATTTGCTTTATATGTATAACTCTAGATATGTGTGTGTGTATGTATGTATACATCTCCATAAATACATACACACACATCTAGATATATCTATATCTATCTATCTATCTATCTATCTATCTATCTATCTATCTATCTATCTATAGATTGGTCTAGGCCACCATTATCTTTCATTTGGTACTGAAAAATCCTCATGAGTGGTCTTTATACTTTCCAAGCTTACCCCCACATAGTCTATTCTCAGCATAGCAGACAGAGTGATTCTGTGAAATTGAAAGTCAAATCATGATTCTACTTTGCTTCAAAGTCTGTAATAACTTATATTAATATTCAGGTTAAAAAAAAACCTACATAATTTGGGCATCTTCTCACTCCCATTCTCTTTTTCACTCTGACATCCCCTCATATATTCAGGCCTCAAAGTAGGAGATCCCAATAGAGTCACATCCATATCTACTTCTCACCTTGGCTGAACTTCAGAGACACTTGGAAAGTTTTTAAATCCTAGGGCTCAGGCAACACCTCAGACCAACTGAATCAGAATCTTTGATTGGATTCAGGCATCAGTATTTAAGGTTTCAGGAGTGGTTTTAAAGTATAACCTTCAGTCTGGCCAGTGTTGCCCAGTGGTTGAGCCTTGACCCATGAACCAGCAGGTAACAATTGGATTCCCAGTCAGGGTACATGCCTTGGTTGCTGGCTTGATACCCTCTAGGGGACATGTAGGAGGCAGCTAATGGATGATTCTCGCTCATCCTTTATGTTTCTATCTCTTCCTCTGAAATCAATAAAAATACAGGTTTTTATTAAAAAAAAAAAAAAGTGCAACCTTTAACCACTGGCCTAGAGGTTAAATTCCGTTAAACTCATCTGAAATTGTATTTTGTAAAGTTAAATAAAGTATTAAAATTTAAAAAAATTAATTAATTTTTACATTCAATATTATTTCATTATTAGTTTCAGGTATACAGAATAGTGTTTAGACAATGATATACTTTACAAAGTCCTTCCCCCAATATTTCTAGTACCCATCCCCTTTCATCTTATATAGTTATAAAGTACTAAGTTTTGGATGTATTTATTTTAAAAGAGTTACACAATCCTTTTTTAAAATTGATTTTTTTTTTTTTTTTTTTTTTTTTTTTTTTTTTTTTTTTAGAGAGAGGAAAGTGAGAGAGAGTAGGGAGAAATAGAAACATTGATTAAACATCTGTTGGCTGCCTCCTGCATGCCCTCTACTGGGTTTTTATAGAATTGTCTTGACTTTTCTAGAATTCTAAAGTTCTGTAAACATGCTTCAAAGGGATTCGCTAAAAATGCCTAAGTATTATACATTTTCTGCAATGCCTTTTGTTTCCTTAACTAGACTACAGCGAGGCAAGAAACAACAGATTGAAAATGGCAGTGGAGCAGAAGACAATGGTGACAGTTCTCACTGTAGTAATGCATCCACACACAGCAATCAGGAAGCAGGGCCTAGCAACAAACGGACCAAAACATCAGATGATTCTGGGCTTGAGCTTGATAACAATAATGCAACAGTGGCAATTGATCCCGTAATGGATGGTGCTAGTGAAATTGAGCTAGTGTTCAGGCCTCACCCCACACTGATGGAAAAAGATGACAGTGCACAGACAAGGTAAGTGTGTGGGTGGGTTTTAGATTATCTGAATTCAGAAAATTTAATTGGGAGTTCAAAGGCAGTTTTGCATAAGAAGGGCAATGTTTGCCATCCAGTTGACTGCCAGGGATCATTGGATATTCTTGATGCCTCTGTTGTTGCTTTCTTCCTCCATGCTTCCCATCCATACTTGGATATCTGAAGGGAATGCCCTGAACCTCCTCCTTAGAGGAGGGAGAAAAAAGGGTCACTTAAATTTCTTAACAATGATACTGGGGTGCCAGTAAACACCAGAATTATTGCTGGTGAGGATGGCACTATATCTTAGCATTCTGTCTGCCATTGAGTACAGATAAACATCAAATATTTGCTCAGTAATTGATGAGTATACCATTCTTAACTCCCCAAGGTTAGCACTTTTATGCTCAGTCTTAAACAGCACAAAATTGATGGATTTTTAAGCAGTAAGCAATTGGTCATATTCTTGCTGCTGTCGACAGCAGAACTTTGGTCATTGGGTTGAGGTGTTTGTTCTTTTTCCTCAGTACTGTGTATATTTGATTTTTACCATTTTATGGATACTTTTCATACGGTATTTTATGGATACTTTTGTGGCCTGTTAGATAATATACTTTCAATAAGGAATTTTTAGCTAATATTGATAGATGATTATAATTTCTGATACTATTTTATCAATAATAAAGACATTTACATTTTCTAGAAATGTATTAGTCCTGTAATCTAAATACATTTTCATTAATTTAGAAATTAAATTTTAATGATTTCTTTTTCCAGATACATAAAGACTTCTGGTAATGCCACCGTTGATCACTTATCCAAGTATCTGGCTGTGAGGTTAGCTTTAGAAGAACTTCGAAGCAAAGGAGAATCAAACCAGATGAACCTTGATACAGCCAGTGAGAAGCAGTATACCATTTACATAGCAACAGCCACTGGGCAGTTCACTGTGAGTATCTACAGTAATAAAAGTGTCATCTGCCAATTAGGCTGGATGAAGCCACGCGGTGAGGGCGGCGGCTGCGGGGCCCCTTTAACGAATTTTGTGCACTGGGCCTCTAGTTTAAAATAATAGGCCATTGAAACTGGAAGCAAATTAGCCATCTGAGCGTGGCAAATGGTGGGGTGGGGCCTAATAAAATGGCACAGGACAGGATCCTGACACCCCGAGAGATGGAGTACCAGGTAGTTAAGTTTTTAATATATTTTATGAATAGTAGAAGTGACAAGAAGTTTATCCTAAGTTTTTTTTTTTTTTTTTTTTTTTTTTAAGGTGGACTTTTAATAGTGAGATGTTTGTTTCGTCTCCCTATTACTATGCTTTGAGTTTTCATAATTCTTCCTTTTTCTTGTTGTTTTAGGTATTAAATGGCTCTTTTTCTTTGGAATTGGTCAGTGAGAAATACTGGAAAGTGAACAAACCCATGGAACTTTATTATGCACCCACAAAGGAGCACAAATGAGCTTTTACTAAAACCAGTCTGGATAATGAACTTTTTTTATAGCCTATTTCTTTATTATTAAAGATGTACCATCATTACTTTTATGGACACTATCTTGGATATGTTGTTCAACTTTCTTCCTGAGCCAGCCTCATTTATACTCTTAGAATCTTTTCCCCTTAATTTAAGATTTCCTTTTTGGAAGGGACTATAGTAATTCAGAACCTTTTCTTTCCTTTTAAAAATATATCTAAGTAGTATGTCTTACAAAGTATGGTTTCATTTGGAGCACTCTTTAATCCAGGAATTTTCATAATTTTGGATTCTTTTTTTTTTTTTTTTAATTTCACCGAGGATATGTTTTATTGATTTCTACAGAGAGAAGGAGGGAGAGAGAAACATCAATGTGAGAAACATCAATGGTTGCCTCCTGTATGTGGCCCAACTAGGGTCGAAACTGCAACCTAGGTATGTGCCCTGACTGGGAATTGGACCTGCAACCTTTTGATGTATGGAATGATGCACCAACCGTTGAGCCACATGGCCAGAAAACGATTTTGTATTGAGATTCAGTTGGCCATCTTTTTTCCTCCCCTGAAAAGTTTAGGCCTTACATAATGTGAAATAATATGTATTTTGACTTTTTTCCCCCCTGGAATCTTGTATGTTTATAGTTTTCTATATAAGCTGTAGTATCTTCATGAAGACCAAGGCTCAAATTTACTGTTTAAAAATCAGATTCATAGGATTATTATTTTCATGATCTTTTCTTCCACAATATTTATCTCTCTCTCTCTCTCTCTCTCTCTCTCTCTCTCTCTCTCTCTCTCTCTGACTCTCTCTCTCTCCTCTCTCTCTCTCTGACTCTCTCTCTCTCCTCTCTCTCTCTCTCTCCAGAAAGGTTCTTTATGAACATAGTGTTCATTGTCATGCAATGTTATTTTTCCCATTTCTCCCCTACTCTAATTTTGGAATTTCTGATCCTGGGAAAGAATCAAACAAAATCTAAAGTTCAGTGAGAACTTGGTTCATTTATAGATTTCACTGAAGAAATATTGTATTGGTCTTATGTAATCTCCAGGTATATATTTAAAGAGGTCTTTTTTTGTGTGTGTGTGTGTGTATTCTGTCAGTGCAGTTCCTTTATTATGTATGTTTGATGATTTTTTCTATTAAAATACCAGAAATATGGAGATATTTTGCACTTTAGCCTTGATGAAAAGTACAAGATATGTTCAAAGCTTCCCCACTTCTTTCTATGTTGGTAGCTATGTAAGCTAAAAATAATATGGCATATGAACTAACAATGGGGAAAATGTTTGCTTCTGTTTGGAAAATGTGTTTAATATTTTGAGTTGCCATATATCAGTTTATAAATTTGGTGCTTTGCTAATTACACTCTAGAGAAGCAAATTAACAGAGCGTAGACTGCCTTGATATGTAGTAATACATAATTCTGTAGAAGTATGTCAGCCAGGAGGGTAAAAGTCATTGTCTTCTTAATTTAGTTTTATATTGAGGGACAATGTTCAGCGTTTGGACCCAGGAGGCTTTATGATGGCAGGCAGAAATAAGATGGGATTGTGTTGTTTTTCACCCCTGTTCTGATTTCAGGTATATTTCCAAGTTTGTATTCTCACAGTATTTACAAAGACATGTTTGCATTGAGAAATAGACCCTACAGGATTTTTGTCACAGGGGGAGACTAGTCCTTCAGAACCAGAACTAAAGTCTTATCTAGACCTTGGAATTATTTACCTGTCATTTTTGACATTTTGGGCCAGCTTGAGGTTTTAAATCTTTAGCCCAATATTAAAATAAAAGTATAGTCTTATTCAATTTTTTACCATTTTACTGAAAATACTTAAAATCTGTTTTTATAGGTTTCTTTTTTGTAATCTGTGCCATGAAATTTGAAAACCATGAAAAGTCACGGGAAATTTTGTATTCAATTACTTTTGTTGTTGTAATGTTACATTGTAAGACTATCAATGCATGCCCACTCAATATAACCCTGGTTTTGTGCTATAACTGTTTAGATTTTATTGGTGACATTAGATTAGTGGTTGCATTAAATAACTAAATTCCCATTGTGATTATTAATTGAAATTTTGTCTGTAAGCAAAAAGTTATTTGTGAATATAAGCTCTGTGCTTAGAAAATGTATGTGTTTATATTTGCCAGCTTGGGGGTGGATGTAAATTCTCCATCACTAGTGAACTCATTTGGATCTGTAGTCTTTTACAAAATATAGTTCTAGATATTTGGTAGATATTATAGAGATTTGATAGAGAATTGAGTGCAGTGTTGTATGTGTATGTGTGTGTGTTTGTGTTTTGGGGTGGGTACTGTTTATCATTACTATCAACCAAGATTTTATAAAGTATTATCTAAATAAGTTCTGTAGCCATCATCTGTGTTGAGGAACAAAAGGCTCATCAAATGTGGTGAGGCCATTGGATACATTATCATTTAAAAATTTACTAGGGTAAAATATATATAACCAAATTTACCATTTTAATGATTTTTTAAATATACAGTTTAGTGGCATTAAGTCCATTCACAGTATTGTGTAACCATGACCGCTATTTCCTGAACTTTTTCTTTAATCATCCCAAAGAAACTCTTGTTACCCATTCAACATTAGCTCCCATCCTCCCCCCTCCCACCCCCTACCCCCCCAGCCCCTGGTAACCTTTGTTCTACTTTCTCTCTTTGAATTTGACTATTTTAGTCACGTTATGTAAATGGAATCATAAAATATTTGTTCTTGTGTCTGTTTTGTTTCATATATTATGTTTTGAAGTGTCACCCATGTTGTAACATGTATCAGAATTTCATTCTTTTTTTTGGCTGAATAATATTCCATTTTATGTATATACACATTTTGTTCATCTGTTGATGGACACTTAGATTGATGGACATTTTTTGCTATTGTGAATAATGCTGCTGTGAATATTTTGTGTGCGTATCTGTTCAAGTCTCTGCTTTAAATTCTTTGGGGTATATACCTAAGAGTGAAGTTGCTGGATTATATGATAATTATGTGTTTAAGGAATCCAAAACTTTTCCAGAGTGGCCATAGTATTTCACATTTCCACCAACAAAGTATAGTAAGGATTCCAACAACTCCATATCCTCACCACTTGTTTTTCTCTTTGTAGCTACACTAATGGGCATAAAATGTTATTTTATTATGATTTTGATTTCTCTTTCTCTACTGGCTTGTGATGCTAAGCATCTTTTCATGTGCTTATTGGCAATTTGTATATCTTCTATGGAGCAATATTTATCCAAGTTTTTTGCCTATTTTTAATTATTTTGTTTTTGTTGTAGTTTATACATTTTGAATATTAATTATCTGATACATTATTTGCATCTAGTTTCTTATTCTGTGGGTTGTCTTTTCACTTTCTTGATAGTGTCCTTTGATGGACAAGTTTTAAATTTTGGTGAAATTCAATTTGCCTTTGTTGTTGCCTGTGCTTTTGGTGCCCCATCACCAAGTCCAATGTCATGAAGATTTTCCTATATGTCTTTTTCAAGAGTTTTATAGTTTTAGCTCTTACACTTAGATTTTTTAATCCATTTTGAAGTTTGTATTTGATGAAAGGTAAGGATTCAACTTTGCATTTGTTGAAAAGACTGCCCTTTCTCCATTGAATTGCCTTGGCAGTCTATTCAAAAGTTAATTGACTATATGTTAGGGTTTACTTTTGGGCTCTGTTTTCCCTTGGACTATCGATATATGACTGTCCTTTTGCTTTTACTGTTGTTGGAGAAATAAGTGGGCCAGACTTTTCTGTTGCTTGTGGGTATGGGTTGGCTCTCGCAATATTTTGAGAAAGTGAATTTTCTAAGATTCTTATTGGTGTGAACTTATATTTCCCAGGTTGTGAAGTTATATGCCTCTTTAACCCAGTCCTGAAAAGGTATAGGTGGGGGTCAAGCAGAGCATAAAGGAGGGCCAGTGTCCAGAACTTCAGTTCCATGGTGGAGCCGGTCCGATGGAGCATTAAGCTAAAGTCCTTTAGTCCATTGTGTGGAGTCTACATGGATTGTGGGCCACGTGGGTGAATGCAAGGGAGTGCACACCGTGCAATAGGAGTCTCGAGAGAGTGATCTTCCTTAGTCTAAGAGTTTAAATATTCAGGTTGTGTGCCCTATTCTGACCACTGACTTGTTCCTAGGTGTGACTGACAGGTAAGCATCTTTCCAGGTCACTCAGACCTTACAGGCATGCATCTAAACTGCCTTTGTCCAGTCCCTTCCCCCGTGAATCAGCAGGAAATAGACTTGGAGAGTGTTAAATTACAGCTTTCTAGCAAAGCTGTATAAATGGCATGTCTGTATTATCTAGTCTTCTATTTCTTCCCTGTTAATAATGAGGCTATTACAATGGTGTCAGTGCCATACTGTTTTCATTACTATAGCTTTGTAATAGTTTCACCTATCATTTTAAATCCTCTGAACCCTATGAGGAAGACAGTATTTCCCTGGTACATTTGAGAAAACTGAAGCTTAGGATTCTGACTTGGATAACTACAAAGTAATTAAAATGTCAGATGAGAAAAGGAATCTTTTTATTTTATTTTTAAATCCTCACCAGAGGCCATTTTCCCATTTACTTTTAGTGAGTGGAAGGGAAGAGGAGAGACAAAGAGGAAACACTGGTGTGAGAGAGACATCGATTGGCTGCCTCTCACACGCACCCCAGGGATCGAGCCTGCAACCCAGGTACATACCCTTGACTGGAATCAAACCCAGGACCTTTTAGTCCACAGGCTTATGCTCTAACCACTGAGAAAAACCAGCAAGGGCCCTCAGGCAGGAGGCAACCAATCGATGTGTTTCTCTCACATCAATATTTCTCTGTCTTGCCCTGTCTCTCGCACTCTAAAAATCAATGGAAAAAATATCCCTGGGTGAGGATTAGAAAACACAAAGAAAACCCCGACTAGGGCAAAAAGGAGTCTTTAAAAAAAAACGTTTCTATTTAGAATTACTTGCTTTTTTAAATATTAGAAACATAGTATAAGAAAAGAATATTAGTGTGCAATTGTTGTAACTATAAAAATGGCTTCCTTGAAGTGCTTCTGAATTAATGTAATTAAGAAAATTAACTATGAAAACCTGTTCTTCCATAAAAGCATGAGAACTGTAAAGGTTGTCAAAGTCAACTTAATTTATTCAGTAAAAACTTAAGTTTTGTAGCATTTTTAAGTTGCCCTATCTCCATTTTCTCAGTCCCAGGGAAGACTTGAAAAGGAATAGCCTTGTAACTATAGCAGCTATGAAATCAGCAGTTTTGTAGCCTGCGAAGTGGGTAGAGGCTCTCCCATAAGCCACGACAGGGAATTGTCATGGTTTGTGCCTCACTGAAAAGCTCTATTCTCAGAGCTTGTCTTTATTTGACCTGACACCCCTCATTCTCTGCAAACAGCCCTATCTTCAAAAACAGCTGCAATCGTTTAAAGTAGTAGCTGCCTTGAAGCAGTGCTAAAAAACAGGCTGATAGAACCAGAAAGGAAAAGCTGAGGGATGACATGCCTGTAAAAGTTCAAAAAGGCTCCAAGATAATTCTTGGGACTGTAGAGGGTGACAGGCAGGCATGTGCAAGGTTGCATGCACACCTACGACAAAATGGAGGCACCCATCTGAGCTGTGGCAGAACTTGAGGCTCTTCAAGCAGGAAGTGAAGGTGAAAGAAAGCACAGCGTAAACGTCATGTTGGAGTGTTGAAAGCATATTTGAAAACATTCACAGAGCACTTCAAGGGCTGGGAGAGTTACTGTTTCAGGGCACCTAATGAATTTTCTGTCCAACCTTTAGCTGACCTTTAAGCTAACAAAGCAGAATATAGTGCTCGATACAGCAAAGAATGCTCACTTTGCAGAACTAGTGTGGGTAGATTACTAAACAGCGAACTAGACAAAACCCAAGGTTGTGAAAGGATTCTTTTATCCAGCATTGCCCAGTTATATTTCAAATATCTAGTTTCCAACAACAATTTGCATGACATGTAAAGAAACAGAAAAGTGTGAGAAAGCCTAGATGTTGGACTTAATGTAACAAAATGTTTAAATCAGAAAATATGTTCAAAGAACTAAAATCATTTTAAAATAAATAATTTGAATAAAAATACTGGGTTGGAAGTATATAAGAAGTGAAATAAGTCCAACAGAGGGGCTAATAGATTTGAACTTTGAACACAGAAAAAATGAACAAAAGAATTGTGGGACACCATCAAGTGTATTCAAGTTCCAGAAGGAGAGAAAGTAAAGGGGCACTTTATGTATTTGAAGAAATGCTTCGATTTTCAAAATCTGGTGAAAAACAATCTACATCTAAGAAGTTGAACAAATGCTAACAGAGAAACTCTTGGAAACAGCAAGAGAAAAGTGACCCATTGCATACAAGGGATCTTTGATAAGATTAATCACTCGATTCTCATGAGAAGTCATGGAGGTAACGAATGAAAGTGTTGAAAAGGCAGTGAACCAAGATTTCTATATGAAGCAAATTCTCAAAAATTAAAGATATTAAGACATTTCGCCTGGAGCGTGGCATTCTGAGAACTGAAGTAAGAATTTTGTTAAGATGTGGCTGAATCTGTATCCTAAATCCTTTATTCCACTGAATCTCACTTAAAATGGATGTTCCCTGTTTTGGTGGATGAACCCTTCATGGAGTTAGTTACCTGGCAAAAAGCATCCCGTCTGCTTTATCCCTACAATCCCTCCTTATCTTCAGATCCCAGCATGTTCTGGGGACAAGTACAAAGTACCTCTTGAAAGAATGCTTTTTTGGTCCTGTATACTGATGATTTATGAAGAATATCTGTGGAAATAGATTCTGAGTATGTTAGATCTTAAAGTAAGGAACATAATCTTAAATTGGGTCAAATTATCAGTATGGGTACACTTAACACTAGAGAGGACGTCAGTTTGAATAGCTAGGAGTGGTTCTGTTCAGTTGAAATTTTGACTCTGCTAGCAGAGCCTCATCTAAATTGGAGGTGAGGTGTGAAAATTCCCTGATACATTACAGAGAAGAAATCAAAGACTTAGAAGGGGGAATGTGATAGGAGCAACTCTCTTGGCCATCATTGAGAAATGCCCTGGTGAGAAGAGAACTAGCACCCTGAAGAGCTTTATATAGTCTGAGAGGACTTTTTGGCCTTGGCTAATTGATCATATGAGCCAAAGGACCAAAATGGTCCATTGGATTTATCTAAAACTGAAAACTGCAGATCACTACAGCTACTAGAGAAGTTAAGATCCCTTATCCATTTCCCAGGTCTGATATAATTCACATTTCAAGTGTCCATTGAGAAAGGACCCTGCCATAAGTTTGTATTAGGCATGTTCTTAGCCTTCTCCAAAGTCTGTAGCCATTTACCAGAGCAGCTATTTTTGCACCAAGGAAAGAAATCCCTAGACTTTTAGAAATTACTGAACACTTGGTCTTAGTCTCATTTCTGCAAACTATTCTCCAAAAGCCACCACAGTGGCACCCAAACCCTTCACATTACTTCTCTCATTTCCTGAGTCTATGGTTAGAGTATTACCATAAGCAATTAGCAGAGCCAACACACAGTAAGAACTAGTTTCTTGTGTTTACCGAATTTTAAAGGAGTGATACAGCTGACTTTATGTTCCAAATTATTGTTATGCAAACAAGGTGCTAATGTAGAATTAGATGGAATTTAAGAGGATTTCCTCTTTAGGTTGATGTAGTTCCAAACTACTTCCTACCAAGTAGTGAAGTTAATATAAACATTTTAAATAAATTATTTGCATATTTTATATCAAATTAGGCTCCTGATGTAAAATTCTTCATCATGCATCAAAATGTTACGCTAAGCATTTAGCAAAATTTGAAACTGATACTTAACAACATACACTAACTCAGATGGTCCAAGTGCTGATTTGCCTTTGGATTTATAGTAATTTTTATTTTTTATTTTTAGTAATTTTTATCTTTATACAAACAAAAAAGTAATACCATTTCTTTTTGTGCTGATTTGTGAGTTTAATTGTAACTGGCAAGAATTATAGTTTTATTATGGTCATAACAGAAACAAATGCACTTCACATATTCCTTTATTTTACCAAAATGGATGATTCCATTAATCGAAGGGGAAAAAATCCTCCAGAACTATGCTGTAATAACACAAAGATTTTCCCTGGATTTTTGTTTATGTCACTAGAGTGCTTTTTTCTTATACAGCGTATTAAAAACTTTCAGTTATTTCTCCCTTTTCATCCTCCAAGCTTCATGCTTATAAAAAGTTGCTTCCTTTAACAAATACTTTAGGGTAAATATGGATTAGATCCTTGAGACAAAAATCCAAACTTTATACTAAATCCTTTCATTGAAACTCATATTCAAATGAAGAACAATATTAACGGGAAAAAAGATTTTTGTTTCAACTAATTTTCTTAATTATGTTAGCCTGGTCTACTTTATACAAAAAATCAACAATATACACAAAAAAAGACACAACCAACCAAACAAAAAAAACCTCACAAATTAAAAAACAAAGCAAAAAACACCCCCAAAACAAGTGTCTCACTTTATAACTTTGTAAGTTTTACATCTGAGGTAGCACAACCAAGTGAATGAATATTGTACATGCAGTAAACTGAGGCACTTGAGATCACACAATTAGTTTATAACAAAATCTCAGTGCTTATGAACAATTATAATTGGAACTGTCTCTATTTTGACAATTACTCTCAAATGTAGTCATCTAGACCTTAAACTTAGAAAAAATGGATTTCTATCTCAGATAAGTATTTAATTTCTCAAAAACTAAAAATTAAAAGATTAATGTGGGAGAGGTGTGATTTCTTAAAATCAGAAATGTATTTAAACTTCATAATTGTGAAATATATTAATGACCTGAAAGGACAATGTTCTTCCTATTCTATTCAGCATCAACTTATGCAAAGGTGTGACGTGACACACATAAAATTCCAACACTTTGCATGTGAGAATTTTCTGAGTTATTAAATAGTAGGTGATCTCAGTCATAAACTTGGCTTCATATGAAATGTGTTCATTACAATTTTAAGTTTTCTTTAAGAAAAACTTGGAAAGCCTAACTCCCAAACCAGTTAAGTTAGAAACTGCTACTTTTTAAAATGAAAACAGCACTGTTTTTTTATTTTTACACCACTGAATTGAAAGAATAAGAAAAAACTACAGTTGGTATGGAGCAGTATTAGGCAGACAATCTATACAGATGTATGGGAATACTACTTTTACCATCTTCTGCAACTGCTTGCTTCTGCTTTTTCATTCACTGACATTTCAACCCTGTCAGCTACTGTGTCCTCTGCTGTAGACTGGCCGTGGCCCTCTGACTGTCCTCCAGTGTAGGTGGGGGTGCTGTACTTTAAAAGGATGGATTTAAACTGCATCAGAGGTGCATCTGTACGGACACCCATTGGGTCAAAATGAGTGCGGCTCACTCTAAAGCCCGCTTGAGAAAGATAGCACAGAAACTTTTTTAATCTGCAGCATGAAAAGAAAAGAAAAAAAATGAGGTTATAATTTTATTTAAACCACAGTGTCATTAAATTATAAAATATACACATTGCCATTGACTGGCTATCTTACTTTGGCATATTCATCCCTTTAATGCTGTGTCTGTGGATGTTGTAATAAAAGGGAGGATGTTCAGTACTGGCATCAGTCTTTTGTTTTTTGGCTAAATTGGTGATTGTTTCAGTACATTTTCTTTTTCCTGAGACACACAAATACACACAAAATTAGCATTCTCTTAAAAATTACAAACCAAATACTTTTATAACTCTATGCTTTCTCAAGTCTAAATCCTCTACATACACCATTTCAACCTATCCAGTCTTAATTCTTAAGAGAGAACTCATTGCAAGAATAAGATATTTTCATTTCCACTATCCTTAATTGATGTAATATTTAACTATTTGCGATTCAGAACTTACTTTCTACCTTCTTGAATTTCAAGCCTCAATTCTATTTTCATCTGAAGAAAGCTATTTGAATTTTGGGCCAATCATCTCACAGACTTCATTTTTGTACTTGTATTCTCTACCGAATGCCAAAATTTGATAAATAGGTTTTCAATGAATAGCCTGCCCAAGGTTATACAACAAACAACATAAAGAAGCAAAGCGATGCTCTTAAAAGATAATTGCTCATTACCATATACCATACTGCCTTTTTCTTACCTCCGGAAGAGAAATTAAGTATCCCAAATTATAAGAAAGGCCATACAATAAATTCTTATGGCTAGAGAATAGATCTTCTGGTTAATCAAAGGAATTGTTATGCATCATATGGTGATGAAAAAGTTTAAAAGAATAATAAAATTTAATCAACTCTATCAAACAATTTGATCTTCTTTTGGTTCACTTGGTTCTTTCAAGATAATACAGTTCTTTCAAAGGGATGCATTATATTTTAGAACTATGAACACAGTACATGTTCATAGAAATTTTGAATTGTATAAATGTCAGATAAACAAGTTTTACTCTAATTAGGTTGTCAGTACAATAAAAAAAATGCACTGTGAAATAGACGACCAAATAAATCTCTTCCTACTCTTTTGCTGTCCTTTTGCACTGATGCATACATATGTACATATTCAAATACATATATACATACATACCTTGTGCAATGTAATTATCTGTTGTGGTATCATCTGTAGTTTTAATAGATATACCACATTCTTCTAAAATAAAAACAAATGGGAATCATAAAATATTTTACAGGATGTTAGCAATTAACAATTCAAAGTTTAAATAAAAGCTTATTACTAAATTATATCCACACTGCTTTTCTGAATATATAGTTTCTATGGCAAAACAGGGTAAGAATTACATTTGAAATCCTCTACAACAAATGCTGCTTCTAATGACTTATGATGATAAATGCTAGGATGTCTAATAGGCCCACCCTTAGGTCAATGGCCAGATAAAAAGGACAAAAGCCTATTTATACTAAAGAGAAAATAGAAAAAAAACGTCGTTTTACTGCATGATAAGTGTGTATCTTAGTTTCTGTGTCTCGATGGCTATACCACTCAAAATTCCTTAAGGTTTCTCTTTTTAAAAAGCAGGTAAGTGTAATAAAATCACAAAAGACAGTACTTTTAATGTACTAAAATTATAAAAATACATACTTTTAATAAAATCATTATTTCAGGTGCTGAATATAAACCTGAAATATGCAATTAAAAATAAAAATTAAGCAGATTATGACCAGACTCATTAGGGGGGATTTAAAAACACTTTATACTGCTTTTTTTTTTTTTTAATATTTTAATTGATTTTTTACAGAGAGGAAGAGAGAGGGATAGAGAGTTAGAAACATCGATGAGAGAAACATCAACCAGCTGCCTCCTGCACACTCCCCACTGGGAATGTGCCCGCAACCAAGGTACATGCCCTTAATCGGAATGGAACCTGGGACCCTTGAGTCCGCAGGCTGACACTCTATCCACTGAGCCAAACCGGTTTTGACTATACTGCTTTTGATTATAACATCAAATCAAGTTTAAAAAGATAGAGTATTTCAGTAATTTGTAAGCTAGTAAACTAGTTTGGTTACCTTGCTTGGTGAGATTTGAAGGTGAATGAACTGAAAACTGACTTTGAGGATTACACTCTGACTCAAAGATTAATGTCTTTATTAGGGGCTGAATGTCATCTAAACCATGGTGAAGAGATTCAAATAGCATTCTTTTGAGAAATCCAGTATTGAAGAGAGAGCTTGACCTAAAAAAACAAAAAATTCCCAAGAAGATAGAGAATTGGGTTTGAGAGAAATGTTGTCTTAAATAAGATATATGATTAATTAAATACTGAGATTAATAAGAATTTATGATTTAACTTAAAATTGTTTATTTTCTGTTTCTTCATTCCTTTTTATCATGTTAGTTCTTCAAACTAGTGTTAGTCAAGGAAATTTCATTCATAGTTAAATCAACCCTCAATATCTATACCCCATGTTACATATAGTGAAATATACACCGAAGTATAAAATACAATGTTAAGCTTATAAATCTAGACACGGGTGTAATATAATGCAGAAGTTTTAACAATGCATATTCCCGTAACAGTAAATATTCCAAGTGTTTATGGAATTAAATGAGATGGCATGCATAAAATCTCTAGAATAAAGTATATACTTAATAATTGGTAGCTATTATTACCAGGATTAGCGAATACATGATTTTAAGTGTCAAATGAGCAATCAATGTAGGTTTACTGAAAGGGAATTTAGAAGTAATTGGGTTGAAGCATTTAAAGAGAGACTTCAAAGAAGCGGGGAAAGAGGGAGAGATTCTGGATGAGAGTAAAGATGGCTTTGAATGAGGAAATCAGAGGCATGAGAACTCAGTCTTGGGAGAGAGACAACCCAAGTTCTTGCCCTGCCTGAGCTGCCAAATTTTGGAGTTCAGTTTCAGCCAGCACTTAAAGAACTAGGTCCTCATTTTCTCATCTGTAATATGTAGGACTTGGGCTAGACCTTCCTTCTGGATCCAGCAGGCTGTTAATTCATTTCCCCAGTTCTGAGGTCAGTGATTAGGATCAACATGTAGCAGATGACATAGGTAAGAGAGTACCAGAAGGGAAGACTAACTAGATCATTCTTAATCTAAGGGTGTTAACATAGGCTAAAGATGGAGTGGTGAACACGCAATATAACATACAAACGATGTATTATTGAACTGTACACCTGAAACCTATATAACTTATTAACCAATATCACTCCAATAAATTAAATAAAAAAGTGAAAAACAAAAAAGTTAGCTAGACGTGAAAGAAAAAGGTTTAAAAAAATGCATCAGCACAAACATATTTACCATTTGTGTTAATTTTTAAGTTTAGTAGGTGGCTAAACCTTGACCTTGTAAATTAATGAGGTAGATATCTGCAATGATTCTTGTCACAATGTTGTTAGAAATTTCTGTGTACAAAAGCACACATTCATTAAAAATTTGCAACTGTGTCCCATCTAAACAACTAAAACAGGCATTTTTTTGTATATGCCCTTCTTAAAATTAATTCCTCAAAGTCTTATATTAGTTGACTCTTCTATAAAAAGTTATTTTGATCTCTTTATAACCACACCCTAGAATTCTATAATTATCAAATAAAAATAAAAAAGCCTAATTCTTACTATTCAGAAATGAATTTAGTTCACAGAACAGCCAGACTTCTCTTTAATTCTACTATCGCTTAGCCCTGTCATTAACTTGGGGGAATCATATTATAGAAAAATCTGAAAACAGCAAACTCCTCAGGTTCATAGGGGGAGAAGTCATAATTATTTGCCTAGACTTTAAAAATTTCAATCAAAATTTGCTTGTCTTTTACCTCACATCATCAAAAGACAGCAAACAAAATCAATATTTAAATCAATTTTGAATATATTATTATTCTTCGGCCCACATACCATAGAGGCCCAAGTTCTATTGCTGTTTTTCCAGGCATGCTTCCATGACAGTTACAGGGCAGCTGTCTATATGGGTTTTCTGTGAAAAGATTAAAAGAAATCAAAGCAGAAATAATAGATACATAGTAGTAATTGTTATAATAATCTGCAGCTACTATATACTGAGAATCTTCTATGTGCCAGATATTGTGCTAAGTATTTTAATAAAATCTCAATTATATAGATCAGAGGATTAAAGCTTAAAGCAGAATATAGAAATCCATGTCAAACAGATTAGAGATCTTTTAGTTAATACATGAAATTAAGTAGGAGAAGATCTTACAAAGTCCACAAGATATCTGTATCTTAAAGTCAACTGATTGGGGTAAAGTATACATGCAATAAAATGTGTACATTTTATATGGAGAGGTTAATGAACTTTGACAAATATATATATCCATACAACTGCCATCCCGTCAAAATAAAGACATTTCTCATATTAACTCTTCTGCAATTGGAAAGAAAAGAATTATCCTGTTCCCTAGACCTGATTCATAATCAGCCCCAAAATGTAGGCTATAAGAATCTAATTCAGTTTAAAGAGCAATGCGGCCCGATAAAATCACAAGGAAATTGGGGAGGTAGTTTCCGAGATGGGGCAATATTCTAGCATGAACTTTTTCAGTTCACTTAAGGTCCAGAGAAGTCACTTTAAATCAGACTCTCTGCAACAAATTTCACCCAGGCTGATTCTAAATGGATCATGCACTTCCTTGGAATGGCTGGATCTGATCAATCAGTCTTGGAGATATTCAGAACTCAAGGCTATAGTGGTAGGGACATAGGTCTTTAGCTTCTCGCTATCTGATATCAATGTTATCATAATGGTAATACAAAGAGTGAGATCTTATTTTAGATTTACTTAAAGGCTCTGGCACTTTTTCCTAGGACAACTATTTTTATATCCTGGAAAAGCAAAAATAGAAACACCTTTATGAGGGCAAAAGCCAAATTATTTTCCTTGGTTCCCAGGCCTGGCATAAAGTAGAGTATCAATAAATGTTGAATAAATTTTATAACTGATGGCTTTTATATTCAGCAAGAAATAGAGGGGTAATCCTAACATGTTTCTAAAATTAGTGACAGTGGTAAGTAAATTATTTCTAGATGTTTCAATGGAGGAGGGCAGAGCTAAGGAGCGTAAATCGTATAGCACCAGTAAATAAACTCACACAAATGTCTTTTCTGTTGATGAAAGGAAATCCAGGATAGGAAATAAAGTTATCACTGTCATCTTTAAAAATCAAAGGACAATATGTACAATTAAGGATGTGATAAAGGCTTAGTATTTATTGGAGGCTTATACATAAACACAATTTATTGTGTCAATTAGGGGGAAATAGGTAATACTTTCAACAATAAAGATTAAATTAATTAGACACAGTATACAGTCAAAAGAGACTTGAATTACCTTCTACCATATTACCATCCTTCTGAAAAATTCTCTCTTCGCACCACTGACAATGTATCAGATACTGTATCTTCTTGGCTGTTTCATCTGCAGAAGTAGGCCCCCTCAAAACTCTCACAACCACCAAGACAAAATGTTCCAGAGCCACTGCAAACAGTACTTCGATGCCTTTGTTACATCGAGCTGCAGCTCTGGAGAGAAAAAAAAATTAAGTTATTTTGGGCACTTCTCATTTTTCTTTGACATTATATTTATAATACTAACCGGACAGTCAATTATGGGAAGGTAAAGGGAAAATAAGGAAAGTTCAATTCTTGGCAGCATACTTTTAAAAGATAATTGCTATAACTCTTACACAAAATGAAATATAGTAAATAAAGGATGCTTTCCAGAGTCTTCAGTAATTAGACATTTTCCTTTATGACAGCCTCTGAATAGGATTATTGGTCCTGGTTTTCAACATCACTTTCTTTGTTGTCATCACCACCACTTTTCTGCCTTTTTATCTATTCTTTCTATAAAAGCTTCTTCCAAACAATGTTTACTGAATACTAACTATATGTAGGGTAGTAAGCTACCTGCTAAATATTCAGGGAAAGTGAATAGGCAGAGTCCTTGCTACTATGAATTTATACACTTTTGAATTAAATTCTACTTGATGCACCACTTATGTACTTACTTTTCTTCGCAGTTACACATAAACTTGGCTCATATATATTAATTTGAATTTGTTAGTGTTATAAACATTTTTAAGTAGGTCATGGGCATGTATAAACTGAACATCAGTTTTCAATTAATTAGGAATAACCCTTAACATTTATGAAGTCTAATTATTTATGCTGAGGTAGAATTTCAATCTAAATGCTGTGAAATTAGTTCTAAGGCCAGTAATTGAGCTAACTGATTATTATCTATATTTGCATTGTCCATTTATATAGCATAAGATTCTGAACAAAAGAGGTGCTCCAAAAACTATTCCATTCTTCAAACGTTTAGAAATCCAGATAAGACAGCTATTTTTTTGTAGGCAAGATCATTCTGCATAATCAGGTTAAAAGCCATCATTTTGCAAATTATTTGTTTAAATAAAGATTAGATGAACGTAAAACAATGATTGTTTCTAAATCTAAAAACAATCTGCCTTCCCTTTTCATTATACTATCCTCTCATCTACCCTACATTGTTGAAATAACTGACTTAAAATTAACTTTCATTTTTATCTTTCTTACTAAGTTATTTTCATTATATTTTTAATTGGAGAGTAAACTATTTTAAACATAAGCTTTCAAATCAAATTTTAAAAGATACAACGTAAGATCACAAAACAAAGGAAGGCATGAAATAGAGAATTTGCATTTTGTGCATATTTTAAACAATGAGAGAAGCACTGCTTGAATCTTTTTTTAACAGATGCCCAAACATGAGGTGTTACACTGTTGGCAACTCGGTACCTTGCCACTGCTGCTACCACAATTCTGGCTGCTAATTCCTTGTAATACTCAGTGCGGACAATGTTGCAGCCGTAGTGCCGCCGGGCAACGTGCTGTGCCTTGGCGTATAAGGAGCTGATATCTGTGGACGTCACTGACACTATGCCAAGATTTCTTATGTTTCTGAATGCAGAATCCAGATAGTTCACGGATGTTCCAAAAGGGTCTAGATGTCTAAAGTGAGAAAGGATGTAGACATTATTTGAAATCATTGGTAACAAAAATTATGATTGTCATTATTTCTAACAATAAAATCCCATGTGTTCAGAAGTACTTTACAAATTTTTTAAAAAATAATTCTGTTTTCAAAGTAATAAAATTGACCATATGCTATGCTATCGATAGGTAAATAAAAATAAATCTGGATTAAAGGAAAACTGTCATGCCCAGGCATTTTATTTCAAGTGCTGGAAAATGTTCTTATTGCATTCCTTAGACCAATGCTAAAAAAAACCGGTATTAATTGAAATAAACAAAAAGCAAAAACAAACTTTCTTAATTTTTATATTGTCCGCCCTCCCGCAAAAAAGAAATTCCAGACAATTTCAGAAAGGGACACAGCAATTTTTTTTCACTTACATGAAATCAAAAGATCTCAAATGCATCAGTACATTGGCATCCATTTTGGTCACCTTAATATTACCAAGATTTTCCTCTCCTTCAAGAATCTCATCATCCTCTTCTTTTTCCTTATTGTCCACCACCACTTTCAATTTGTTTAAATGGCAGTTTTCCTGAATTAAGGTCACAGAGTTTTCATTTAAGTCATTAATTGTAACCTTGACTGCATTTCCAAGATGTTTTGCCCATTGTAATCCCATTATCCCTTAGGAGAAATGGGAAAGAAAATATGTTTTTAAATTGTAACAATTACAAAATAAAAGTAGTATAACAATAATACAGAATATAATTCTATAAGTTGTTTCAAAATCTTAGTATTTTCATAATTCTTTTTCTACTTTCTCAATACAAAGCCTCTGAAAAAAAGTTATCAACAAAAAAAAGTCTTACAGATTTTCTTTAGTATTTCTACAAAACTTTTCTATGATCCCAGTTCAAATAAAATATCTAATTAGTAACAAGAAAACACATGAAAGGTTAAATCTCTCTGGAAATATAATTATATAGTAAAGGAAATTAATTATAAAGCTAGTCTGAAGGTTAAAACACAAAAGTAGTAAAAATAACTATGATTGTAATAATGAGTTAAGGGATATATATGATGAAAATGTAAAATGTGACATCAAAAACAAAAAGTAGATTGGGGGACAGTAATAATGTTGCATTTTATAATAGAATAAAACTTAAATTGTTATCAACTTAAAATAGGGTTGTTACAGATAAAGCTTCATGGTAACCACAAAGCAAAAAATTATAGTAAATACACAAAAGGTAAAGAAAAAGGAATATAAACATGCCATTAAACAAAGTCATCAAACCACAAAGGAAGAGAACAAGAGATGATGAAAGAACAAGAGATGATGAAAGAGGAACTATAAAAACAACTGGAAAACAACAAAATGGCAATAAGAAATGCCTATCAATCATTGCTTTATGAGGCCAGCAATACCCCCATGCCAGAATCAGGTACTGTATGCCACAAGGAAAGAAAATTACAGGCCAATATTCCTGATGAACATAGATGCAAAATTCTCAACAAAATTATTAGCCAACTAAATTCAACAATACACTGGTCAAACACCATAATCAAGTAGGATTTATTTCAGTGATGCAAGGCTGGTTCAACATCCAAAAATCAGGCAATGTAATACGCATTAACAAATGAAAGATAAAAATCATGAATATCTTAGTAGGTGCAGGAAAGGCATTTAACAAAATTCAGCATTGATTTATGATAAAATTCTCAATAAAGCAAGGATAGAGGGAATATACCTCAAAGGCCATATATAATAAGCTCACAGTTAACATCATACTTAATGGTGAAAAGTTGAAAGTTTTTCCCTTAAGATCAGGAACAGGACAAGGATGTATCTCAAGTAATTATCTCATATACATACATGATAGATATATATGTTGATGACACACTTAGGAGACATATTAAACAATTGAAATAAAGTCTTTGTCTGGAATCTGATTTGATTAAAAAAATAGTTGGGCATATCTAAACATTTAATTAAAGAATTATTCTTAATTTTTTAAGGTGTGATAATGGTATGGCTATATTTCTTAGAAGTCCTTATATTTTAGAGATCTAACAAATGTTTACAGATGAAATGAGACATTTATGATTTGTTTCAAAATGGGATGGTGGATGGGGACATGAGGTCTGAGATAAGTGCATGGGATAGTTACAAGACTGAGTGTGAGTTGATAATTTGTGAAATGATAGATACAAAGGGATTCATTTATTATATCCTTCTCTTTTTTATATTTTAGAAATTTTTCCACAATAAAAAAATTATACCTTGGATCTTCAATTATTTATTTTATTATAATTTTTTAGTCCTTATCTGAGGATATTTTTCCATTGATTTTTAAAGAGATTGGAAGAGAGAGGGAAAGACAGAAATATCGATGGGATAGAAACACATTGATTGGTTGCGTCCTGCATGCACCCTGACCAGGGCTCAGGCTGAGATACGTGCCAATGCCCGGAATCATACTGAGGTATGTGCCAATGCCCGGAATCGAACCTGGGACCCTTTGGTCCACAAGCCGACACTTTCTCCACTGAGTCAAACGCTAGGCGTTTGGCTCTTCAATTTTTTATATCAAAATATTCTATGATATCCACATACACTTTCTAAGAAAAGATACTGTACAAAGCTAATTAAGCTGGATTCCAAAACAGCTTCATTACTCACCAGTGGCTCCAAAGGCATCCAGACATTCCAAAGGTTTTCTCTCCTCAGCCAGAGCAGCCAAAGTACAGAATATTAGCTGTCTAGAAGAAAGTATAATGATCTGAAATGACTTTCCTCTACCATGGCTTCACCATTATAGTTTTTAATTTATTTAATAATAGTAGTGACAATCCTATTTGAAAAAAAAAAAAAAGGCCTAATAACATATTCCCTACTTAATAGTATAAGAACGAGAAGTTTGTGAAATTAAACTATGAATCAACTGGGTTCTATTTACATTCACTATGAAAAAATGATTTTATAAGCAAATTTTATAAATAAAAGTTTTATAAACAAATTTTGCCCACAAAAGCATTGTTCATTAATTATATAAAGTTAGGTCTACTTTACTCTCTGAGGAAGAAATTGGTCTGGGGAAAAAAAAAAAGAGAGAGAGAGAGAGAGAGAGAGAGAGAGAGAGAGAGAGGGGGGGGGGGGGGGGGGGGGAGAGAATAACCACTCTGAGAAAATGCTAAGATGCTAAGATAGATGATTTTCATTCTATACCTAGATTTAAATTTCAACACATTAGGCCAGCAATTTTCATCCGTTTTCATCTCATGGCACACATATATTATTTATTAAAATTCTGTGGCAACCAAAAATATTTTTTGCTGATCGGACAAAAAGCGTCATTTTGATTCATTCACACTGGATGGCTATTATTGTGCAGGCTGTTATCATTTTTTTATTTGACAATCTAAGGGAAAAGAGGTCAGTGCCCCTGACTAAACAGGTACTGCATGTTTTCATTCTTGTGGCACATCAGTGTGCCTCTTGGGGCATACAAGATGAAAATCGCTGCATTGGAACATAAAGATTAAGAGAGGGTATATTTGTAATGATTTGAAACACCCCATAACCCTTTTCTCAATTTAGCTTACCGATTTAGTTTCATTTTGGGATTAAAATAGGAATCTGTTTTCTGAGGTACAGAGTAGTTAGGACAAACTTGTACATCTGTGTCTACCTCTTTCAAAATTTCAGTAGGTGGTTTAGCAGCAGAAGCTAAGATGAAAAAAGATTTCTAGTTAAACACAAAATGATATTAACTATCTAAAACAATATATGCTTAAAAATACTTTTCCTTTATAATAATGTATTAATGTAATTATAATAGTTGTGTTAAAAACTGATCTATTCCACTGACTCTGAAAAATAGTATTTACTGAATTGAAATTTACCAACTCAAAATCATAACTGCCTAGACCAATAATGATACCTAGTTAAGAGCAATCAACCTAAAAACAAACAGAAAAGCAAAAGAAAGAACAATCAAACTAAGATAGCATAGAATTCTAAAATACCTTTATTCTTCATCAAATACTATATTACATTTACATAGGTTGGCTGCTAAAGATGTTACTGTGGGATAATTGTTAGAAAAGTGGTGTCTTTGTATGATTACATTTCATTAGCCAGCATGAGAAAAAAATCACTGAATTTCCTGAACATGCTAGATTTTAGAACACTTTCTCATAATTATGATTTAAATCACAAATTACATTAAACAGATATAAAGTAAAGGGGAAAATTCTATATTTGCTATATATTTGAATAATTTAGCTAAAAATCAAATGAAACGCTGATGTATTTGAGTGTACGTTTTACATATTTAAGAAATGAGACACATCTATATATATAAAAGCCTAAGCAACCATTATGACTGGATGACTGGTTGGCAGCTATGATGCACACTGACCACCAGGAGGCACTCAACACAGCTGCCCCCTGGTGGTCAGTACACAACCACAGCCAATCTTCCATGGTCCCTCCCTTGTCGGGCCAACCTTCCATGAGATGGCTCTGATCAGCCCAATCGCTGGCCAGGCTGAGGGAATAATTGGACCATTGTTTAAGGATTTATTTACTAACATGTTAATAAGATTGCTCAACTTACCAGCAATATATCTGGATTTAGTCTCTCCTTTATTCACATGACGCCTAACATGTCCTAGCATATCAGTCCTTCTGGTGATTGTTGCTGAACAAATGATACAATGATAATGGGCGCCCATTATACTGGATATCTATCAAATAGAGTATTTAATTCAATACATAAATAAGTTACTAAGACAATGAAATAGAAATTTATTCAAGGTTGTAAATTTACATGCCTTGGGTTTAATGGTATAGAAGATAGTATTAATTTTGCCATGTGACATATACTTTTCAATTTAATTTTACATTAGGCTTCAACTTTAATTTCTAAGATTTTCCCATTCATTCTAATTAACAAATAAACTGTATCCTCTTTTCCATAAACAGCGCTTACAAATGGTATAATATTAGCAACAGTGTGCTGGTAGATGTTTAACTGTCTCACCAGGAAAATAAAATTCTGTTTTGTAGAGTTTGCAGCTTTCTATAATATAAATACTCTATAATATCAAGAAAATATACTCTTTAATTTCAAGCTACAATTGTGACAAACTTTAAGTTACCAATGTGACATCACTGAACATGTATTTAGGAAAAGACAGCATGGCTACCATGTAGATATTATATTAATTACCATAAGAGCAGAGATAATAGAAAAATGCAGTAAGATAATTAAGCAGTAGTGAGCTTTGAGAATTCATTACTTTTGTTTTTAATATAATTTACTCACTTTTAAGTTTATATAATTTATTTTTTTAAATGTTTTTATTGGCTTCAGAGAGGAAGGGAGAGGGAGAGAGAGATATAAACATCAATGATGACAGAGAATCATTAATCAGCTGTCCCCTGCACGTCCTCTACTGGGGATTGTGTCCTTGACCGGAATCGAACCCTGGACCCTTTAGCCTGCAGGCTGTCGCTCTATCCACTGAGCCAATTTTAGGGCTAATTTAATGTTTAATGATAACTACACTTAGTAACCAGCTTTCAAGATTTCTGAAAATTAATGAGAAGTCTATTTTTCCAAATAAAAAATTCTCACTTTATTATTTCTCACATAGCTGAGGACCAAAAGACTTCTCCAATGGTGCTCCTACTTTTGCTGTGTCTATCTCCTATTTACTTGGGATCATATAGCAAGCTGAGGATATTCAAGAACATTGCAAAAGATTCCTTATGGTACGGTGGTAATCATATTCAAAATATTTCATGGACAAGCACTCTTCTGACTACTGCTTAAAAAATGATTTTTAAAAATATTTTCAACAATAAGGATTTAAAAAAAACACACACTGAAAAACAACAAATGTTATTTTTTCACCAGCACTTTATAGTTTTTAGTGATCCAAAAGAAAAATAATAAACTAATATTTAGTTACCAAAATACTTTATAATTTTTATTACCCAAAGTCCAAATCTATTCTAAAAATGAACATATGTACTTTTTAAAAAAGTTATCAAGGACTTCAGAATGTTTTTTATTCTGTCCTTTGGAAGCACACAGGAAGGATGGTGAGATTGAATCAATGCATTTATTAAATCACAGAAATTGAAGGCTCTTATTCTATAATCAAGATTTATTTTTTTTTAAACTTACTTTCTATTTAATTCTTCATTCTAAAATTAGTAAATAATTTTCGTTTTGAACACAAGACAGCAATATATCTGAATAAAATTAAAACTATAAAAGTTTCAATATGGCAACCCTTTTTTTCATGCATTTTATATTTTTTCCAATATGATGATCTGAAAACACTCAGATACAAAATCTTAAAGTAAACCTCATTGCTGAATATGAACATTTTAGTTTTAAAGCAAGTAAAAATTGCACTTTCTTTAAAGAGGGCTAAATTTAAAAATAAATCTGATTACCTGTTCTCCAATAATATTTGGTTTCACTGGTCGACAAGGTAAGTGGCAGATGCACATTCTGTAACCTAGAATTAAGAATGGATGGTTGTCATATCACTGTTCATTAAAAATTCAATTTTCACAAAATTATTGGCAAATTTTATAATAACAGATTATTTTTGAATTTGTAATATCATTAATTAATTTACCTAAATGAGATGGCCTTAAGTTTACCTATTACATATGGTACAATATAAAAACAAATATGGGAGATCCAAGTGTGAATTCTGGTTCTGCCAAGACTATCTCTGTTATCTTGGATTAGCCACTTAGCTTCTTTAGAACTCAATCTTATCATCTATTCTCTGCCACTTGACTTTTTCTTAGGCTTCATCTTCTCTGCCTTATGCTAATTTGCGCTACACAGACTCTTCATTTATGACACTGTCCAAAATGTGGAACTCTGAGGCCAAGCAGAGTACATAATATAGAACAGATGCTTAATAAATGATTGCCAAAAAAACTACTTGTGTCATATATTGCTATTGCCTAGAAAGCAACATGGTATTTTATTAATAAACACATTAATAAAAGGAAGGGTTTGAATCCCTCAAATTTTTAAACTTAAAATACTTAAGTTCACTATAAAATTTTAAAACTGGTATCAAATCTTGAATTTCATTTACATCACTTTTTAGTAAGCACAAAAAATACTAACCTTCAAATTCAACTGACACTTTCCAATGTAAATTTTGAAGGTGCCGACGAAGCTTATGGCTATTACAAGCTCTAAATTTTTCCTTCGGACATAATGGACAAGCCTGTTTATTTCCTGATAAAGAAAAAGAACCAATAAGGCACAGACATTACTACCAAGTAATGCTTCAGTTCAGTTACAGAAAAGTAACGGAGGACCCCAGCCCCACCCCACTCACATAATGTCTCTCTAAACTTCAGTAAGACATCACCCCGTTTCAGCGGGTAGTTAACAAAAATTGTGTTAGCACAGGGTCAGTGATTTTTATCCTAAAACTCCCATCTCTGTGGCTGGCTGCTATCCTTACTGCCGCTGAGAACAGAAAGGATGAAGAATGATAATCTATACATTCTTCCAGCCAAAATGCCGGGCAGAGTCACTCTGTACTTTGAACAAGGGAAAAGGCAGCAGCTGTCACACTCCCTGAGGGGCAGGAGCTGGGCAGAGAGAATAAGTAGCTGTTGTGGCATTCTGCTGTAGCAGCAACAAAAACAGTTATCATGTGAAGTTAGAAAAGTGGAAGAAAAAACTCAAAGGAGTTTAATATGATTGGTATTCTGAGACTAAAGGCCATGATTAGAAACACTGTACCCTATTATTGAATTTGTGAGATCTTCCTTCTTTATTAGTACGTCCTTGAAAAGATTTTGTATTATCAAAATAAAAGTCTTATTTAATTAGAAATGTATCTCAAATGAAAACATTGATAGTATATCAAAGAATTAAAACCTTAAGTTCAAATTTAAAGCAATAAAAATATACAAAAACAATTAATACCCACTTAATAAATTTTAATCCAACGAATACCTTTCACATATAGCACACTGCCAGTATAGATACAGTTTATTTTTTTAATACTGGGCCTATTTCAAAACACCATACGTTGATCTTAAGGATGGAATCAAAGCACTAAGGAGGGCAAATCAGAAAGAGAGGAGCTTAGGGCATTGACAGTGTCATGGAACTCTCATACCAGCCCTGGATTGCTCATCTTGGTACTTATCTTACATGAGAGAATGTAAGCCTCCATATTTTCTAAGGCAATGTTGTTGCTCATAGCTGAATGCAATAGAAATACACACAGAATACACACACCCGTCGTGCACTGATAAGGTCCCTGGTGGCTTCCGCCAGCTGGGTACTCCCTCCTTTCCCCAGACTGGCCCCGTCCCTGGTCAAACTCCCAGGGGAACTCCTGGACTAGGGGACAATTTGCATACTATGCTTTTATTATATAAGATGAGACTGTAATTTCCCTGAATTGTGAAGTAACTGATCACACAGAACCTTTGCATAGAGATGACTATCAGTTTCCTGCATAAAAATACTTACTACTGCTCTAGTTCAATAGAATATACAAGTCTATTTCTAGCAAATATTTCATGCATTGAAAGATAACAAATTAGAAATTAAGGAAACATACACACATACAAACATGGAAATACCTGCATCAAGATGATCTGAGTTCAATGAACTAGAAGAGTCAAAATCCCCTTCAGCTACAAAAGCTAACTTCTCTAGATCAGCAAGCTGCCTCTGAATTGAGATGTGTCTCTCTGAAAGAAAATGTAAAAATTAGAAAATTATCTCTTAACAATCTATATTCCAGTTTCATTTTTATTATTTCACTTAGTGTTTGACAATTTATTTCCTGTAGCATAACGCCCTAATATTTAGATGGGGAATACTGCTGGAACTCAGTTTATAAAATGACAAGTGTGCCTCAAAATGCAGTCATGGGATAAAACTACATTTATGCAACCTGACAGCTTTAAAATTTACTTAATTATTCCATATGATTCTTAAAAAATGTTTCTATTCTGTACAAAACACTGAAGAAACATAAGCCATGTTTCCTATCTTCAAAGAACTTTCAATCAGGTAGGAGAGATTAACTACTAACTATAACACAAGGCAGAATGAAATGAATAGTTGGGGTAAACAGAAGGTGGACATACTGAGGAAGGGGCAATTAATTCCAACAAGAGCCTCTGACAATGTCTTTACTGAAGAAGTGGCATTAAGATATGAACAGAATTCAGTCAGATTGGTGGCTGGCCTTATAAACTTAAGTAATCCCATGGACAAAGGAATGTGGTATAAAAAATACAGCCACTTCTATCCCACACCTGGCTAGATGGAGTTGGTAGAAAAATACACGCTAAATGTAGTACAGATCATAAAAGGCATAAATTCTATGCAAGTTGGTTTTACCTTTTTTCTTTAGGCAATGCTGTCTTTGCAGGTTTTTGAGAAAGTGAATGATACAATTTGACTGTGTTTCAGGAGGATATCTCTGACTATAGTACCAAGGATCAATAACTGAGGTAAGAAATAGGTACAGGAGAATAGAAGGTAAAAAAAAAAAAAATTTAAAAAAAGAAGCAACAAACTTGAGATGTGGGTGTAAAGTAAGACTGAAGAGTAAACTCAAGAATGATTCTAATATTTCAAGTTTACATGGTTGAGAATACTGGTACCATTAACCAATAAAGAAAGAAGAAAATGCTTATGGCAGAGAGGAAGAGGAAAAGAAAAAAGGAATTTAGTTCTTGACATAGTGTGTTTGATACACTACTGGTATTCATATAGTATAGTCCAGTAGGCAGTTTAGTTTTTGGAGTTCTGGAGGGATTCTGAATGGACATAATCAATACATTCATTTGTTAGGTGAAACTATGAACATGAGGAAGAAAGCCTAAGGGAAAAAAATTGAAAATGAGAAGAAAAACAATCAAAACCCAGTTCCAGAAACACACTTTCAGGTTTTTCAAATATTACACATCCTTCAAATTACATACTTCTAAATTTTAAAAGAGAACGTTTACAAAGTGGGGGCCTGAATATACAAGGCTAGGAGGTGATAACTTTTAGGGAAAGATCCTCAATGAGACAAGAGATGATAGGATAAGCCATACACTAATATTCATTATATAATTAGGTTATACAATTTAGAACCATCAGCCTTTTAAATTTTATTCTTGACAATGCTATTATCCTGCCTAATTCCTCTCTGAGCTTCACTTGTTTACCCTTTGGTGCAATTCCCCCATCAGTAAGCAGTAAGAAGGCAGGGGTAGTCTTATTCATCTTTGTAATGGCTAAGTGACTTGCACACAGCAGGCACTGAAGTTTGTTAAATAACTTTTAAAAATCACTTTTTGGATGCAGTAGCACCGAGCCTATAATTTTGGAATTTAATACAGTGATATCAGCCATTCCTTCTCAAATTTATTAAAAAACAAATTTTTTACTGTATTTTTAAATGAGAAAAATTGTAATCATAAAGGTTTTTGGCTTCCATGGTTCAAAGGTCTGTATCTATATAAAGATGTGCTTTTAAAAATCATCCTAACTACTAAATAGTACAAAATAAAAGGAGCCTGGTAAGTTCAAAGAGCGAATGGAAAATCCTATGGTCCACTAATGAAAACTCCCAGAGATCTGTCTAACTAAAGCTTCATGACATGCCTATGTGCATCTCTGAAGTCACTCTGGTTCAAGACAGTAGGTATCAGGCAATCTGTGCTTAAATCTACTCACTCTTTCTGGAACCCACTAATAATCCAGAAGTCAAGAGATAAACCTCTTATTAAATCAGATGCTAGGAGTTTTGTTTACAACTTCTTCTGTTACTTTTCCCTCAATTTTCAGTTCTATTTCAGATATGCCATCTTCATCTTGCCTACTTATGACTGACATCTAAGGACTAACTAGACCTTCTAGAGAAAACTTTTAAAATAGTGATTAAATGTATATATTTCTAAGGCATTTCAAATTTCTCAGTTGTTAACATATGTGTAACATGCATTTCCTATAGCTGTAACCCACACCTGCTGAGGGAGACCACTCAGTGAACCCCCTCTGCCCTCTACCATCATGCAACTGGCCTTCTTCTGCATCTAGCCATCTCTGACCTTATGATGAGGAGGACCTACCTTTGCTCTCTATGGTCCAATAAATCACCACTCAGAAAACATGCAAGTACAATACATTCAGAAGCGCAAACAATACTATGGGCTATCGTTTTCAACAGCTGACTTGTGATGTAAATGAAATACAAAACTCCACTGGTACTTATGTCTGAGGGAAGACCTCTATCGTTTACTAGACCATTCACCCACTCGTCATTCTCAACTTCTTTTGGGGAGCAAACTGCGGTAGAAAAAATGAAATGAGAAAAAACTCATCTTTGTGTGTGTGTGTGTGTGTGTGTGTGTGTGTGTGTGTCCAGACATAGAACCTAGGTGAGAGCAACGGTTTCTAAATCTTGGCAGCTAGGATCTGCTACCGTAAATACACGGGTTGCCTCGGTTACTATGTCACATTTTTAAAGGACCCCGTGACGAAAGCTCAGAGAAACTACCAGATTAGGTGTCCCTTCCTATCTTTGTACTAGAAAAAAAAAAAAAAAAAAAACCTTTAACGAAGCCCTCAAACTCATGTTGCAGCACCCCTCTCCCCCCCCCCCCCATAACCTTCATCGCAATGTCCTCGAGGTGGGTGGGCATTGTCTTCTCCATTCCGTGCCCGTTTGCCGACCTGCTACACACCTTCCTCTCTCATGAAAGCCACCCCCGAGGAAGAAGGGCCTCCCCCAGCAAGACGCCCTCTCTCGCTCCCGCAGCAGAGAAGACCAGGGCCTCCTGCACTTACTGCTTTCAGCCTCGTCGGGGCCAGAGGCTGGGGACGGGGACAGGGCCGGCGCCGGCGCCGGCGCCAGGGCGGGGGCGAGGGCTGGAGTCGAGGCCGGAGTCGGAGCCGAGTCCGGGGCCGCCGGAGCTGGGACCCGAGCCGAGTCCGGGGCCGAGGTCGGGACCTGGGCCGGAGCCACCACCACCACCTCCTCCTGCTCCTCCTCCGCCATATTCTCCATAGTTACCGCCTCCGTGTGCCAGACCCGTGCGCGCGGGGGACCAGGCGTGAGCTCAACGGCGGCGGGATCGGAAAACGGGCTTGGATGCCCAGAGGGCTGGATCCGAGGAGGACGGGGGAAGCGGGGGAGCTAGCGGGGAAGGCGGGGACCAGAGCAATAGACAAAAGAGGAAGAACCAGCAACCAATGCCGGTCTGCAGGAGAGTTAAAAGCCAGAGGCAGCGGTTCACGGTTCTACCGCTTCCCTTTTCCCCCTCCTCCCCGCCCCGAGGCGTTACGACGCCGCCCCTCACTGCGCAGACGCGAACTGGGGGGGGTGGGGGGTGGACGGCGCCCAATGAGGTAAGAGCATTCTGTTTCCACTGTGCGTGCCCGTTCCAGACGTTCACTACCCAACCGAGCCAAAGACTACAATAACCAGCGTGCACCGCGCCCCGGCTGGGGAGGGGGCGGAGCCGGCTGAGTTCCAAGTCCTCGGAGAGAGTGAAGGCTCCCCCAGTGGTCACCTGGAGCCGAGTGCAGGACTACATTTCCCGGCGGGCCCCGCGCTCAGGGGGTCTCTTTCCCTTGGCCGGGCCTCTGGAGTCGCCACCACCACCGCCGCCGCCGGCGCTGGTAAGGAGGGGAGCTGGGGGGATTCGTTGACGTTCTGCCGGGGCAGGCTCATTCGGGTTCCTGCGGGACCTAGGCGGCAGCCGGCCGGCCTGGGGATTCAGGGGGGGGCGGGGGGGGCTCTACTCTAAATGTAAAAAAAATAAAATAATAAAATAAATAAAATGGGGCGGGCGAAATGTGGGCGGATCCGGGGTCCCGCCAGCTCCCGGGGAAGGTGTGGTTCTGTGGCCCGGCCCTGCCTCTGGGGCTGCCCTTCGCTCCGCGTCGATTCGTGTCCTCGAGCGGCTGACGAGGTGGCCTGTCAGCCCGGCGGATTCAAGTTGGTGTGTCCCGCGCCGCCTTTCGCAACCCTCACCCGCGCCGGGACCCGATCCCTCTTCTTTTGTTGTTACTTTTTCTTTTTTTTCCCCTTTTTTTCTGGAATCGACGTTATTCCCACTTTCTTCAGCGTCCGGTGCCTTAGGGTCAATAACCCCCATACTCCCCGGCCCGCTCGCCCGCCCGCCCCTCTCACGCTGGTACCCATGCTTTCATAACCAGAACTCTGAGGCTGTGGAGCTTCGGGGACCTGGATGGATGTCATTCCGATGCCCGAAAGCGTGTTCCAGGGGCCCTAGCCCCCCTCTTCCTCTGGCTCCGGGCCTGCCGGGTCCCAGCCGCGCGCGCCCCCGAGCCCGCGCGGGGCGGGCGGCGGGGGAAAAACAAGTTTTGCGGCCGTTCTGTCCGGGGATGGCTTCGAACGTTACAGGCGTCGGGAGAGGGGAGCTGCTCTGCAGTCTCAGGTGGCAAGACCATTCAAAAAGGGGGGGAAATGACACATGAAAACTCAGAGAAACGGGTGGTGGCTCGCTGTAGTCGTCCCGTTTTCCAAGAATCCTAGACGGGGCGGTTAGTGGAAAGCTTGGTTCGCGGGGGACGTCCATCTAGTCTTGTCATACCGGCTGGGAAAGAAGAGGGGACAAGGGTTAGATTTTAGCGTGTACGTTCTATGGGAGTTTTCCAAAGTATTTTTTTTTTCTTTGATTCTTCGTTGTTTTGTTTTAAATATATTTTTATAATTTATTTTTTACAGAGAGGAAGAGAGAGGGATAGAGAGTGAGAATCAAAGATCAGTTGCCTTTTGCACACACACACACACCCTCCCCATGGGGGATGTGCCCGCAATCAAGGCACATGCCCTTAACCGGAATCAAACCTGGGACCTTTCAGTCTGCAGGCTGACGCTCTATCCACTGAGCCAAATCAGTTCTGGCTAATTCTTTGTTATTTAAAGTATTTTTCCCCTCATTGACCTTTCCCTGGTTACCCCCTCTTCTAGGTTACACCCTCTCCCCCTCCCCCCCCCCCCCCCCGTGTCTGTGTCCATGAGTTACGCTTATATGCATACAAAAAAAAATTTGTAAGCAAGGTTACTGATCTTGAGACATTCTAAAAAGGAATCTTCCGAGTTTGAAGAATTATATTAAGAGGGTATTACTAATCTGTTGCTGCCTAAATTTATCCCAACGTTTAGTGGCTTAAAATGATAAACATTTTTTTACAACACAGTTTCAGTAGGTCAGGAATTCACAAATGGCTTTTTTGTGTGTCTAGCTCCGGGGTTTCTCATGAGGATGTGAAGATACATGGCAAGGGTGTTGCCATGTAAAGGCTTGGTTAGGGCTTCCGGATCAGCTTCCAAGGTGGCTCGCTCACATCCCCGACCCTTGGCGGTTTTTTTGGAGAGGTGGGACTACTTGAATGGAGTCCAGACTACTTGAATTCCTTGGACTACTTGACTGTCCTCACGACTTGGTGGCTGGCTTTCTCTAGAATGACAGAGACATTCTAGAGTTCAGGACAGAGAAAGGCAGAAGCTGCAATGTCTTAGATGACCTAGCCAGTATTTACTTAAGGCCTACTATTATCTACCTTGTGCAGGGCATTTAATATCCATTGTTTCATTAAAGCCCCTCAAAACCCTCTCTGTTTTACATATAATGAAACTGGGACTCAAAAAAATGTGTTTAATTTGCCCGAAATCTCACTCAGTGAGTGACAGTTGAGAGTGTGTCAGGAAAATGAAGACGTATGACTATGGTTTTGAGGAGTAGGTGGGACAAAATGCAATATTCCTGCAGGCAGTTGAAATGATGACCAGATGCTCGAGAGAGAAGTCAGGGCTAAGGGCATAGTTTGGGAGAGACATTCCTGAAGTGAGATAGATGAAGTTGGAGGAGAGGATAGATCATTATGAGGGAGAATCCTCCTAACGGAACAATGAGAGAATCCTATCATCTTAGGAATGGTTAGCAAATGGAAATCATTTGGTAAAACTCCAGTCTTTAAATAACTGAAAGAATAATTTCGAGTGTATTTTTGCGGTGGTGTTAAAATATACATAATGTGTTTTTAATGTTTATTTTAGCTTTTCAAAATGTCCAAAGATTCTTGTGGAAAAAGAGAGACGTCTCAGAGAAAAGATACCACCTCATTACCCCACTTTGATGAAGTAAGAATTCTTTTATTTACTAACCAAAGACACTGTTTTTAACAGTTTATTTTTGTGTAATGTAAAACATACTCCTCTGTTTTAAAATGACATATGTAACTATATTGTTCTGCCCTTCTGGCCCACTCTCTACTTTTGTTATTTTATTTATTCCTCAACTCCATCAGGTAGGTACTACTATTGTCCTAGTTACATAGATGAAGAAACTGAAACTTAGAGAGGTACTAAGTAATTTGCCTTGACATTCCTGACTTCAATTCTGAATGTCTTCAGAATCCTCCTTTTCATGAAAGTTACTCTCCGTTAGACCTTTTCCCACATCTTCCTTCTGCATTTACTCAGCATTGAGGGTATTTTTTCCCCATTGATTTAAAAAATATATATATTTTATTGATATTTTACAGAAAGGAAGGGAGAGCGAGAGAATTAGAAACACCAATGTGAGAGAAATATCAATCAGCTGCTTCCTGCCCCCCCTGCCCCCTTCCCTCCCCCCGGGATATGCCCATAGCCAAGGTACATGCCCTTGACCAGAATCAAACTTGGGACCCTTCAGTCCGCAGGCCAATGCTCCATCCACTGAGCCAAACCAGTTAGGGCTCCCATTGCTTTTTAAAGAGAGTGGAAGGGAGGAAGGGAAGAGAAAGAAGTCTGGGGATTGAACCTACAACCCAGGTATGTGCAAGTCAGATCATATCACCCCTTTACTCAGTACTTTCTAGTGGTTTTCCACTTCATCCAGAGTGAAAACTAAAGTCCTTGCTGGGCAGCAAAGTGACCTACTCGTCCCATCTCTTCTCCCTCTCATTCCAAACCTTTGTTTTCCCCACCCCATGGCTTTCTTGCTATGTTCCAGCAAACCAGCATTCCTGCCTCAGGGGCTTTGCCCTTGCTGCTATTTATTCCCTTTGAAGGAAAAGCACTTATCCTAAATATTCATGTGGTTTGTTCCATCCCTTCTTCAGGTCTTTATTCTTTAAAATTGTTTCTGCCTCATTCTCTCCCTTCCCCCCTCCCCAATATTTCCCAATTCGTTTCTCTGCTTCCCCCTCACCCCATTTCCCATATCATAGTGTGACACACTGAATATACTATTTATTTGTAAACTCCTACTCTAGATTTTAACCTCCAGGAGGGCAGGGACTTTATAGTTTTTTTATTACTCTGTCCCCACTGTCTAGAACGTCTTACCTACCATGTGTACTCAAAATATATTTGTCTTGGATCTGTTGAATCAGTACCCCGTGAAAGAGAACTGGATATATGGGTTTGATTTATAGAAGACTGAGTTCCACCATGCCTGCCACACCTCACGGTACCCTTATCTGAGCTGTCAGATGGCCTTCTGCTGTAACACTTGTATCCTACCTCATCTCTGGTTTTGGAGCAAGCATCTAGCTTGAGTTGCGTCTCTTCTAGTTGGGTTACCTTTCTCTTAACTGTTTGTGTGCGTTTGAATATTGTTCTCTGAAATTTATTATTAATGTAGAAAGAATGTTGATTTATAATAGTGATGAAATAATGTGCTTTATTTTATCCTTTTCTTTCTTCTTTTCCAAATGCTATTCTTAGGATAAGAAAGATAAAAAAACCTCAGCAAGTTCAACTAGCTCATCTTGCTCTGTAAGATCCATTTCATCAGAGAAGAGAAAACTGGTGAGTGTTTAGATACTATAAATAACTTGGAAAATTATTTATTTTAAAGTTTGAATGTACACTTAGAAGGCTTATAATATAAATTCACCCCTACTTTTTCATTAGTTTTTCTTCTTCTATGTATTATACTTACTTTTTGATAGCCAATGGAAAGAAAACCAGGTTGATTTTTTTTCTTCCTTCTATTCACCAAAAAGCATTTATCAAGTTCCTTATTTTTTTGTGCTGATAGAACTTGTCATTTGGGTTTAGACTACATGATATAAATTTATACATTTAAAAAAATATATATTTTATTGATTTTTAAAAAATATATTTTATTGATTTTTCACAAAGAAGAGAGAGGGATAGAGAGTTAGAAACATCGATGAGAGAGAATCATCGATCAGCTGCCTCTTGCACAGCCCCTACTGGGGATATGCCCGCAACCAAGGTACATGCTCTTGACCGGAATAGAACCCGGGACCTTTCAGTCCGCAGGCCAATGCTCTATCCACTGAGCCAAACCGGTTTCAGCTATTTTATTGATTTTTCACAGAGAGGAAGAGAGAGGGATAGAAAGTTAGAAACATCGATCAGCTGCCTCTTGCGCACCCCCTACTGGGGGATGTGCCTGCAACCAAGATATATGCCCTTCACCATAATGGAACCTGGGACCTTTCAGTCTGCAGGCCAATGCTCTATCCACTGAGACAAACCGGTTTTGGCTAAATTTAGACATTTTAAAAGTCTTTTCCTATATATGGTTGTATTTGTCTTTACAATTTCAGACTAAACTATAAAGCTGGTGCATGGGTGGTTGGTGAAGTACTTACTTCATTCAAGTTGAAGTTAGGTTTATGTCAGGATAGCAACAGAGTTGTGGGTAATATGGAAAAAGTAGTGAAAGTTCCATGAATACACAATTGTGTTTTTAGAAATATTTTTTTTTCATATAATGAAACTGCTATTTCAACTTACTGTTACTATATTAACCTCGTTAAAACACTGATTTTGTCATATTTTGTCTGTTAAAAACCTCCACTTACTTTTTAGTTTGTCATTCAGGACGTTCTTAAATTTGGTTACATCCTAACTCTTTAGTTTTCTTTTTTCTTTGGCCTCAAAACTTCTGCTTCTAGCTCGGCAGGTGTATTTTGTCTCTACTGAATTTGTACTAATCGTCTTTAGCTTTTTAGAATGCCTAGCACTCGTAGCCAAGAATGCCTTTTTCTTTTACTCATTAATCTTTATTCAGTCTATATTTAATCTTTAGCATATATTTTGTCCACTTTTAAAAATATATATTAATTTACTGACTTCAGAGAGAAAGGGAGAAGGAGAGAAAGATAGAAACATCAATGGTGAGAAAGAGTCATTGATCGGCTGCCTCCTGAATGCCCCCTACTGGGGATCAAGCCCACAACCCAGGCATGTGCCCTAAGCTGGAATCAAACTTAGGACCCTTCCGTCTGCATGCTGACGCTCTATCCACTGAGCCAAGCTGGCTAGGGCTATTTTTTTATTTTTTAAAAAATATATTTTATTGATTTTCCACAGAGAGGAAGGGAGAGGGATAGAGAGCTTGAAACGTCGATGAGAGAGAAACATCGACCAGCTGCCTCCTGCACACCCCCTACTGGGGATGTGCCCGCAACCAATGTACATGCCTGGGACCTTTCAGTCCACAGACCGACACTCTATCCACTGAGCCAAACCGGTTTTGTCTGGCTAGGGCAATTTTGTCCACTTTTGTTCTGGGTATGTTCTAACTTTTGGTGGTTGATGTTTTAAACACTTATTGTCTCTTTTTCTGCTTTTCTGCTTGCTTGTATCTTTACATTTGGCTATTTGTACATCTCTTCTACTTCTCTTTTTTACTATATAAGCTCTTTCATAAAGGGACTGTATCCTGTTTCTCTCTTATTTTTCTTGTGTTAAGCACTGTTTCATCCAAATACATAGACAGGGTGGCAGAATAGAGAGTAGACTGATCTGGTTTCAAATCATGGCGCTGCTGCTGCCCTGCCCTGTGACATTGCAGAAGATAATTTGCTGTTTGTGCCTTGCCTACTTTATCTGTAAAATGGGGGTTGATAATGATGTCCTCTTCCAAGTTTATTAGAAAGATTAATTAAATTATTGTGTCAACCTATTCACTACCACATAGTTATGGGGGGAAAAATTGTCTCTCAGTTTCTTCCCTGTAACTGTAGTGCCACTGCACAACTTATATTTCTTTAATGATAGTCTTTTTCCCCTCCAGAAATCAGATCATATAGACGTTGTGAACTGTAATGCAAAAAGAAGACATGAACTGAAAAGGTAAATTCCCTCCTTTTTACTCTTTTGGTCTAAAATTATGAGACTAAAATATTTAGACTCGCAAAATCCTTTACTTATTTGATTAGTACTGTTTTGAATGCAAATATTTCAAGCTACATTACAGATAATAATTTTTTAACTTTGTTAATATAAGTTCAAGGAAAAGTGGAGTGAAATAAAAAGTCTATCAGAATTCTACTCTATATAAAAGACTCAAATAGAATGTAGATTTTTATTTCAAGTAATTTGATTTTTCATACTTTTAAAAGCTACAAAACTTCATTATTGTAGAGTAATAGAAGTCAGGAGGCTAATAAAATTTGGATAATTTTCTTTTTAAAATATTTTTATTGATTTCAGAGAGGAAGGGAGAGGGAGAGAGAAACATCAATGATGAGAGAGATCCCGCACCTCCCCCCCCCCCCCATTCCAATGGGAATTGAGCCACAACCCAGGCAGTTGCCCTTGCCCAGAATCAAACCTGGGACCTTTCAATACATAGGCTGATGGTCTATCCACTGAGCCAAACCAGCTAGGGCTGGATAATTATCTTTATACTAGGGGGTGGGGGAGTCTCCTCAGCCCAACCTGCACCTCTTCAATCTAGGACATCCCTCTCACAATCTGGAACCGCTGGCTCCTAACTGCTCACCTGCCTGCCAGCCTCAAACAGCCCCTGCCAGCCTAGTTGCCCCCAACTGAGGGAGGCCTCTCCACCCCCCGCTGACCACGTTGCCCCCAACTGCTCCCCTGCCTAGTCAGGGAGGGGAGCAGTTGGGGGCTGTATATATATTATTTCAAATGCCATTTTCCAGTTCTTTAAGTTTTGTTTATTAATTTTTAATATGCTAAAATGTGTAAGTAAATAATGATTAACATTTATTATTTTCCCTTGTGATTTTTTCCCCCCATGGCTTTTATTTTATTATTTTAAAAATATATTTTATTGATTTTGTACAGAGAGGAAGGGAGAGAGAGAGAGAGCCAGAAACATCCATGAGAGAGTCATCGATCAGCTGCCTCTTGCACACCCCCTACTGGGGATATGCCCGCAACCAAGGTACATGCCCTTGACCGGAATCGAACCCGAGACCCTTCAGTCCCCAAGCCGACGCTCTATCCATTGAGCCAAACCGGTCTTGGCTCCCCCAGGACTTTTAAATTTAGGAAGTTCTCTACTAAAAATTCAGGTTAAAAAAAACAAATTAGATAAATTTTTCTCTGGTGGTTTTTAAGGGATTTATATGAAGTATAGCAATTATGGTAATAATAATTATTTTGCACTTAAAATGTTTAATCTATTTGGAATTTATGTTCTCAGGGTATTTTATAAAGCTTTAAATTTGTTGTATTGTTTTCCAAATAGCAAGCCAATTATTCCAACACCAGTTGTTGACTGATCCTTTTCATTTCATTTCTAATGTAGTAATTTCTACTTTTTATGAATTATGTGTCAGGCTAGTTCTGTTATTTCCTAACTAAAATGATACAATTCAAATTATTATAATCGTGTACAACTGTAATGTAACCTAGGTTTCTGTGCTACTTTACAGACTGAATGTAGACACTGACACTCTAAGAAAGAGACCAAAAATCAACTCGTCATCCCAAGAACCTGTTAAACTTCAAGAAGCATCATATGCCAATGATAATCGAATTATTTCACAAAGTCCTTCAAATGGAACTAAAAAAGATATAAGTAAATGTGTAGATTTTAAAGATATTAAATTGCCAAATGTTAGGGGTAGCCTTGACCATGGAGTTAAAAACCTTAGCATTCCTAAAATTGCCAAAGATGTGAAACCTAAAGCTGAAGGTCAGGCAAATGAAAAACTGCAGCTTCATTTACTTGCTCACAGGCAGAAGATGAAAGATCTCAAGAAGGAAAGGCACAATAAATACAGAGACAGTTTTGAAAAATGTGTTTTGGAAAAGTGCAAGAGAGCCCAATATTCTCAGGATTATAATTCCAACAAGATATTTAAGGAACCCCCTGAATCTAGAAGAAGGAAGGTCAGTTTCAAAATCCCAGCAAAATCCCAAGATTCCCGCCAGAAGCCTGCAGAAGAAAACATCTTCCTTTCAGAGTCCAGCAAGTCAACGACTAAGCAGAAGAAAAAAGGGTGCCTGGAAAACTTGCAGGTTTCATTAAATATGATGAAGCAAACAAATAAACATTTGTTTTCAGATTTCACTTGTAAGCAGACTGTTTGTGAGTGGAAAGGAAAATATCATTTTGAGCATCAAGAAAGTAATGATTCAAGTTCTAGTGAACACCAGACCCAGGTAAGGTGGTACAAAACAGAGAATGTAGGTTCTAGCAAAGACCAATATTGTTCCCATTACTAATAATGATCATAGAGGGCTGGTTCAAATTTAGTCAGGAAGATAGGTGCTGGTGCCTGTATTTAGCCCCTTTAATTCTAACGTCTAAGAATATCCTGGCAAGTATCAAGGCTCCATAATAGAAGGGAATGCGTAAAAATGTAGAAATACACAATTACAGATAGTCCTTTAAAAAAAGCACTATTGCCCTATCCAGTTTGGCTCAGTGGATAGAGCATTGGCCTGTGGACCAAAGGATCCCAGGTTCGATTCTGGCCAAAGGCACAAGCCCGGGCACGGGCTCGATCCCCCAGTAACTGGTGTGCAGGAGGCAGCCAATCAATGATTCTCTCTGATCATTGATGTTTCTGTCTCTCTTCTTCTCTGAAATCAATAATAAAATAATAATAATAAAAGCTCTATGGCCCAGTTAGTTGGATTATCATACAGTATACCAAAAGGTTGTGGGTTTGATTCCCAGTCAGCACATACCAAGGTTTGGGTTTGTTCCCCAGTCAGGTGCATTTGGGAGGCAACCAATCAATGTTTCTCTTTCTCTCTCTATATATATCCCCCTTCCCTCTATAAACTCAATTAAAAAAAAATCCTCTGGTGAGAATTAAGAAAAAAACAAAAACACTGTGGCAGTCTCTTATGTTCTTCTTGAAACCCAGCTTCTATAGAACACCCAGGAAAATGACTATTAAGTTGTAGAGGAGACATTTTTGCATGATTACTTTCCAGTTATTGGAATTAAAGCTCTTTATTAACTGTTCATTGATCGTAGCTTTATCTGACTTAAAGTCATTTAGACATAGGAGCAGCAATTGTTCTTGAAAATATTGTCTTCAGCATATGGTTGACAGTATAGAATCATCTTAATATTATGTTCGTTGTTTTGTTTTCCTCACAAATTTTTTAATAGATAATTTAATAAAACAATGATTGTACTTTACAGGGAAATAATTGTATTTTCTGGCAGTAGTAATCCTGGTATGCTTTCTTAAAAGAAAATACTTATTTTGTTGCCTAGATTTTACAGTCCTTTGATACAGACCTTTCTCAGATTGCACCATATCTCCAGCTTTACAAATTAATGTTCTAGAAACTATGGTTTATATACTACTTTTATAAACTTAGTACTTACAAATCTGTGAGGTAGAAATTCATCATGGTTACCTGACCCCAATGTCAATGGTGCCAAGATTAGACAATCCCACTGTAGATATATCCTTCATTCTAAACTAATAAAATTACTTTTCATTTCAGAGTTTTGAAGCACAATGTTCTTCAGTGTCATATGAAAGTATTCCAGATACAGATCAAGAGGTTAATAATATACTTATTTACTTTTAATGTTTTTAGTGAAATTAAGTCAAACAGTTTCTATTTTAATAAAAATAATGACTTTATATGAAGTATATATGGTAATATGAAAATAACACTGATATCGGTCCTGAATCAATATATAAGTTCTTGTGAAGTCATGAAAAATTTTTTGGAAAAGTGTTTATATTTACTTAATCACCTTTTTGCTTTTGTTTCTAATCATTGAACCTGTTTTGAATAAAGAGCATAGAGCCCATTGCCCACAAGTTACATAAATTTTGATTATAAATTTTAATCAAAATAAATTTGCATACTTTATGCCTGGGCTTTCCAGAATGCAGTTTGATACTAATATTTTTTAAAAATCTGCAATAAGATGAAAATGTTATTCAGTGAAAGCAAAAGTGCAAACATATTTATTTATTTTTTACCTGCTGCATCATTTTCCCAGCTAGAATCTCCTGATTGAACGTCATAGAATTATTGCAGATTTTGTGTTACCTAGTCCTGAATTAAAATTAGATTTTTAGAACAATGTATTTTCCTATTTTTAAGAAGATTTTAAAACCCATATTGATTATGATGGGTTTTTATTTATGACAGTCAGTTGTATTTTTCTGTCTTATGTGCAGATTTTCCCCTTTGCTCTAAAGCTATATTTAGATTGTAGTTTTTCTTAGAAATCTCAAGCAGAGCACTCATCATCTAGATATAAATACATTTGTCTCCTCGAATACTTTATGATAAGAATGGGGATGAGAATAACTTAATGTGAGAGTCTACTATGTACTAGGCCTTGTGACAGGAACTTTGTAGCATTTTATTTAATCCTCACAAAAATACTAAAAGGAAATAGATATTTAACATTCCTATTTTATAGATGAACAAACTGAGACCCAAGGTGGTTAAATACTTTGCTTGCTTAAGGTTACAGCAATATTAAGAGAGGAGCTTTTTTAAAAACCCTGTATATGTTTACAAGTCTGTATTCTTTTACCATGCTACATCCATATTTTTGTCAATGTTTTTCATCCCATAAGCCATCTCATTTTAAGTAAATTAAGAATTAATTGCTTTCAAATTAATCTGCAGAGTAAATAATTGAAAATATTTTACTGTACGTCTTTTACAATTTAGATGCAGATAGTAGAAGAGCTTCATGCTGCACGTGTGGGGAAAACTGTGGATTTGCCTGTGGTCCCTCCTCCTGGAGAGTTATCGAGCATGGAGATTGACTTGGTAGAAGATGATGTGCATTCCTCTGCTGGTATAGCTGATATCCATATGATGACAATATTTATAGTCTCCTGTGCTTTCTTAAGAATGAATATGCCAACATTCAATTTCTATAATATTTGGATGAAAAATGTTAAAATATACTCATTTGAAATTATAAAGAACAGTGTATTTCTTTTAGCTATAGGGATAGGTCTAATATCTGTCTTATCATCATTTGTTTTTATATCTCTCACATTATTAGGCAGATATAGCTTGTTTCTCTTTTTGCCAAGGGCAGTAAGCAGAGTCAAGTTGTTCTTTATTTCTGCTATTAATTGTAACTTTTAACAAGTAAAAGCACTAATCAGAAATAATGCAAATTGCTTGAAGTATTATATGCCTGGATTTCTTATTTATATAGTAAAGTTTTTATCATTCTTACTAGTGGGAGAAGATAATGATGGATATTATCCAAAATCTATTAATATGCAATTTTGAATTGTATATGAAAATAGTAATGCTATATCATATTCACATTGATTTTTTCAATTTATTGTTTTCATGTATATTAACCTGATTCTCTCACAATGGCCCTATAAATTAATTCATAGACAATTCATAATATTCTACTGGTAGATTATTAATTATTACTGATCCTTCTCTTAAGAATTGTTGTCTGAAGGACTTCTTTCTCTTAATGCTATCAAAGTTCTATGACATCAAAATTTTAGTTTTTAAAGAAGTCTGTTTTAAGTATTATAAAATCCTTACTTGGCTCTTTTTCTCTAGCAAATATTGCTTCAGACAAACATCTTCTAATTGTTATTGATACAAATATTCTGATGAATCATCTCAAATTTGTTAGAATTTTGAAGACAACAGAAATCCCAGGTATTTATGAAACATATTTACTGATTCTGACTTTATTTGAGTTGATATTTTATGTTAACAGTGATATGGGTATTTCTCCTTCCCCCAGCACATTTCTTTCTGGATATACTATTAAGCAAATATTAACCATAATCAGCTTAAGTTAAAAAAAAAAAATCCTTCTAAGGTTAACCTAGACCTAAATGGACTCTTCTTTCATCTTCAATAGTATTTATTTTTGTAATACTCTTTTGACACATCTGTTTTTTATTTCCATTTTTTATATGTGATTTAGTAACTAAATATTTCTTGACTTCTATGACATCTTTATTTTTTTAGGCTTCGACAGGCTTGTGTTAATAATTCCCTGGGTAGTTGTACAAGAGCTAGATCGTATGAAGGCGGGAAAACTACTGAAATATGCCCAGCACAAAGCTATACCTGCGGTTCGTTTCATCAATGACAGTCTCAAAAGTCAAGATAGAAAACTCTGGGGTCAATCAATACAACTTGCATCTCAAAAACTTTGTAGGTATTGTTCTCTCGTGTACTTCCTGATTAAGATTTGTTGGGACTGATTCATTACTGGAGGGAAATGGTGCAAAACTTATAAAAAATTTATAACCATTGCCATGTAAAATGGCAGGACATAGTGATTGGTTGGGGTATTCTATTAGGCTTAGATTGGGGGTTTTTGATTTTTAATTTTATGCTTCTCCTAGATCTTCTTAGGTTATGTCTATATTTCACAAATAGTGACATATGGTTCTATGTACATAGTTGTATATAATATACTACTTTGGATTCTTTTTTTAAAAATACTATTATTGTCTTGTCCGAGTAACTCAGTTGATTAGAGTGTTCTCCCCATAATGCCAAGATTACGGGTTTGATCCCGGTGAGGGCACATACAATAATCAGCCAATGAATGCATAGCATAAATAAGTGGAACAACAAAAATTGGTGTTTCTCTCTCAAATTCATTAAAAAATAAAATTAAAAATTAAAAAATACAAAAATATAATAAGAACAATACCATTTATAAGTGATAAGACCTATAAGTGATCTAAGATGCTTATCTATCATTACATGCTGTTAGTGCAGTATAGAGTCAGGCATTGTCTTCCTCTAGTTTGTCAGAATCTGTAATAGGGAGGTGTCTTTATAATAAAGGTCTGTAGTTTTCTCATGATTTGATTTATTTCCATATTAGTTTAATTCATTTTTTTTTTTATCACTTTAGCCTTAGGAGCCTTTATGTTTAATAGAACTTTTTTTGGTGGAGGAATGTGTGTATAAAGAACACTGTTGCCTCTTTAGAGTTTATATATCCATTTAGAAGATTTATTTAATTCTTTAAAAATTTGTTTCTTCCCAATTCAGAATTATTTATATATTAAGATTTACATTGTTATAAATATAATGGATTTATATTGTCTACTATATACCCATATTTACCACAAGATATGAAAGAATTCATTCTAGTAGGAATATAATTATGATATTAATGCTGAGAGGCTTTTGGCACAGCTGTTTAGTCTTTAGTCTGAAGAAAAAGGGCCTCCACCATTCATTTATTCATTCCATTTATAAATATTTATTAGTATATTCCAATTACAATACTTATATACTTTAAATAGGTATTTCATTTGATTTGTTGAAGAACCTTCAAAGGAAAATCTCAAATAAGTATCAATTAATAGAGGTTAAAAAATATTAAAATGTTTGAATACTTTAAATTGAACACTTTAGATGGTCTTTTTCTTCTTTTTATTATGCAAAATTTCAAATGCAGAAATAGAGAAAATAATATAATGAATCCCTTTGTACTTATCACTCATTTTCAGCAATTATCAGCATTTGCCATTCTTCTTTAGAATCTCTCACTTTTTCTCTTCTTCCCTAACTCCTGGAACTTCTATAATAGTTTGAAATTAATTCCAAATATCATATCATATTATTTTTACCCATAAATACTGAGGTATATGTTGATAACAGATAAGATTCTTTTTTAAACAACCACACAATTAACAAAATTAACCCCTTATGTAATCCATCATTTCCGTAAAGTCCCAGTGCTTAATAAGAGATAGGAATTTTGCTTACTCAATCTTTTTTTTAGTTTGTTGATACAAATGATATTTGATTATATAATAATATAGATAATTATGTCCATTATCTTCCAGACCCTTTTCTAAAAGTTTTTAACCTAACATCTCATTCATGCTTTATAGTACTGTGGAATATAGTCATATTGGCCCCGTTTTACTGATGAGGAAATGAGACACAGATTAAGCATTTGTTCTAGATAGAAATTTCTTTCCTAGATTAGCTTTGATAATTAGTTTAGAAGAGTTCATTTGAGAAGAAATATTTTGGCCATTCTTAGTATTTTTAGATGCTTACCATGTTTCTTTTGACTTTTCCATTTTCATGTGCTTTTTTAATGCTTTGGCCTCTTCAGCCTGTGCTTTTTGATGGTTAAGGAGGATAAATCATTGTAGCTATCTTAAACTTCTGTGTTGTTTCAGTTTCTGGGTGTCTTCCTTGAACTCCACGCTTCACTTTAATATTTGAATCTTATTTGACCTTAGTTTTGTTAAGTTGCTTTTAGTTATAAGGTTGTAGATATAATAATAGATTATTTGTGTAATTATGTCAGATGATATATAAAGTACTTAATGGTTTATGGCCTCAAGTAGTGATAATTCTTATATCCATGTTATATGAAAAGCTTATACATATTGATTAAAAAAACTAAATATGCCTTTCCCTAAGTAAATGAAGATTAGTATTAGGTAATTCAAAAAAGGAAGAAATACAATTAGTCCTTTGTTTATTGCATATATCTCCCTTTCTGTTGGTCATTTTGAATGTTGTTAATTTCTTTAACTTTTTTTAAAATTTCTTTTTATTACTTCTAAATTTAGAAAGTTACTTTTCCCCAACACCGGGTAGGAGCATTTACTTTGGGAATTATGAATTAGTAACTTTTCAGGAGAGCATTTATCAGTGTATATCAAGAAGCATAAAAATATAATTCTCTTCCTAGAAATATATCCTAAAGAAATAATCAGAGATGCTCATAGTGGTTTATATTAAAATGTTCATCACAGCATCATTTATACAGCAAAAAATTTGAAACAACCTGACTGTCTAACAATTGAAGTTACATTTAAAGCTATAGTATATGAAGGAATACTATATTTTGAAAAATATTAATGACATAAAATTAAAACTTATTGAATAAATATTTCATGAATATTCTTGTGGTTTTAGGTGTGTTTTTCAGCCCCATGTATCCTAGAAAAAGTGGTAGAAAAGATAGATATTCTTGAACTTTGATACTTTTAGAGCAGTAAATTATAACTTTTAAACCTTCTTTTGTCTGTGGATTCAGTGACTTAAACTCATCTAATGATTTCGAGCTGCCTACTTTGCATTATTGTGGTATTTTCTCTGTGAGCTAAAAGAAGGAAAATTGGCTGCTGTAATATATGTCTGTCTGCCTCACTGGTTGTCTGATAAAAAAATTGAATTAAATCTCCTTCAGGCTCATGTTTTGAGATCAGCTGAGTTATGTCTAGACTTCTCGATGAGATTATGAGCTCCTAAAGAGTTTGTCTTTGCATATCCAATTACTTAGCACAGTGACCTAAGTATTTGTTGTAGAAATGAATGAGTTTTCTCATTTGAATGTTCAGAGGACTAAGTATCATGGTAAAGTTTGAGGGAAACAAAACATAATCTGGTAACATTGCTAATTGGCTAGTATGTTTTGAATTTTAGTGTGTAAGGGATTTCCTAAGTGCTTACATCAGTTTTTGGGTCCGGACTCCAAAAATTATTATCCAGAAGTGGGTCTGAGAGTATGGTCCTGCTATCTCTATTATTCGCAAGCACCCTCGGAGTTCTGAGGCAAATAGGCTAAGGACCTAAGAGAAGCAATGTTTTTGGTTCTATTTCTGCACATTCCAATATTTTCACAAAAACCAAGCTTTTACCACCTACTTTAAATCTAGAAGAATGCCAGAGGACACCCTGTCAGCCTCTGATAAACATTTGTTAGAGATTATTTTTGTGTTCTCTGCCTTTTCCTGTACATCTCTAAATGTTACTGCATTAGAGAATAAGGAGAAGCAGGCCCATGAAAGTGATTCTGTTGTTGGTAGAATAGTTTCTCATAATCTTTACAGATCTCTTTTAAGTTGACATCATTTTAAACATGATATAATCATAATTTACTAATAATCTCTAATTGACTGAATTGAGACTAGAATTCATAGCTTTTGGTTTCTAGCCCTGATCATATTTTTTGGAGTTTATTAATAGGTATATCTTATTCCATTTTAGTAGAAAACTGAAAACTTTTTTCAAATTCACAACTAGATGCTACCTGAGTTCTAGATCCAAAATTCTTAAGGTATTGTTTTGCTATGTTATATCTTCCTTTTATTTACAAAGATTTTTTTGTTTTAGATGCTTTTGGTATATAAGTACAGTTTGGATTTTGATATATAAGTACAGTACCCAGGTTTCTAGTGTGCTGAATGATAATTGTTTTTACTAAATTTGCAGATGGATTCAGTGATGAGAACAATGATGATCGAGTATTAAAATGCTGCCTTCAATACCAGGAATTATTCCCTAGTTCTCTTGTTATTCTGTGCACGTAAGTTTAATGGTCATTTATTCTTTTTTAAAAGGTAGTAAAAATTGGCCCTAAACAATCTGGCTTAGAGGATAGAGTGTTGGCCTGTGAACTGAAAGGTCCTGGGTTTGATTCCAGTCAAGGGCACATGCCCAGGGTAAAGGCTCGATCCCCAGTGTGGGGCTTGCAGGAGGTAGCCAATCAGTGGTTCTCTCTCATCATTGATGTTTCTCTCTTTCAATCTCTCCCTTCCTCTCTGAAATCAATAGAAATATGTTTTAAAAAGTAGAAGATTGTACCAAAGAATTTTTAAAAATCTAACTGAATCTATCATATCAAGGACTTTAAAAATGTATACTATATAAGTCTGCCAGTAAGAATATTCAATTATACTTCATGTTCTTTTTTTAAATTTTATAAGGTTCTTTGAGTCAAACTGATGACATATGTTGGGGACCAAGATTCTTTCTTTTTTTTTTTTCCTTCTTATTGAGGTACATTTGACACATGATATATTAATTTTCAGGTGTACAACATTTTTATATTATTAAATTATCACCAAATTAAATCATTAACACATCCATCACCATACATAATTATAAAAAATATTTTTTCTTTTTGATGAGGACTTTTAAGATCTGTTCTCTTAGCACTTTTTGAATATGCAATACAGTATTATTAATTACATTCCCCATGCTGTACTATCTCACATTTTTGCTATGAAAGATTTAAATCTCAAGTAGATGAGTTTCATTTCAATTTAATTTATATATAATATTCAGAAAACTTTTGAAAAGCAGGGAAATATCAGTTTAAAATCCCAATGAGATTGTTTAGAAAAAGAATCTGACATTTTTTAGTTATGTAGCAAGAACATTAATTAATTGGTACATGAGAAAGGGGTCATTTTTGTTGTAGTTGTGTCCTTGGTGTGTGGATTGGAGTCTTGGATCTACCACTTATCAGCTTTGTGACTTTGAAAGGTTGCTTAACTTAGTTTCCTCTGTGTAAAATAAAGGGAGAGGAAGAATTCCTGCCTCATGAGGTTATTGTATTTAGTCACATATTATATATGAAAGACTTAGTGCATACTATACAGTGTGATCTCAGAGGTTTTTTCCCCTTCTCTCTACCTCTTCTTTGCTTTCCTCCATTCTCAACTATTGTTTTCATAACTTAGCTCTGAGGTGAAACTACCATAATGCTAACCAAGATTGCATTCATCATGTATGAGAAAGGGCTCTGGGAAGCATTTATCTCAGTCTGTTGAGATCTTGCTTCTAGGCATATCCTCGGTTTAGCTCAAATAAAGTTTTATAAAAATTCAAAAACAAAAGAGAACGAAAGGCTCTGAAAGAACTGAGAACAGTTTTAACTTCCCGTTTTATTCTGAATTCTAATCACTATAAAACAGAGTATTTACAGTTTCATGATCATGCTTAAATTCTCTGTGAAATTGAGTGAAAATGAATGGCCCTAAGATTTTTCTTGTTATGGGGCTTGTCAGTTATTATTTTAGCTCTCTTTAAAGATAGTTTTTCTTTTTGGTATTAAAGGAACATCACAGATTTCTATTTCTAGGTTTTAAATTGTGTTTTTTTGTTTTTTTAATCTACAAAATTTCATCTCAGTTTGTTGAAGACTGAAATAAAATTATTAATATGCTAATCATTTTGAGTTCAGATTAGGTAAATTTGAGCACTCAATATGTAATAATTAATATTTTCTAAAGCTCATATGACGTGATTCAATTGTGTGTTAATTCTTTTATTTTCCCTATTTAAAAAAATTGGTCACTTATTAATATAAATGCTGAAAATTACAAACCTCTGATTAGATCCTAAGTATTTTGAGCTGCCATGTGATTTATCTTATAAAAAAATAAAAATATTTTTTTTTCTTTTTAACCAACCATAGGGATGATAGAAATTTAAGAAACAAAGGCCTAATAAGTGGTGTGAAGTCACTCAGTAAAGAAGAATTGAGTGCAGAGTTCTTAAATGTGTCTCTAAACACAGTTACATGTCATCAGCCTTGTGCATCTAAGCAACAGTTGAAAGCAGGTAATATTACTATAAATAACTAGAAATGTATCTTATTTTATATACTAAGATTATTGATAACAGTTGTAATTATATAGAAAATTTTTATCTTGTACATTTAAAATAACATTGGTGATATTTGCTCACATAGATGGTAGAAATGGATGAAAATTACAATGATAATCCAAAAGAAAACTTAACAGTATTGCCTTCTACATATACTTTGTATAAATTAACTTGACTGTTTATTGTTCACTCACACAAGTTTACAGATTTATAATTATTTTGTGCATACTATTTTGTACCTTGCAGAGTATACTTTTTAAGTTAATAGTGGCTTTGGGACATATTCATTTGAAGTAGATCTATTTAGTTTCTTTATTTTACTTATTAATTTTTAATAGTATATTTTTATTGATTTCAGGGAGGAAAGGAGAAAGAGAGAGATAGAAACAATGATGAGAGAGAATCATTGATCAACTGCCTACCCCACACTGGGGATCGAGCCAGCAACCCAGGCATGTGGCCTGACAGGGAATTAACCTTGACCTCCTGGTTCATAGATTGATGCTCAACCAGCTGGGCTTTAGTTCCTTTTTAAAATTAGCTTCATATTCATAGCCTTCTATTAATACTGTAAAAATTCAATAATAGAAAACTTGGCTCTAGTATTAGTTCTTTTTAAATTAACTGTTAAGAAAGCAAAAGCTTTTCCCCCCCCGACCAGAATAATCTCTTTTTTCCCCAGAACATTTCGTTTTATAATAGAGTGTGATATTAGATGGAGTATTATTATATATTAAACCTGACATAATTTAAAAACACATACTACCTTTTCCTTCTGTGGGGAAAATAATTATTTAAATCTCTAATATTGTCTATACTTTTATATAAAATGGTACAAAAATTCCTATATACATTTGCTGCTTATTTGACCTTTCTGGTAGTAAAATTTCTTTAGTCATAATATTCAAAATGCCATTTAGAAAGAATAATAGGACATTTTATTTTATTTTTATTTTTTTTTTTAATATATTTTATTGATTTTGTATAGAGAAGAAGGGAGAGAGATAGCTAGAAACATTGATGAGAGAGAGTCATCGATCAGCTGCTTCTTGCACACCCCCTACTGGGGATATGCTCGCAACCAAGGTACATGCCCTTGACCGGAATCGAACCCGGGACCCTTCAGTCCCCAAGCCGATGCTCTATCCATTGAGCCAAACCAGTCTTGGCAGGACATTTTAGTTTATAGTTTTTTGGGGGGTACCATGCTTTTATTTTGCCCATTATATTATTATTATTTTAAATCCTTAGTTTGTGTTTATAGAGATAAGCCAGTTAATATTTTGAATTTTACCATAAAGAAATTGTAGTTGTTTTCAAATATCAATGAAATAATATAAATTAAAATAACAAAATTCATTTTAAAAGGGTTGGGCATAAAAATAGTTAAATCAGAGGTTTTGTTAATTTCAAAAACAGTTTATTGACGTGAGCTTCAATTGGAAGGTTATACTACTTTTTGGAAGGAAACATATTTTGATCCATACTTCTTAGTTTTCTACTGTACACAGAATCAAAGCATTCTCATGATTTTTCTTTTTGAAAATAATAAAATCAAAATTGTAGTTAAAAATATTACACACATTTCTTTTGTTTAATCCTCACTAGAGAACATTTTCATTGATTTTTAGAGAGAAGGGAACAGAGGAAGGGAGAGAGAAAGGAAGAGAGAAATATTGACCAATTGCCTTCCAAATGCACCCCAACTTGGGCCAGGGATCAAACCCAGAATTTAGCTATGTGCCCCAACTGGGAATCAAACCCGTGAGTGTCCTTTTGGTGTACAGCAGATATGGGGAACGCCTGGCTTGTGAGCCATACAAGGCCTCCCAAATCATTTGGTCTGGCCTTGCAAGGCCTTAGGGATGAGTTAATAAAATGTTTGACCAAATACAGCAGACTAATTTTTAAGTTGCTAATTTTGTATGGCCCATTAGTGATATTATAAATATCCAAGTGGCCCTTGGCAGAAGAAAGATTCCCCACCCATGGTGTATGGATGATGCCCCAAACAACTGAGCCACACTGGCCCTGGACATACACATTTCTTAAATTTTTATTTCAGTGACACTGTTTAGTTGCCTTTTGTCAAAAAACTAAAGCATTTTCTAATATAACATGGTTTATGTTGCATCTAAAATAATGATACTAGAGATACATATTTTGGTGCCAACCCTTGTTGCCCAGTGGTTGAGCGCCAACCTATGAACCAGGAGGTCATGATTAGAGTCCTCTCATGCCCCGGTTACAGGCTCAATCCCCAGTAGAGGGTGTGCAGGAGGCAGCAGATCAATGATTCTCTCTCATCATTGATTTTTCTTTTTCTTTTTTTAATTCTCACCTGAGGATATTTTTCCACTGATTTTTAGAGAGAGGCAAATACAGAGAGAAATATTGATGTGAGAGAAACACATCGATTGGTTGCCTCCTGCACGAGTCCTGACCAGGGCCAGGCTGGAAGGAGCTTGCAACTGAAGTTCGTGCTCTTGACTGGAATCAAACATAGGACTCTTTGGTCCGCAGGCCAACATTCTATCCACTGAGCCAAACTGGCTAGGGTTCATCATTGATGTTTCTCTCTCTCTCTCCCTTCCTTTTTGAAATTAATAAAAACATATATATTTAAAAATTATTAGTTTGTTTTATAGGTAATTAAAATACTAATTAAATACATAAAATGCTTATTATTTATGGCCAAATACTAATTACATATGTAAAATATTTACTGTTAATATCCTAAAAAAAGCTTATAATTGTTTTAAAGAGCAAACACCTTTGGGAAAGAGTAATGAGGAAGAATCTGCAAATTCTGGACTGCTCATTCTACTTGAAGGCATAGTATCTGATCTTGAAAAATCTCTTGGAACAGCCTTATCTTCAATATTAGAAACAGAAATGAAAATTGCTTTTGGAAACCTCTGGATGGAGGTGATTATTTCAACTTTATTAGTTGAAAAGTTCTTTTTTATTGCTAAAGATTGGTTACCTTATTTTAAGAAATAGTTCTCGGTAAACTTTATAGTAATAATCTATATCACATTATATTTTTTCTTGAAATAACATTTAAAAAATTAAATGGTAGACATTTCCAAAAGATTAGGGCTACTAGTATATTTTATTAGTCATTTAGTGAACAAATATTTATTGTGCATCTACTGTGTCAGACACTTTGCAGTGTGGAGCTTCATTTGATTTCAGAAAATTTCTCTCATATTAGTTTGAGTCAAAATGTCTCATATAGGGAATTCCCCTAAGTAAGATGTATTCAGGAAAAGAAAGGTATATTTTGGTTATGTCACATAAATATGAGAATCAGTATAAATTTGATCATATTAGCAAGACATTTTGAATTGTCTTTAGATTTACATATTTTCTCCAGTCAGTAAAATACCACATTTGGCAATGGTGGCTTTTTTTGTTTAATGTTTGTTTGCTATTTACATTTACAGCTAGGAGAAACATTAGTCCCCATCAATTGTAGATTGTGTCTATTCCAGATATTTGGTTAGATACTAATATTTGCTTATGTATTTGCTCTTGATTATATTATCAAAATTAGAAAGAATGATAACATTTTAGAACGGTTTACTTAAAGTGCATATTTCATAATAGACAGTAATTTTATATGAAGGACATGCTGACATTTTGTAGTACTAAATGATCAATCTTCTTTATAAACGTCTTTGTCAGAGTATAGCAGGTGTCAATTATAATTGGCAACCTTTTTCTATAATGATTTTTTTCACCAATTATATGAAACTAATTAGATTGAATTCCTCAGAAATGACCATGTTAAAAAGATTATTGACCTTTGTTAATTAAAATTATGTTTTTCATTAGAACTGTTTTCTTTTTGCACATGTAGTTTCTGAAATTATAAAGATTAATACTGATAATCAGTTTTACAAAGGAATTTTTAATGGAATCATTTTAAGATTATGCTTGGCTTTGAATAACACATCTTTTAGTTTAAAAGGAATTCAACTAATTATATTTTTCTTAGAAATATATATTGGTTTTCCTTAATAGGTACAGTTGACTCTTGAACAGCTTGAGGTTTTGGGATGATGACCACTCATGCAGTTGAAAATCCACATGTAACTTTTGACTCCATAAAAACTTAACTGTTAATAGCCTACTGTTGACCAGAAGCCTTACTGAGAACATAAACAGTTAACTAACACATAATTTGTCTGTTACATGTATTATGTACTGTATTCTTGCAATACAGTAAGTTGAAGAAAAAAATATTAAGAAAATCATGAAGAGAAAATATATTTACAGTACTGTATGTATTTATTGAAAAAACTGTGCATATAACTGGACCTGCTAAGCTCTAAACTTGTTGTTTAAGGGTAAACTGTACTTTTTTAAATAATAGGAATAATAAAAAAATCAGATATGCTGATTTTTTTTTCTAAATACTTTTTAGATGCTGTACTTGAAACCACCGTGGACTCTAATGCATTTAATACAATGCTTTAAAAAACATTGGGTGGCTGTATTTGGATTAATTATGGAAAAGAGCTTGCTTTTAACTGTTGAGAGCTTATATGACAGTCTCTGTAAAGGTATGAATCTTTTATTTTGTTTTCATCAGTGTTAAAGTGAGACTAGCAGACATAGTCCATGGAATGTGAAGATAAATTAAAAATTTTGTCAATTCTTAATCACTTATACTTCTCATATCTAAAGGGAATTTGTGGCAGCTGAATGCATAGAGCTGACACAAATTGCTTTCCCAATCAAAGGTGGAGAGGTTGATGGGAGCATGGCAAGTGGTGGGCCTTTGGCCTTCAACCCCAGCCTTAGTGAAGCAGCTTTCTTTTATCTATATATTTATATATGGAGATGCCATGTAGGATATGAAAATAATGTTTCTCTGATAAGAAGAAAAAGATATGAAAAGCACTCATCTAATGTTATTAAAGCCCATGTTTTATAGTCAAGGAAACTAACCCTGAGAGGGTAAAAAATTTGTCCAAAGTCAAACAGCTAGATTTTTAGTGCTATACCTTTAAAAAGCAAAATAAAACCCAGGGGATTTAAAGTGCCTAGTCAGCTCCTTATGACTTATACAAGGTAGATGTTGCATGAATACCTATTTTTCACAGTTAGCATTTTTAAAGAAAAACACTTTTCAGGCATTGTGTTTAACTCTAAAGTTATTTATTAGGGATATCCATACTAATAAAAGCCTAGGTGGTCCTCACACCCTCACATAATGCCTTCATGTCATCACCAGATGGCCGACAGGGGAGGGCAGTTGTGGGCAAACAGGCCAGCAGGTAAGGGCAGTTGGGGGTGATCGGGGTGGCAGAGGAGGGCATTAGGGGTGATCAGGCCTGCAGGACCGGGCCTAAACCAGCATTCGGACAATCCCCCAAGTGGTCCCAGAATGGAGAGGGTGCAGACCAGGCTGAGAGACACCTCCCACACACAAATTTCATGCACCAGGCCTCTAGTTATATAAGGGACATGGCACAATATGCTAGACATGACTTCAAAGCAGTTTTACAATATATAAGATTTACTAGTAGTTTCAGAAATGGGGTATTGAGTTACTAGCTTCCATTTGTCTGTTTTTTCCAGGGGTGGGCAGTGTTTTGCTCTTGCACACAGCTTAGAGGTAGTAGGCAGCAACTCTCATTGGCAATAAGGAAAGAAGTGAAGAGACAATAACTATTTATTTTGCTAAAAATAATTTTTAGAATCCTTAAGTGCATTATTTATTGATCTTTGGTCTAGAAGAATCTAATGCCTAATGTTTACTGACTTGTGAAGAATATTAATAGAATGGTAAAAGTGCCTTCTGCTCTAAGATTTTTCTGAATAAGAGAATAGCAGATTTTGTTTACTGTCTTTAATAGTAACCTCACTATTGAATATACATATATGTTTAACTTCGGTATACCAAACAGGAATCCTTGGATCAAATTCATAGAAAATTGTGTGGAAAATGACCAGTAGCCTTTTCTGACTTATTATCCATATTAACTTTGTCTTAAATAATTATTGTTCTTACATGAGCACTAAACTATTTCAGTCACATAGATTTCTTTTTATGTTGTGTCTACTGACTTTATCACTGTTGTTTCTCTTTCGCTCATAATCTTCGTAAAGAATTTTTTAAGACAGAAATAAAGTGATTAATTCAAGGATATAAGCCCTAATGAACATAGACCAGAGTGGAGAAGCACCTTTAGAAAAAGTTGTACCCAGTTTCTCCTCCTCAGGAGTTTCCTAGGTTCATGGGATCTCCATGCTATCCTGTGTGTAGCATTTCTCCCATCTTTCTTTTCCCACAGGAATAATTTAAACTAGTCATTGACTTTAAGAATAATTGAAAGTGTTTTGTAAGGAAATATACTATTTGTTTGTTTGGTAAAAGGAAAGCTAGAAGCTTGGCTGTTACTATCACATGAGATTAGAATTTCTGAATATTCTCTAATTAATTATTAAATTTCATCTTTAATTTTCACTTGACCTTTCAGTATTTCATGAGCAAACACTTGCTGTATAAATGATACAGAGGAATTCTTTATTTTTTTTTAACTCATAGTGCCAGTGCTGATGTTTCTGAATATAACAGTTGCTGAAACTGAACATTAAATAAAACACATTGTAGAATGGTTATTTTGAATGCCTTTGAAAATTGTTAGTATGGGGGGTCGGAACAGTTGGGGAGAGATCAATGGAGTAAAAAGAAAACATATAATACTTTGAGCAATAAAGAATTAAGAAAAGAAAAAAATGCCGAAACCGGTTTGGCACAGTGATAGAGTGTCGGCCTGCGAACTGGAGGGTCCCGGGTTTGATTCCGGTCAAGGGCATGTACATTGGTTGCGGGCACATCCCCAGTAGGGGATGTGCAGGAGGCAGCTGGTCGATGTCTCTCTCTCATCGATGTTTCTAGCTCTCTATCTCTCTTCCTTCCTCTCTGTAAATATATATATACATATATAATATATATATATAAAGAATTAAGAAAAAATAATTTGAAAAGAAAAAAAAACATTTAAAAATTCTTAGTAGCATTTTATCTTAATGGAAAAATTCTTTTTAGTTTGAGTTTGGTGACATTAGAAAGTTATTTAATCTCATTATTCATACTTTTTAAACTGTCACCATCTCTCCTAATTGGTTTGAGATCTTAATGTAATTTTAGTTTCTTGAGAGAAAGTTATATCTTTAAATTACTTATACTAGTAGATGAACTCACTTTGCTAATTTACAGGGGAAAAACCTGCTAGCTTCTTTTGTCTCAAGCTTACTGTTACCCAAATTATTTAATTTTTGCTATATGCCATACACAGAGAGAAAGCTTGAGTTATATTTCATGTAATGGAATTTGAAGGTAAATCATTATGTATAATAACTGGGTTGATTATGGGAGGTACCACATATAACTTATGTGCTTGCTACCAAAGTGTGACTCTTCTGATGCCTCCATAGTAATTTGTATGTGAAACAATCTCAGTTTTGAAAAATCTGTAGTTTAAATTATTTGTTTGATGATTGGCTCTCTTTTCTGAATAGTTTGTCTTTGAATTAACCATGTTGCTGCAACTCCTAGAATCTAAATACAGAATAGCAGAATCACCTCCAAGAACTTTGTCACTAAGTCTGTTTAATTGCTGCTTTTTATACCAGAGAGATAAATTAGTAGTGACTTATAGATGTAAATGTGTGTACTCTTCTTAAGTCTCATAATTAATATTAGGTTGGTTTTCCAAAAACATTTTTTTTCTTCTAATTTTCTTTTCCCAGCTAACAGTGCAGTAGATTTTACAACAGTGAAATTCCTACTCCAGGATTCTAAAAGCCTATTACATGCTTTCAGTACGAGGTCAAATTATGATGGTGTTCTTCCACAGGCCTTTGCTCAAGTAAACAAACTTCTCCAAACATTGGCAGAGGTAAGACGCCTTTGGAATGCCGTTTAGAGTAGCTAATCACATACATTTAAATGTATTTAGCATACAACAGTAGATAAAGGCTATTTTAATTTTCACTTATTCTAACCTACAGAAGGCAGTAAGTAAAATAAAAAGTGAGTTGAATGTTGAGTAAGCAGTTCTTATTACAAGTTATAAAACACATTGTTGTATGAAAGTAGTATCACAGCAGTTGTTGGGATTTTAATTATTTTATTTATTGGATAGAAGAAAGCTATGCACTGTTGTTTGAATACTCATTACCCAGTGCTGTAGACCAATAGACCACAATGTGCATCAAAATACTTTGGATTTCTTTAAACATGCAGGTGCCAAGCCTCTCAAACCTAACTGAATCAAATTTCTGGGGGTGGTGTTCAAAAATGTTGTTCTTGTTTTACTTTTTATTCTGAAATAATTTCAAATTTACACAAAATATTGCAAAAGTAGTACATAGAATTCCCATATATATATATATATATATATATCCTTTACCCAGATTCCTCAATGCTAACATTTTATCACATTTGCTTTATTGTTTTCCCTGTGTTCTTACCTACCTTATCTTTCACACTTTTTTCTGAACTCTTAGAAAGTACATTGAAGATGTGAATCTCCTTTACTCCTAAATACATATACATATATATATTTATATTTATATATATCCTATCTAATAAAAGAATAATATGTGAATTAACCATCACTCTGCTACATCCACAAGCCACACCTACCAACCAATCAGGAATGAGTATGCAAATTAACCCAACCAAATGGCTGTGGCCATGGAGAAAGCAGGAGGGAGGCTTGGGTTTCCTCGGCAATGGAGGAAGCCAGGCTTTCTGCACACCCTGGCCAGCTCAGGCCTTTGCTTACGGCTACAAAGTTTCAATTATAGAAAATAAATAAATCCCAACAGAAATGCTGCCACCACAGAGCAAGCAGAAGGCTTGGCTCCCTATCTAGTTCAAGTTCTCAGCATTTCTTTCCTGGATTATTTCAGTAGCCTTTTAACTAGCTTCTTGCTTTCTGTCTTTTTTAAAGAATACCCTATTTCTTTTTAAAGAGAGAGGAAGAGAGAAGAGAGAAACATTGATGTGAGAGCATAACATCAATAAGCTGCCTCTTGTACACCATCAATGAGGGACTAAAACCACACCCAGACCCTGACCTGAAATTGAACTAGCAGCCTCTTGGTGCTCCAGATGATGCCTAACCAACTAGCCACATTGGCCAGGGCCTAATCAATTTCTTGCCTCCATTTTCTTCTGTTCCAGTTTGTCTTTGACTGCTGTTCTGAACATATCATTTCTTGAGAAGCCTTTAGTGGTTCACCATTGCCAATAGGATAAGGCTTACATATTCTATCCTGATTTTTTTTTTATAGCCCTCGGAATTTCATTTTTCTTAATGAAAAATTAGGGGCTTGGAGGCTTACATATACCAGTTTATCATTGTATCCCAAATGTTCTTTCTCTATTTCAATATCATATGTGCAGAAGAGTTCAAACAGTATTAAAATACTAGCATATTAGCTAAAAGAGTTCACTATAATAAGTAGATTGGAAATATTGTTTGATATAAATGAAAAAGGGAATTTTTTTTTTATTCTGATACATTTCTGGGATTATTCTATATATATGGAATCAAAAGATAGAGAATAGTCAGAACATTCCAGAAAGCTAGAACATTTGGGAGCACAATTGGCCTTCTTTTTCTCTCACTAATGATGAACTAGCTGCATTTTATGTAATACTTATTTCTCCAGGTCAAGGTAAAACGTAATCAAAATCCTTCAGAAAATACAGCGGGTAAAAAGCAAGAAGATACTTCTCCAATGAAATCTGACAACCAAGAAACCACTGATTTCTCGGGCGTTCGTCTCCCCACACCCAACAGGCATCAAGAAATTTGGTCTATCTTAGAGAGTGTTTGGATTACAATATATGAGAACAGGTACTAAATTTCTAAGAAGTTTTGAATTTTAGGATTTGCCATCATTACCGTTATCATTGAACAATTAGATCTGAATTGTGAGTTTAATTAACTAGATTACCTTATTGAGGGCCTTTTGTCAAATTGGTACCTTAAAAACAGTGATGCTCAAATAGGGGTGTACATCAGAATTCCTCAAGAGTTCTGGATAATATAAGTAAAAAGTGCTTATCTTGCTTTATCAGTGTCAAGTTATTAGAGCCTACTTCGGTGATTCTCATGCCTGATTGAGTATCTGAGTCACTGTAGAATTTCTCAACATACTTATGCTTGACCCTTTCATGTAGAGATGCTCATTTGAAGTTCCTGTAGACCCCATGCACTGTCATTCTTCTGAAACAACTCGAGCACCTACGCACATAGTAACCGCCATCTCCTTGCCCTGTGCTCTCGTGATTCAGTAATCAGTTATGCACTTATAGCACATCAGCTTAGGTTTTTGCCTCTTTTCTGTTTGTGAGGAATTTGGGTAAGTATTGGCTGCTATTAGTGATTAATACCTCATGGAAATTAATAATGCTTATCTCTAATTGGTGGACTATGGTACTACATATTTCCTTCCTTTTACTGAATTTTTCATATTTTATATGTCTAGGTTTTAAATGTATAAAAAATTTTAAAAGATATGTGTTCTAAATAAGTTTATGGTTTTTATTTTTAAAGTAATAAATACACAAAACCAGTTGTATTTCTATACACTAGCAATGAACAATCCAAAAAGGAAATAAAGAAACAATTCTACTTATATTATCATCAAGAAGAATAAAATACTTAGGGATAAATTTAATCAAGAAGGTGCAAAATTTTTACACTGAAAACTACAAAATATAGTTTGAAAGGAAGATCTGTATATGTGGAAAAATCCAATGTTCATGGAATGGAAGTTTTAACAAGAAAGTTGAAGGACTCATATTTCCCAATTTCAAAACTTACTGCAAAATTACAGTATTCAAAACAGTGTGCTACTGGCATAAATGGACACATAAGTTAATGGAATAGACTTGAAAGTACAGAAATAAATGCAAACACCTATGGTCTGTTGATTTCAATCAAGATGCCAAAGCCATTCAATAGGAAAAGAATGGTATCTTATAGTGCTTGGATTACTCAATAGCTACATGCAAGAGAATGAAGTTGGACTTAATTTAAAATGGGTAGATGACCTAAATATAAGAACTATAATTATAAAACTCTTAGGAGAAAATGACTTAAATATATCAGCATTGTGAGAGATCAGATATAAATATTTTATGCCTAAGAAATGGAAATACTTGGATTCATGTAAATATGCAGGTGTACATATGAGTATCTTTTCTTTTTCTCTATTTCAGCACAGATGTGTTTCAAAGATTGGGCCCAAATTCAGCTCTGACTTGCTCAAAAATACCATCATTTGAAGAAGCATTTATATATCTTCAAAAGTTAATGGCAGCTGTAAAGAATATTCTTGAAGGAATTCAGAGGTAAATATGAATTAATTTTAAAGTTTTATTTATTACTTTTATTTATTTATTACTTTTCTCTTTCTTCTGGGCGTATCAGCTTTTTCAGAGTCGCAAGTTATAAACTAATATAGTATCTATATAGGGAGGGAGAAAGTAGGTTTGCAGTTATGAGTAGATATTACCCTAGAATTATAGAAATCACAATATCTGTAGACATTTTGTAAAAGAGGGAAGTTGTGTTCTTTTTTAAAATATTTTATTGATTTTTTACAGAGAGGAAGGGAGAGAGATAGCTAGAAACATCGATGAGAGAGAAACATCGACCAGCTGCCTCTTGCACACCCCCTATTGGAGATGTGCCTGCAACCAAGGTATATGCCCTTGATCGGAATCGTACCTGGGACCTTTCAGTCCACAGACCAACGCTCTACCACTGTGGCGGAAGTTGTATTCTTAACAAGCTTTCCAGGGAATTTGTTGTGCAGGTGGTGGGAGGCCACACTTAAAGAAACAAATCCTGTCTCCTAGAGTAAGTATATCAGAACTACCAGTAGAGGGCACTATTAATAAGAAGTTTGCACCTTTTAGTATGTTATTTACATGTCTTTTGCTTATTAAGCCTCTAAAAAATGAATTTTCTTACCCAATCTTAACATGGGAACAAAACATATACTGGTATAACCATACATGATTTCTGGGAAAAGGAATTCTATAATCACAGCAGCTTTTTGGATTCACTGATGATTTAGCTGCTTCAGAGAATGTGATGATTACATTGGAGAGAATATTTTACTCACTTAATACTGTAAATTCCTTGCTGTTAAGTCTTATTTTAAGAAATGCTAAAAGCAGCAAGCACTACATTTTTAGTGAAGCAGATGGAATAAATGACTGAGTAAATAAATCAGTGGTGTTAAGCATCAGTAAAATAAATACAACTGGGGGAAAATCAATTAAAGGTGCTAAATAAGGGCTGTTATAATAATTTAACTGAAACAGTAAGTATGTAGTAAATATGTTTGATAAAGCCAGATGATCAGTTCTAATTCTATCCTACAGAGTAGTTGTACAAAGGGTATAGAGTATATCCTAGACTTTAGGATTAGTCTTATCTCTTTGTGCCTCTAAAGAACTTTTAACACCGTGGCAGGCCAATCATCTTCTCCTAGTGAGAAGTGATGCAATCAGTGTCCTCATAAGTCCAACTCAGAACAGTGCTGTCTGTCCCAGATCATGCTGTTTATTGGTGTTTCTCTTTTAGTCAGAATATGTAGATCCAAGAAACCACTCTAGGTATTTATAAAATTTAATATATACTTTACATACTTTAAAAATATATGTTTCTTTATTGATTTCAGAGAGGGTGGGAGAGGGAGAGAGAGATAGAAATATCAATGATAAGAGAGAATTATTGATAGGCTGCCTTCTGTATGCCCTCTACTGAGGTTGAGCCTTCAACCCGGGCATGTGCCCATGGCCAGACTCAAAACTGGGACTTTTCAATATGCTGGCCAACACTCTATCCACTGAGCCAAACCGGCTAGGGATACACTTTACATACTTCATTTCAGTGCTGTTGGAAGGACTGGAGGAACAAAAAGAAAAGGATTTTTAATGCATTTTTGAAACTTTCTGTGTCTTGGTGTCCTCTATACATCGGTCACCAACTATCCGAACCTCATGGACCACCAGTGGTCCACAGACCAGCGATTGGTGACCACTGCTCTATGCTTTAGAGCTGAATTTATGATTACTATAATTATTTTTAAAAGTCAACAGGTCCTCCAGATTGCTTAGAAATAATTGTAAACAATTAAGGGAAGTGGATGTGATCCTGTAAAACACTTGGTGTGTAGAATTAGAGGCATCTTTCAGTGTGTAATAACTATTCTTCCTTAACATAATTAAGCACAGGGCCTAATTAGTACAAGGAGCCATCTGTTCTCAAAACAAAGAAAATTCAGCTTATTTTCAGTACCATTAATTAGGAATTAACTTTTTCCCCTAAATGTGTAAATATTCAGAGAAGTTGCAGAGGTATAACTTCTTATAACCTGGGCCAACATATTTTTCATACCCATACATTTTTAACTTTTTATTGAAAGTCATTTTAAATAGAATTTCACGTTTAGAAATTTAATTGCCAATTCTTCAACTTAGATATTTCTGTGACAGAATGGCCTATTTGGGAAGGGACCATTGTTTATATACCTACCAGTATTCCTTACAGATTTCTACACTTCCTCAGGTCTATGTCTTACCTGGGCTCTGGGTGACTGGTTCATGCTGCCACTATCATAACTGTCTACCACCAACAGAGGTACTGATCTGTCTTCCTTCTACATACTGAGATATGGAAAACGTTCTCTCTAGGCTATAGTAGTTCTTTGATAGAAAGAACCTTCTCTAAAAACCTAATGAAGCCCAGCTGGTGTGGCTCAGTTGGATGAGCATTATCCCATGCACACAAGAGGTCACTGGTTTGATACCTGCTCAGGGCACATGCCAACTTTGTAGGATTGATTCCCAGTAGGGGGTGTGCAGGAGGCAGTCTATCAATATTTTTCTCTCATCGATGTTTTTATCTCTCCCTCTTCCTGTCTCTATAAACTTTTTAAAAATATATTTTATTGATTTTTTTTACACAGAGGAAGAGGGATAGAGAGTTAGAAACATCGATGAGAGAGGAACATCAATCAGCTGCCTCCTGCACACCCCCAACTGGAGATGTGCCTGCAACCAAGGTACATGACCTTGATCAGAATCAAACTTGGGACCCTTCAGTCCGCAGGCTGCCACTATCCACTGAGCCAAAAAGGTTAGGGCTCTATAAAAAATTTTTAAGAATTTTCTATAGCAGTAATTCTTTTTTTCTTTTTCTTTTATATTTTTTATTGATTTCAGAGAGGAAGGGAGAGGGAAAGAGAGAAAGAAACATCAATGATGAGAGAGAATCATTAATTGGCTGCCTTCTGCCTCCTACTGAGGGTTGAGGCACAACCTGGGCATGTGCACTTGACTGGAATCGAACCCTGAATTCTTAGGTCAGCATGTCAATCCAGGACCCTTCAGTCTGCAGGTCAATGCTCTATCCACTGAGCTAAATCAGCTAGGGCTATATATATTTTTAAAAGCTAATGAATACATGACTAAGTAGATTCAGGGAGAGGGAACATATAATCTACTGTTGACAGGAGGAGGAATGTCATTGTTACATTGTAAGAAAAACATGTTGTGTAGCCATCTTGGAAAATACAATGTAACATATTGTACAACATACAATCTGCTCTCTGACCACAGCAATTTAGGCCCCTTCTATTAGCAAGATATACACATACCTTCTTCTTAAGACTCCCAGTCTTATCCCATTGTGACATTAGCTTAAAGGCTAAGGCCTCATCACTTAAATCTGGGCTGGGAGCCTGAGAGTCCTTAAGAGTAGCTCCTGTAGGTACAGCTCCTTGAGTACCATTCCTCTCTATTTAACTGCTGTGAACTAGACACAAATTAGTCCCCTACCCAACTCCCAACACATAATATCAAGACAGACGTAAGATAACTGCTGTGCACCTTCACATTAAAAAGGGGGAAAATAAGAGGCACAGGTGATCTCGAGTAAATCTAAAATCCAGTCTGGCATATGTTGCCACTTTCTTGATTAGAGCTCATTCCTGCTGCCTGAGAATTATTTACAGCTGCTCTTGACTGCTCATTGGGTTCTTAATTTTGGCCTTGACTTTTACCGTAAAAAAAAAAAAAAAGTGAACTGCAGCGGAGTAGCTGTTCTTTCCCGTAAAAGGTAGGAAGAGTCCAAAGACCTCTTTCCATTTCATATTTTCTCTATCATGTTTAGTTCAAGTGGTGGTACTTTTACCAGAACATTCCACGACAAAACTGTTTTCTATGGCTCTTATTGGGGTTCACTCCATTAGATGAAAATCACAACCACAACTTCTTTGAAATAAAAGCCTTCTCTCTGCCTTGCGTTCCCTGTGAAACTGGATTGGGCATTGCCCTTGACATTTTTGGAAGTCTTGGTTAATAGAGATTTTTGAGGGATGCTCTTATAAGCCCCTTAAAGGGCCCCTGGTGTTTCTGAAAAATTCTCCAAGGCAACTTCTTAGATCTTTCTGAGGACTCAACAAAAAGTTCTACAGTAATGCTGTTATTATCTTTACCTTACAACCATATTTTCCTGCCATACCTGTTGAAGGTAAATATTAATCTTCTAACCTAAGAGAAATGTAATGGTTACTTCAGGAACTGTTGGTATACTTAATGTTTTGGCAGCAAGTTTTCCAGGCTTATCCTAGATGTATTCTATCACCACCACATCCCTGTACGCTCTCCATTTGTGATCTCATCTACTCCAATCTCTTTATGAATAGTATTGTACTTTCAATCTTACCTCTCTTCTTGGTTCAGTTGTGAATTTTTAGCTCATACTGTGCTTCAACGAAACTCATTATTTCAACTGGTATCATTTGATTCCTTTTTGTTTTCTTCCTCTATTTTTTAAGGCACAGGGTTCTCTGTGTCCATTAGATTAAGTTCTTGCTAATTTTTGTCTGACCAGTTCTGTGATTGATGCTGAAATTTCCAGTTGTATTTGTGAGCTTTGCAATTTCTTTGTAGTGCAGTCAACATCTGCTTTATATATTTTGAGGTTATGGTATGTCTTCCTGGTGAATTGGTTCTCTTTACTGCTAACAGTACTTTTTGCCTCCAAGTTTATTTTGTAATATGTTAATACTGATAGATGAGCTTTTTTGTTATTTTTTCCTTTATCTTCAACAAGTCATTTTTTTTTACATGAAATAAAGCTAGATTTCTCCTCATTAAGAAACTGAGGTGCAGAAAAGTAGATAACTTGATCAAAGTCACATAACTAATTTAGAGTGTTAAAAGGAGTGTCAGACTTTGAGTAAGTGTTCAATAAGACATGTGTTATTGTTGATGCTGTTAGGAAAGAAACCAAAGTACATTCAGATCAGACTTGGTTTGTAAGTGATCTGTGAGCTTCATATTAAATCCTACTTCATATACCTATTCCCTAATTCTGATTCCAAAATTCTAAAGCGAAATTTCAACAATAATAAACAACTTGAAGATAGGCAACTGTGTCTTTTAATTTTCTTTTATATTCTGTAGCTCTTAGAATAATATATATTTGAAAAATAGTATGCATTTGATAAATACTTATTGATTATTATGAATTTTTTTTGAAAGGACAAATGTAGATATATTTATAAAGAAAAATTAGCCATTTACTGAAAAGTATTTTTTTTCCCCTCTAAGGGCAAATTATTTCATTTTGTTATTCTTTTTCAAAATTGCTATCAAAGGGTAATTTTAGGACTTTCATTCAAAGAGTCTTTTGTCTTCATACTGGTATAAGAAGAAAACAATGAGAAAGGCTGACCTCTCAAGAATTTTGTGTGGGGAATTACTAAGGCATAAAAATCCATAATCCATTTCTCTCCATTTTATTTTCTATTTATTTCCAATAAGCAGTACTTTTAGTTAGTAAAAGTTGGCAACTTTTTAAAATACCAGGCCAAATTCCATTCTCCCAAACTCGGCATTCATAGAACATAATGAAGTGGAAGTACAGCCCTAAGAGTGTATTTTAATAAAGATTGTCTAGTTCGTTTGTGGCCCGGTTACCTCAAAACATTCTTTGAGGATAACAAGTTTTATAGCCAGTCCTATAATGTGTATTTTATTTCTAAGAAATAATAAGTATTGATTTATTTTGATTGTAACAGTAATATATATGAATTATGTTTACATACTAATAAACCTTTCTTCATCCTTCCTATTTAATAAAGAGGTAATATGCAAATTGACCATCACTCCCAACACACAAGATGGCTGCCCCCATGTGGACACAAGATGGCCACCACAAGATGGCCGGCAGGGGATGGCAGTTGTGGGCAATCATGCCAGCAGGGGAAGGCAGTTGGGAGGGACCAGCCTTGAAAGGGAGGGCAGTTGGGGGTGACCAGGCCTGCAGGCTGGGCAGTTAGGGATGACCAGCCAGCAGGGGAGGGCAGTTAGGGGCAATCGGGCCAGCAGGGGAGGGCAGTTGGGGGTGACCAGGCCTGCAGGGGAGGACAGTTAAGGGTCCTCAGGCTGGCAGGGGAGTGGTTAGGGGTGATCAGGCTGGTTAGGCAGGCAGAAGCGGTTATGGGCAATCAAGCAGGCGAGCAGTTGGGAGTCAGCAGTCCTGGCTTGTGAGAGGAATGTCCCAGGTTGGAGAGGGTGCAGGCTGGGCTGAGGGACATCCTCCTCCTGTGCATGAATTTCATGCACAGGGCCTCTAGTTAGAATATAATTCTGTTCTGTTTTACCAAGTAATCAAGTGTTTACATTTGGAGAAAATAACTTCTTTCCTACAAACTTCAAATTCTGGCATTCCATCACAGAAATAACTTGTAAACTAGTTTGTTAAACGTAGCAATTAAAAAGTGGGAAGAAAAGACTCAAATAGAGAACAATGCAATATTCTTCCTTCATTATCTTCCTGTGCTGGATCAGGATTTTTTCTTTCCTGGGCTTTTTAGAACTATGATGCTTTGGTCTACTATGAATCTTTGATTTTTTGTTCACTGTTGTTTCCAAGGGCCTGGAATAGTTCTTGACTCATAGTAGGCCTCACATATTGGTTGAATGAGAGAATAAAGGAGGCTTTGTTCTGATCTGGGCATTTTTAGTGTGTTTCTAGCTTTTTCACTTACCATATACATTGTGAGGGTCAGCCCTTATCCACTAGAATTTGCATCATCTACTAGACTTTGTATGCTATTATTTAAAGTTACAATTATACGTTTGTGATGGTGCGAGGAAAGATCTTATAAACTAAGAATACAGTGTAGTCCAAAAATGCAACTCTGGAGAGACAGAATAGAATTAGTGGTTGCCTGGAGCTGAGATTGAAAGTGAGAAAAGAGAATGACTGCAGATGGGCAAGAGGGACCTTTTGTGGGTGAAGGAAATGTTCTAAAATTGGATTGTGGTGATTGCTGTACAGTTTGGTAAATGTATTAAAGTTAGTGAATTTTATGGTTTGTAAGCTGTACCTCAGTTAAACTGTTTAGAATACAAAGCCAGATTGGGAGCTTAAAATTTCTGGAATTATTTGCTATTTAGAAAACTAGGATGATGTAATTCTTTTATTTCTTAATTTGGATATGACTTGTGTTAGATAAATAACTGATTTTCCCAAAACCGGTTTTTTGTAAAGCATTTCAGAACAGAAAAATGTTAATTTTATTCACTAGTACTTTCTATTGTGTTCATCAGCTTGGAATTTATAAGACTTCTAATAAAACATTTCATTTCATCTCATTTTCTTGCCCTGTTTTTAGATATTTCCAAAGCTACAAAAATGATTAAATGTTAATTATTCTCATTTGCTGATAGTTTGTTAACGCTAACTTAGAGAGTTAAAACACACTATTTATATCTTTCTAAAAGATTGGTTTACCTTATCTAAATAACTTTCTTTTTATTTTTTAAAAGCAAATTATTTATGGACCCTCCCAATGTATTATAATTATCCTTTGTCTTTCTCCCCCCCCCCCCCCACAATTAGGAGATTATTAGTATATTAAAATTTCTTGAGAGAAAAAGGTTTTCTATGAAATAGTATTCTTATTTAGATTTTTGTATATTCTTAAAGATATTCTGTATATGTCTCCTCCAAGGGAGTATAGCCCCTTTAAAAACTCAACTGTGTCCTGAAAAATTTATGAAAGCTTTTCCACAGTCTAAAAAAGGCCACATAGATTAAAAATATAATAAGGTTATTAGGTCAGTTAACTCAGATATCAACAATAACTGACAATATCAAGCATTGGTAAGGGTAAAAGGATCTAGAGACAATATTTTTTCTATTTTACTTTTTATATGAATTTATTTAAGCCAAACTGATGCTGGGAGCCAGATCTCAAACAGATGTTGTAATTTAAAAATTAGTTGAGATAGCTTGATTTCTCTTTAGTTAGATCTTTATGCACTTACTCTGTAGCTTGAAACTATTAGATGATAATAATTGTTATTACAGTTATAATTGATACATAGTATTTTCTGAATACCAGACACTGTTATAAAGGCTTTCCCTATAGTAGTTCATTTAATTCTCACAATAACCCTATGAATTATGGACTATTACCATATTTTTTAACAGTAAGAAAAATATCTCACACAGAACTCATCCAAGTTCACTCAGCTCAACAAACTCAGGCAGACATGCTACTAACCACAATACCAGAATGAAAGGACTGCTTTCCTTTTTTTCTTTTTCAGAAAAAAAATTCATATTGAGAATTAAAAACTACTTAGTATAAGAAGATGAGAATTAATACTTGATTGCTCGAAGGAGAAATAAGTTATTCTATCTTCTTTATTTTAACTTATTTCTTGTTTCCATTTATTTTGTGTTTATATGTTATTTATATATATTTTTGTTATTTTTATGTATCAGTGTTAGCAGTGATCTGATTATTAATGCTTTTTCATATAATACTAGGCTGATAGTTTAAACAGTTTTATTTTAATTTAGTCACAAAATCTGCCCTAGCCAGTTTGGCTCAATGGATAGAGTGTTGGCCCATGGATTGAAGGGTGCAGGGTTCGATTCTGGTCTAAGGCAGTCGGGGTGCTTACAAGTGGCAACCAATTGATGTGTCTTTCTCTAACATCAATGTTTCTTTCTCTCCTCTTCCCTTACACTCTCTTGAAAAATCTAGAGAAAAATATCCTCAGGAGGATTAATAAAAATAAAAACACAAAATATTTTATTAGTATGTGTGTGTGACAGTTTAATTAGTTATCTGTTGGATAGGTTAAACATTTCTCTGGGAAATTTTTAAGTTTATCTACAGCTTTAAATGATAGGGAGTACAAATGCACTTCACATTTCTATGTACCTTTTGAGAAATCTGTATTGTGTGAACTATTATTTCACAGAATACTTCTGGTAAATGACTAATTGATGATACAAATACCAATGTAAATAAGCAAAAATATTTTAATAAGTCCTCTGTTGAATTAAACTCACAGTTTTATAATTTTTAACGGATGAAAACTAGAATAGGTTGTAAACATTCTAAGATTATTATACAACAAGTTATCTCTTATAGTATGGATATGTTTTGAGGAAAAGTTCAGGTATTGTATTTTTCTTTAATCATTTCTTCCCCTTCCTGTTTTTATTATATTTTATTTTTTAGGATTTTGGCCCCCAACAGTAATTATCAAGATATTGAGACCCTCTATAACTTCCTAATCAAATATGAGGTATGAACATACTTTAAAATGTTTATCACATTTCCACCATAAACAAATTCTAATATAAATTAACATGGTAGAATTCTAAAACATAATGGTATTTAAAGTAATTGATACTTACTTTAAGTTGTTGAGTGCCACAGAAGGTTTCCAGTGACATGGTTTGTTTTTTTATTCTCTAAGAAAAAACATACAGTAGAGTCCTATAATAATACTAGAGGTCCAGTGCACGAATTCATGCACAGGTGGGGTCCCTCGGCTTGGCTGGCTTTCAGGGCCAATTGGGGTCATCGAGCCCATTCCCGATCAGGGCAAATGTAGGCCAGCCAGCCCTGTTACCCATCCTTGCTGATCTAGGGGAGAATTTTGTTGATCTTCAGTTTCTGTTAGCCTAAGCTTTTTGCACATGTTCCCATATATGCTTGCTTTCCAAGTGCTTGTGTCTTTAATTTTTAAAATGTGCTACTTGTAGGAATATGACATATATTCAGGTCTCACATTTGTTTATGGAGTGAAACTCCTTTAAGTAGATTTTCTCATTTTTATTCTTCAGTAGCTCTATATTTAGCCATTTGTATGCATTATCTGACATGAAGAACCTAGTGACTAAGTGTACAATATTGGTTCTGCCATCTATTACCTAAATGCTCTTTGAAGAATTATTTAATTCTCTTTGTCTCAGTTTCTTCATCTATAAAATGGGAATAACATCAGTATGTAAATTATAATGTTTTTAAAAACTAAGTAACTTATTATACCTATGTACAGTGTTCCAAACAGTACCACAGAATAAATATTTTGTTTTACAACATTCATGTATGCTTTTTAAACAATCACCCTAATACTGCATAACCATACTATGTGATTAGGATGATTCCTTTATTTGACATGATTCATATCATTATTTCATGATATTTTCTAAATTTCAAATTGAGTAATTAATTTTAACGATAAAAGTATATTTGTGGAAATAATATGTTAATTTTAAAATCACATCCTGAAAAAATATAGGACATAGGTTTTTTTAGTCCTTCCTGTTGCTGAAATATTGGGAGAAAATACTTAACATTACTTATAAGAATGTGAAATTGATTTTAAAAGTGATCATCCACAGACATTTGTACACTTATCCAAATTTATAAAATAATTTATCTTAGCAGAACTTTTTTTCCTATATCAATTACTGCATTGGAGACATTTATCTCAAACAGTGATAGGACCATCTAAACTTTTAAGATGTTTGGCTTTTATACTTAATCTTTGCCCTTTGTTCTTGAATTATTAAGAATTAATAATATAGCCATGTCAATATTTGGCATTCATTATAAATGGTACAAGAATTTAATAACACCAGTTCCACAATCCACAATATGTCATAATTCTAATAAGGTTTACTGACAAAGGCATCTTTGAACTATTTGTTCCCTGGGAATTAAAATTGTATACTTGAACATAAAAATGATATTTAACAATGTAACTTAAAATGTCCCAATGTGAACAATTAAAAATGTCTTGAATCAAATTAATGAATATGATGAAACAAGATATTTTAGGCTAGACTCTGTGATATCGGTGATGAATTTGTATTTCAGTTTTCCTTTTTTAGTAGTAAATTAACTGTCTCTTTTTGTAAGTCACCTATGACCTGGAACATTTGTACCCTAGCTGTATTTTGGGATAAGTGTCCAAATGTCTGTGGATGATCACTTTTAAAACAAAAGCATCACCTAGATACTCATTTTTCTAAAAACATACTAAAGGCTTAAGGACCTATTTTTTTTTTTCATATTATACAAGGTTCAAAAATCTTAGCTGATTTTTCTCAATAATTGATGGAAAATAGGTGATTCCCTTCAATCTCTGATCAGACACCGAGGTCCTGGTATGCTGGGATAATAGTGAAAATAGTGAAGGTCCTGCGACTTGAGAAGAATATGTAAAGACAGTGGAATTGGACTGGTTGATAGTTTAAGTACATATTTTAAGACATTTTTAGAAGATACTTTTAAAAATTGTAAAGTACCTAAGAAGTTAATTATGATAAATTATATACCAATTTCATACATCCATTATAAATATATTAAATATTATATATAATGAAATAACACATTTTAAGCAAAATTTAGGATCATATAAATGTTATATTTTAAAAGTATGTATTTTTAACTTTCAGTGAATGAAACATTTTCTACACAAATATGGTGAATTTTTTATGAAAATACTAAAGAATCTCATGGGACTTTTGCAAATAATACCCTTAATTCTATAAAAGACTCTCATGATATGAGTCTTTAAAGTAGTGTTAATGGATGCATACCAGCTAATATAAATAAATTGAATAGGAGATAGTCTCACTTAGTTTCCCTTTCACTAATTCAGAAGTTCTTAAAATTTAGGTACTGTGCTATTTGTTGAGTTATCTGATAAAGGGAGTTTTCCTCTACAAATTTCTACATTTTCTGCTACACATAAGTAAAATATAACCTAAATCAGTAGCGAAACCTCAGAAATACAGAATTGTTTCTCTGTGTACTATAAGTGCCAATGCTAGCTTGTGTAAGATAAAGGACTTTTAGTATTGTATATTATGTCTGGATTATAATATATATTTATGAAGTTAAACATATCAGTTTACCTATTTAGACCTCCACAGTCTGAAAAATGCATTTCTTTAAAAAATGTCTGTAATTCACATTTTTTTCCTAAATAGGTAGATGTTTCCACACAGTTTATAACTCTCCTATTTAGATGAAAGTGAAGGTTATTCAGTAATAACTTTTGAAAGGTTCGGCATAGTATTCAAATGTTGTTAGAGTTGAATACTTGACTTTTTTTCTCAGCTTGAATTATTTCTAATGTTCAGGATATAAACAAGATGTGGCTGTTTCTGCTTATACAGTCTACCACAAATCCACTCAGCCCTTTAAGTTTTTAGTATCTTAAATTTTATTTTTTTTATGTTATTTACTTTTCCTAGAAAATAAGTATTGAAAATAAGTATTTTAACAGGTCAGGCTAACTGAAGCATGAATTGGTTTCATGGAGTACATTTCCCTCTCTCCCCTCCCCCTTTTTGATCTACAAAGTAATTGTTGAGATTTTTTTACTGACCTCAGGGCCATCTCACTACCAATTCTGTGAACTGATTGGGTTGAGACAGTAGGACTACTATTTTTACACACAGCTGATTGTTAGCATCATGGTCACTGAGCTTCTGATTCTTAGTGTTCTGTCCTTCCTATGCAAGAACTAGAAACTTGATGTTCTGCTTTCTCAGAATATGGGCCACTCTGTGTTCTTACTACTTGTTTGATTTAATATGCATTTTTAACAGCTATATCTTGGTTCTTTTCAGGTAAATAAAAGCGTCAAATTTACTGCCCAGGAACTTTATGATTGTGTTTCACATACTGAATATCGGTAAGTCATATCTATACATAGACATACCGGGGATGAAGAGTTTTTTTTGTTTGGTTTGTTCACTATGATTTTTTACCTTTATTAGTATAAAATATTTCATACATACAAAAAGGGTGTGTGTGTTTGTGTATATATGTGTGTGTGTGTGTGTGTGTGTGTATGTATATGTATGTTTGTGTGTGTGGAGGGGGGTTTAGCAGGTATAAGATTTAAAATAATTCTCAAACTTTTGTCCTCAAAACTCCTTTATATTTTAAAGTGATTGAAGTCCTGGCTGGGTAGCTCATGTGGTTAGATATTGTTCTAATGTGCACCAAGGTTGTGGGTTTGATCCAGGTCAGGGTAGAGACAAGAATCAACCAATGAATTCATAAATAGGTGGAACAACAAATTGATGTCTGTTTGTCTCTCTCTGTCTACTTATCCCTTTCCTCTCCCTTCTCCTTTGCTTCCTATCTCCCTCTCTCCTGCCCCATCCTTCTATTCTTTCCCTCTCCCTCTCTCTCTAAAATCAATAAATAAAAAATAAAAAATAAGTTATTAAAGACCCTCAAAGCTTTTTTTATGTGGGTCATATATATCTGTATTTACTGTATTAGAAGTTAGAATTGATAAATTTAAAATATTTATTTAAAAACAACAGTAGTTAATGAATTACATGTTAAGATCAGTATCATAGAATTATGAAAAGAATTTTTCCCAAACCAAAAATGTTACTGATGAGAGTGGCATTGTACATTTTTGCAAATCTCTTAATGTCTGGTTTAATAAAAGAAAGCTGGGTTCTCATAGCTGTTGCGTTTATTTTGTTTCCATAATCATGTCATGTGTCACTGGGAAACTATTGTGTACTCTTTCAAGAGTGAGATTGCAAAAGGCAAATCATGTCTCAGTCTTATTAGGGAAATAGCTTCGGCCTCTTTGACATCTCAAACCCTTTGAAAGAGGCTGGCATTCCCCAGACCATGTTTTGAAGAACAACAGGTATAAAGAATACTCAGTTGACAAAATAAACCTTTGCCCAGTCCCATTTGTATCCTCCCTTCCATCCTTTCCTTAGTGATTTTGTGTTTATACTTCTCAACCTTATCTTTATGGTTTTACTACATATTATTTATTATTAAACATATGGGGCCTGGCCAGTGTTGCTTAGTGGTTGAGTGTTGACCTATGAACCAGGAGGTCATGGTTCGATTCCTGTCAGGACACATGCCTGGGTTGCAGGCTTAATCCCCAGTGTGGGGCATGTAGGAGGCAGCCAATTAGTGATTCTCTCATCATTGATGTTTCTCTCGCTTTCCCTCTCTCTGCTTCTCTGAAATTAATAAAAATCTATTTTAAAAATATTTTAAGTGTTTCTAGGTTTTTAAAAAAGGGATTAAATTAGCAGTATCACACTCTGTATATTCTCTAAACAAATAACTTGGTTTCTAGCATTCATATGTAACAAAAAAGGTCTAGTATAAATCTGATTCTTGTATACACAGGGGTATATGTTTGAATCCCTGGGCCCTGACAGACAAATCCTGAGGAACAAAAACACATTTAACTTAAATCTTTCACTGTCGCCCTTATTCTCTGTAAGTCAACATTGAGATTCACCATGTTGAGGCATGGAGCATGTTCTTTTACAACATGACAGGTACGTTCCTAATATCACCCACGCTCTATGCAAAATCATGCAGTTAAAACCTCAGGGTGTATAAGAAAAAATGGGGCTGTAGCACATCTCAAAGACATAAGGACACATTGAATAATCAAAATGGTATCCCAGATTTACACATGTTAGTGGTTAGGAAATATATAAATGCTATAATAGATTTAATACTTGTAAAAGAGCTCAGATTGCTAATAGAAGTGGTTTTTGGAAGGCTGCAGTTCATCGGTTAGTGTGATGTGCTGGGAGAGGGGTTATCTAGAATTAGACGCAAAGTCACAGTACTAAGTGTGAGTGAATGTAGCCCATACACACAAGAAGCTGAAGTAGCTGTACATGTTTGAGGTGTGTGCATGAGTGTGTTTTGTCTGTTCCTAAGCAGCTTGGGTCAATGAGGTGCCGTTTTCTCTGTTCATCTAGCATCTGTCACTACTGAAATTGTGCATAGGACAATTACTAGTATGTGCTCAAATTGCTCGTGTTGGAACAAATATGTGCATTTGGAACAAGTGTTGGAGCTGAACTGACTGCATTTTTTATTTTCATTGCTATGTAATATGCCACTGCAACACTAAATCACTGTTTATTTGCTATTTATAATGTATAGATGAGGTTACAAAATTTTATGTGCCGGCTCAGGGTCTAAGTTAACTATCAAGTTGCTTCTATTAAAACTTGTAATTGATAAATTTGATGGTAAGATGCGAGGACAAATGTCATTAAGCAGCACAGCTATAAACATTCACTCATTAGATTCAAATAAATTTTCCAAGAATATCTGAAGGCAGTGGGCATGCATGATGTTGCAACTGGGGGAGAAAATTGGTGTTTTTTTTGTTTTTTTTTACCATAATATTCAGACTATCTTATTTATAGATCTTTACGGCCAATTTACATGTAAATGTGTACATGAGATTTGTGTTAGAATATAACGCCTATGAACCTTAGCCATATTTTTGAGGGTGTAGAAACCCCACTGTAGATAACTTAGAGGGCAGAGTCCCTGCAGAATGGTTCCATCAGATCTCTAAAGTTAGTTTAATTTCCCTGTACTGTTAGAATAGGTGGGAGGTTTTTTTGGAGGGGGTGGGAGGAGGTAGGGAGTGTACAGGGATGAAAATTGATTGTTCAAAGTTCTAATTTGTTTTCTTTCCACTTACAGTACCAAGGATTTGAACTATGAAATTAATAAACTTCCTCTTATACCCAAGAAGATGATTTTGAAATCAAATGTACCTAATATCTTGAATGCATCAAAAGATATAGCCTTTAGATTCATTATTCTGCTGTTGTTTTGAAATTATTTGCCCTGTCTCCCATATTAGCCTCTGGGATAGTCCACAGCTCAGTTTTCCAATAAGCTGCCAAAAGAGACAGTGATTTATATTAGACATGGGGCCAAATGAATGGATAGTAGATGGCAAAGTTTTTCTGTGGCTCAAAGATGAAAATAGATGAGTGATTTAGCTTACATATATAGCTGGCCACCTTTGAGAATATTACGAAGAGCAGTGACTTAAAATGTCTGAATTTCCTGTTGTTTGCTTTTTAGTTTAAAGTGTTAGTTGTGAGGAAGGAGACTGTTGACATGCCCAACATCATATTTATTGCGATAGGGATGTAGTTAAGTAGCTGAAGAACATAAAACTTTTTTTTTTTTTTTTTTGGTTCTGATAAACAAGGAATTGAGGTTTCAGATCCAAAGTTGAATTCTATGACACAAACCAGTGAACTTTTCTGTCTTCTGTAGTTTCTGTCTTCTGTAGACTCTTTGATATAGCTTTTGCTCTCGCCAGTAATATCTATCTGTGCGCTTTTTATCCTGAGCACATGAAGAGTTTGCTCAGAAAATCCAGGATCGCCTGGCTGATGTGGCTCAGTGGCTGAGCATTGACCTATGAATCAAGAGATTACGGTTAGATTCCTGGTCAGGGCACATGCCCAGATTGCGGACTCAATCCCCAGTAGGATCTGTGCAAGAAGCAGTTGATAAATGATTCTCTTCCCATCATTGATTTTTCTTTCTCTCCCTCTCCTGTTCTCTCTGAAATCAATCAATCAATCTATCTATCTATCTAATCTATCTATCTATCTATCTATCTATCTATCTATCTATCTATCTATCTATCTATCTATCTATCTATAGAAAATCCAGGATGGTAAATTAGATTATAAAACAGGTTGCCAAATATATATCTTGTATAGTGTCTTATCTGTATGAGAAATAAGTTAGGAGCAGGTGTAAGTCACTTTGTTGGCCCTGAAATTCTTGACAAACTGTCCTGGTATGTTTGTGAGACAAGTTCCAGAGGTCATTTTTCGTCTAGATAAAATGCAAGCTAATTTGTGACATTAGCCTTATAAAATACCTGGCATGTCCAAACAGTTTACTACCTAAGATGGCTTGTATATCAGAAGCTTTCTTTTGCTGTCAAGTGCTATCAGGAATGACTGCTTTCCTACTCCAGGAAACAGGTCCCTGGCAGTGTCTTCAAACTTGCATTCCAGCTGTGGTTGTCTTGACTGTGGGTCCAGGACCTGCCTATCGGCATCACCTTGGAACTTGCAAGAAGTGCCAACTCTGAGGCTCCACCCCAGACTTCTTGGATGATCAACTCTGAGAGTGGAGCCCAGCCTTCTGTGTGACAGTCCGCCCAGGGCATGGTCAAGTTTCAGAATCCCTGTGTTAAATTAATGACCTACTCTGTCCAAGAAGCTCAGACAAAAAAAGCCTTAGAAAAAAAAATAATCTAGAATTCAAATTTAGACCTTTGATGTTTTTTTTTTAAAAAATATATATTTTATTGAATTTTTACAGAGGAAGGGAGAGGGAGAGTTAGATACATCGATGAGAGAGAAATATCAATCATCTGCCTCCTGCACACCCAACACCAGGAAGGGGATGTGCCCACAACCAAGGTACATGCCCTTGACTAGAATCAAACCTGGGACCCTCGAGTGTGCAGGCTGACACTCTATCCACTGAGCCAAATCGATTAGGGCTGATGTTTCTGTCTTAATTAGAAAAGGATTACATTATTTTTGTGTCTATAGATGCAATAATACTTCGTAGTGCATTTAACTATATTATTTGTAAAAGATCATAATACAAAAGTATATACTTTTGTCTTTTTTAATTGAGGTAATATTCAGGTAACAAAATTAACAACTACTTTAAAGTGTATAATTCATTGTCATTGAGAGCATTCATTCAGTTGTGCAGCTGTCACTTCTGTCTAGTTCCAAGACATTTCCATCACCCCAGCAGGACATTCCATATCCATTAAGTAGTCATTCTCTATTATCCTTCCTGGCCCCAAACCCTGGCAACCACTAAGCTGCTTTCTTTCTCTGTGGATTTATTCATTCTGGGTGTTTCATGTAAGTTGAATCATACAACATATGACCTTTTGTGTTTGGTTTTGTTCACTTAGCATGGTATTTCCAAGATGCATCTCATTGTAGTATACACTTGAGTGGCCAGATTATTATGACCTCTGAACGCATAATAATCTGGCCACTCAGTGTGTGTGTGTGTGTGTGTGTGTGTGTGTGTGTTATATGTTAGAGGCCCGTGCATGAATTTGTGCATGGATAGTGTCCAGCCAGCCTGGCCAGGGGGAGGGGACATGGGTTGCTGGCCAGCCTGCCTGCTGGTTGAACTCCTGGTCAAGGGAACAGTTTACATATTAGCCTTTTATTAATATAGGATATGCACTGAGTGGCCAGATTATTATGCGTTTAGAGATTATAATAATCTGATAACTCAGTGTATATGAACACTTCATTCCTTTTAAAGGCTGAGTAATATTCCATTGTATGTATATACCACATTTTGTTTATCCTTTCATCTGTTGTTGGATGTTTGGGTTGTTTCCACTTTGGAGCTAGTGTGAATAGTGTTGCCTTTGTTTGATTTCTTTCAGTTCTTTATAATTTGAGGAGGGTGTATACCTATGAGTAGAAGTTCTAGGTCACATGGTAATTCTGTTTTTAACTTTTAAGGAACTTCCTATTTTCAAAGTAGCTGCATTATTTTACCTTCCCACCAGCAGTATACAAGGGTTCCAATTTATCTGCATCCTCACTAACATTTATTTTCCATTTTTTTTATTGTAGCTATTCTAAAGAATTTGGAATTTTATCTCATTGTGAACTAATGATGTTGAACATCTTTTTATAAGCTTGTTGGCCATTTGTTTGTCTTTGGAGAAATATCTATTCAAGTCCTTTGCCCATTGTTAATGGGGTTATTTTTCTTTCTGTTGTTGAGTTGTAAGAATTTTTTATGAGGAATCTGGCTCCAGGTGAAAATCTTAGGTGTGTCTTTTAGACACACGTGACAGTTATGTGGCTTTTATCTGGCGGGCTCCATTGGGGAAAGCTGCCTTCTCCATACCAGATGTGAACTGCAGCCTTCTCGAGGGAGCTGCAGGCAATGCTCAGGCCCCCTGCCCCTGAGCATGCTCACATGTGTACTTGCATTCCAAGTCCTGGCAACTTCATTTGGAGGCCTCCTTTGTGTGTGTGTGTGGGGGGGGGGTAGGGGGGGCTTTGGCTGAGGCATCTCTGCTGAGACTTCCTTTTAGAGGCCTTGGCCATAGTATTTTTCTCCACTCTGACTCAATGCTTTTCTGCTCCTAGCTCTTCTTTGCTGTGCTGTTTATGTTTCCCCCCCCCCCCAAAAAAAATTATATGTTAAAATCCTATTGCCCAAGATGATGATCATACAAGGTGGGCTCTTTGGGAGGTGATTAGGTCATGATGATGGAGCCCTCATAAATGGGAATACTGCTCTTATAAAAGAGGGTTCTCACCAGAATGTAGCTATGCTGGCACCTTGATCTTGGACTTCCCAGCCTCTGCAACTGTGAGAAATAAATGTATGGTTTAGCGCCCACCCAGTCCATGATATTTTGTTATGGCAGGCTGAAAGGACTAAGACACTTAGCCATTTGCGTCGATGGGAGGCAGGATCTTAGTTTGGGACTCCTCAATAGTGAGATATTGCCCCCTCTCTGCACTGCATGTTGTCTGACCCTTATCTGGCGTCATTCTGTGGGGATAATGGAGCATTAGGGAGCTGACACCTTTCACTTGGCCCCTTGCAGTCGCAGTAAATGAATCAAGCCCTGATTGTTACTTTCGGTTTGGCTTGTTGACTATCAACCACCTTGGCACCTGACACATATGTTCTGGATATTAGACCCTTAGAAGATATATTCATTTGCAAGTTCTTATTTTTTGAGAGATTTGTTTAATCATATGTTATGTTATACTATACCCCCAAATAACATTGCCAGATAAGAAACCAGACAAAATATCAAAGACATAAAAGAATTTTTTAACTAAACCATGCAAAATTGTGTAAATGTCAACCTGAACAGGTGCTTAGGGCAGAGCACCAGGTGGCCTTAGAAGGGGGAAAAAATTGCAGTTGCCTCATCAGAATTGAGTTTATCAAAAGTGCTCCTGGGTTATTTGTATTTTTGCCTTAAAATGTGAACTGTTTATACTGTCGCAAGGGGACAAAACAATTTTTTCTGGGCAGTTCATATAAATTCTTGCATTGAAAAAAATTTTTTTATTTGATAACATCTATTTTGTGTGTTTTTTCTTTTGTTGCTTTGGGTTTTGGTGTCATATCTAAGAATCCATTGCCAAGGCTAAGATTATGAATATTTACCCCAAATATTTTTCTAAGAGTTTTGTAGTTTTAGTTTTAACAGGTCATTAATCTATTTTGAATTAATTTTTGTATAAGGTATGGGTCCAACTTAATTCCTTTGATGTGTGGATATCAAGTTGTCCTAGCACTGTTAGTTGAAGAAACTATTCTTTTTACATTGAATGGCCTTTACACCCTTGTCGAAAATCAATTAACCACGTATATCAACGTTAATTTCTTGACTTTCAGTTCAGTTTCATTGGTCTGTTAATTTCTTGACTTTCAGTTCAGTTTCATTGGTCTGTATGTCTTTATGTCAGTACCACACTGTTTTGATTGAAGTTGCTTTGGGTCAACTTTTCAAAATTGGAAAGTGTGAGTCCTCTAACATTTTTATTTTTCAAAATTTGGCTATTTGGGGTCCTTTAAATTCTGTGTGAATCATAGGATCAGCTTTCCCATTCCTGCAAAAATGATTGTTGTAATTTTGATAGGGATTGTGTTAAATATGTAGATTGTTTGGGGAGTATTATCATTGTATTAAGTTTTCCAATGTATAAACATGAGATGCCACTAATTTAGGTCTTTAATTTCCTTTGGCAATGTTTTGTACTTTTTAGTGTACATGCCTGTGCTTCTTTGCTTACATGTATTCCTAAATAGAGGGAGCTAGTGATCTTTGGCAACACTGTGGAGTAATCTTAGTACCAAAGAAGTAGTAATTGTCATTTGCGCAATAAAAGTAACTGCCTTTTCTTGAACACCTAATGTGTCAGATGCTGTATTAGATGATGTGTATTCTTTGTAAACTTATGTAGACAATCTCTAGATTTAAATAGGTTTCAATGGGATCTCTTCATGGCATACTCCAGGCACTTGAGAGTGCAGGAGGAGCATTCTCTTAGAATCTTCTACACTACCTGTTCTTTAACTCTCAAACTAAACAACACAAAAATATGTGCTCTAACTCCCCGCCACCCAGCCTTGCTTACCACACAGATTAGAACATATTAACATCAGCCCAACCTCGGGGAGAGGTCCTTCAAAAACCATACAAAGGACTCTTTTTAAGCATCCAACTTCGCTTTTTGATAGCAGATCTGCCAATTCCCAGAATTTTGGGATCAAGATCTTCATGTAGGTTGAGAACTATTCTACTAAGTGCTTATCCTCCTGTGTTTTGTCTGTGCTAAGAAACCGTAACTCTCGGTATTTTTCTCTCTCAAATATCAAATAATGTATTTCACATCTCAGTGTTATCCTGTTGTATGAAGTTTTTTCATTTACCTGACCAGCTCTCTTACAGTGACTTAACATTTCTTTATTCCCCAGGGAAAAGTTAACTATCGGATGCCACCAGCTGGTTGAGATGGAGTATGCCATGCAGCAGTGCTATGCATCTGTGTACATGGAGGCCAAAAACAGGGGGTGGAGTGAAGACATGCTCAATGATAGGACCTAATCTGGTAACTCCAAAGGATTGCATTTGTCCTCAAGAACAACAGAGTAGCTTTTGAGCCAAACTCCAGAGACTTGTAAGAAATCTCATTTGTATAAAAAGGTGATTGCTTATTATTGACAGTCTCATTGAGGTTCTCTAAAAATCCTAATGCATCCGTTGTGGGATAAACTGTGAACTCAACTCTTCTGACGTTGATAATACTTTGCTACCTCCACTCCTGATACTGAGCCAGAATGTTTAAGGAAATGAGAGCTGCTTTTTTAGTCACCTTAGGGCAGGAACCATCGTGGCCCCTGTAGAAGGCACAGCATTAGCGTCTCTCTCAACCCTGAATATATGGTTACACGATCCAGGGACACTTCCAAACTCCAAGAAAGAATTAGGACATGACTATACTCACCATACTCCACAGATGAAATCTGAACCCTGGACTGTTTTATGATTAGCGTCTTCCATGCAGACCTGGTGAATGTAATGCATATCCCTTCCACTTCCCCAAGGGACCGAAAATAGAATTGTCACTTCTGCTCCAACTTGCAATAGCAGCCTTTCTTCTGCCCCAGGCTTGTCACTTTCCGGTGCATTTCTAGTGAGGAGCAGGGAGACCCCAATGCAGTCCCCCCTTACATGGGAAGCAGCATGCATTAATGGGATTAGGTGGCAGGGCCTGGCGTTTGCCTCTAGGGAAACCAAATGTTTGATTGACTCATTTACTTATATCGCAAGTTGGAAGTCCTTGTTTTTTTGGAGTATAGTATGCTTTTGTTAGTGCACTAGAAATCTAATTTGGTATTCTATTATAAATGCTTATTTTTTAAAGTAATAAATTATTTTCACTAAGATTTAACTTTTCATTTTACTTCCAAATTGTATTTCTGAATTGTACAAGGTGTGATTTTAAAGAGAACCTACTTAGGATGCTCACTAGTGTAGTCTGTGCAGGACCCACTGAACTTTGTTTGCATTCAAAGTGCTGGGGCTCACCGTGCTGTCTGCTTTGCACCAGGGGGAAGAAACCTCTGCTCTCCTCCTCTTTCTTCCCCAGGAGCCAAAACATCCCTTCCCATGGACCAAATGAATTTTTTTCATGCCTTATCTGTCAGCTGCTTTTGGTTATTACTGTTGGGTTTCAGCTCATCTTTGTTCCTTCTCTTTCCGTCCTTTTATTTATTTTTTAATTTCTTTACTAAAGCATTACATATGTGTCCTTATTCCCCCCATTATGTTAAGCATTTCTTTTCACTCCTATTAACTGCTACTTTCTATTTCGCTCTTATGTATGTGCATTTTCTCTTAGTTTGTGTCTTTTACTTTGTGCATTAACTTGTCAATTAGTTCAACATTAAATTTTATTGATTTGTGAAGGGGTTTTCTTCTAATGTTAGGTTTTGATGTTATTTTTTGTGTATTTATTTTTAGAAACATCCTTTTAAACTTTTTTTAGTCTTTGTTTCTTTGCAGTGTCAAGTTTTTTTCCTCTCTCTCCCTTGTTGCCTTTTCTAATTTTAATTTTATTACACTAAGTCTAGTAATTGTCTGTCACTGTGCACACTTATCACAGTATTATTGACTGTATTCCCTTTCACCTTTTCAGTCATTCCCCATTTTCCTTCCCCCTGGCAACCATCAGTATGATCTATTTCTAGTCTAGTGCAAAGTGGTGCACTAGTAATGTTTTTGTTTGGTTTGTTCATTTGTTGTTTTAGTATTTAGATTCCATATACAAGTGAAACCTTACAGTATTTTCTTTCTCTGACTTATTTTACTTGGCATAATAGTCTCTAGGTCCATCCATGTTGTTGCAAATGTCAATATTTAATTCTTTTTTATTTCTGAGTAATATTCCATTTGTTTCTTTTTGCTTTTGTTTCCCTTGCTTGAGGGACATATACATAAAGAAATTATAGAGGCTAATGTCAGATAGTTTACTACCTGTGTTAGCTTCTAGGAGCTTAATGGTTTCAGGTCTTACTTTGAGTCTTTAAATAGTTTTAGTTTTTGTATATGGTGTAAAAAAGTGGCCTAGTTCCTTTTTTTCTTTTGCATCTGTCCAGTATTTCCAGCACTTTTTGAAGAGACTGTTGTTTCTTCATTGTATATTCTTACCTCCTTTGTCATGGATTAATTGACCATATAAGCAAGTTTATTTCTGGGCTGTTCTGCTCCACTGATCTTTTTGTCCCAGTACCATTCTGTTTTGATTACTGTGGTTTTGTTGTAGTCTGAAATCAGGGATTGTGGTACCTTTAACTTTGTTCTTGTTTAACATTGTTTTGGCTGCCCGGCCAATATTGTTTAATTATTGTGCATCGACCTATGAACCAGGTCACAGTTCGATTCCAGGTCAGGACACAGGCCTGGGTTGCGGGCTCATCCCCAGTGGGGGTTATGCAAGTAAGCCCCGGTTGATGCTCCTATCTTCCTCAATAAAAATAGATAGTAAAAAATATTGTTTTGGCTATTTCAGGTCTTTTGTGATACCACAGCAATTTTAGTATTTGTTCTAGTTCTGAGAATACCATTAGTATTTTGATAAGGATTGCATTGAATCTTCAAGGTTGCTTTTAGACATTTGTTTTGATGAAGAATTATCAGATCTTTAGAAGAGCAAGTACAGGTTTTAAAATCTCTATTCTTTAATATGTATGGCTATTATATTTTGAGCAGAAGCCATTATATGCATGCCATGAATCAAACTGGACTGATGGGGAAAGTCACACCAGGGTAAGGGCTGCCTACTTTATGTCGTTGGCTATGCTGTAGCAAGGAGCTGGTGATAACTTCATGAGAAGCATCCATGAGGATTATTCTGTTCAAGTTCCTAGCACCACTTTGCACTAGACTTTTCCAACTTACTTTCCCAGAATGCTATAGAGCTGTTTGAGGCTGCCTTTTCATTTAACACCCTTCTGCGATCCATCCATGTTTTATTAGTACTTCAATTCTTTGTATTCCTGAGTATCCTGTTGTATGACTGGAATTTATTTATTTACTAGTTGGAAGAATATTCCAGTTTTAGTTAGCAATTGTAAATCAAACTGCTATATTCACACAAGTTTCTGTGTGAACATGGTTTCCTTACACTTGGATAAATACCTAGGAATGGGATTACTGTCATAGGTTATTTCTCTAAGAAACCGCCAAACTGTTTTCCAAAGTGACCTTACATTTTCTGATTTGTCCAATACGAGTTCCAGTTACTCTGCATCCTAACCAGAATTTGGTATTATTCAGTTTTAATGTGACATTTTGCTTTTTATATTTTCCTAATGATTTATAAGTGAGCATAATTTCATGTTTTTATTGGAACCATTTATCTTCTTTGAAATGTCAACTCAAATCTTTAACCCATTTAAATATTGTTATTAATTTTGAGAGTTCTGGATTCAAATCCTTTATCAGACTCGTTTTATTTCTTTTAAGCCTGTGCCTTTCAAGACTTGATATCACTTTTGGCTTAGAACATTAGCTCAATGTAGAAGATGGATCTTTTCATGACTTGCAAGTAGCCTTTTCATGCCTTCCAATTAATATAGCAACTCCATTCTTAAATTGCTAGATATTTTACTTCATAAATTTCATTTCCATTCATGTTTGGTATCCTGTGTTCTTTTCTCCAAAAGGCTAAAATTTTATCACTCCCTTAGCCACCTGTTCAAATGTATGTCCTTTTTAGATTGTTTCCACAAGATACCAATTTTGTACATACCCAGTTTGATAATTGAGCTTTTGCTTCTCAGTCTTATTTAACCTCCAATAAGTGATGAAGCCATTAATAGTGAAGTTTAAATGTTTTGTTGGCCATGTGCTATTAAGTTCAAGAATCTGTGACATGCATGGATATATCCCTCTATAAACTCTACTTGTTGATCAATGCATCACTTTTAAGTCTTCAGAAAGGATTTATTATGAAGGATATTGGTGCTTCACGTTACTTCTTTTTAACCCTACAGATGACTTAATGTTCTTTGATTTTCAGAGTAAATTTGACATGTAAATGTGTAAGTTTAAGAAACAGTATTATGTTGATATTTATACATTGTAATGATTGCTATGTAGTTATATTTATCACATTGCATAATTTATATCATCTATATTCATTATACTGTACATTAGATCTTTATGGCTTATTTACTACTTGTTGCCAAATTTGTATGCTCAAACATAACATCACTCTTACTCCACTCCTGCTAATCACCATTTTACTGGTTTCTACAGATTAAACTTTTTTAGATTCCACATGTAAATGCTATTCATACAATGTTTGTCTTTCTCTGACCTATCTTGCTTAACAGAATGTGCTCAATGTGCTCAAGGTCCATCCATGTTGTAGCAAATGGAAGGATATCCTTTCCCATGGATGCTTTAACTTATTTAACAAGTCTCCTGTTTATGGGACCAAATTTGTGGCTTGGCCTTATTATTGAAGATTCATGTGTTGGTGTTTGCTTTTTGTTCTCTTTTACACCCAGTTAATTTATCTTTTATCTTATGTTTCAGTAAAAAGACTCGTCAAATCCTTTTCTGGAACAGTAGGATACAAATAAATGCCTGACACTATAGTTTTCTATGGCTCATATGTTTCTTTCTTTAAAAAAAAAAAAATATTTTTATTGATTTCAGAGGAAGGGAAAGAAACATCAATGATGAGAGAATCAATGATAGGCTGTCCCCAGCACGCCCCTTACTGGGGATTGAGCCCACAACTTGGGCATGTGCCCTGACCAGGAATCCAATTGTGACATCTTAGTTCATAGATTAATGCTCAACCACTGAGCAACACTGGGTGGGCTGTGACTCATACTTTTCTAAAGGTAATCCTGGAGTTGCAAAAAAAATACCCTAAATTGTACTTCCTCTTTTGCCTAATTCAACTTGAAGAATCTGAGGTCCAGAGAGATTATAGGTATTATGCAAGGATTCTAGCACTATATCATGTTCCCAAATCCAAGGGCTTCTCCTAAAAAAATATGATTATGTAAGAAATTCTAAAACATGTTGAGTAATGGTAAAAAGCTTTTATGGCATACAAGCCAAAAATCAAGTCATACCAAAAAAATCATGCCTGAGGTATATGAGGTATAATAAATTGTTTTAATTCAAACAGGTATTTTATAGTTTTGCTACTGTATGAGGGGCCTAGAATATTTTAGGCATTATGACAATGAACTGCAACCGTGGTTATTATTTCTAAATCACTCAAAAACCCATACTTTAAAATGAATTGGAAGCTTCTTATATTCAAAACATATTTTAAAAATATATTTTAGCCACCAGAATACCTATTTGGCATCAATGGAATAGAGGGAAACTTTGACCCAAAGTAGTCTCATATTATTTGCATTTAAGTGTTAGGAACTGAGAATTTCAAGGATTTTGCTGCTTAAACTTGATTTTCCTGTGTTAAATAGAACATATACAGTTATTAAAAAAAAGAAATTATCATATTAGGCTCGAATTTGCCAACCTAGTTTTAGTTCAGAACCACCAACAATAGATATAGTCAGGAACTAGCCACCAGGTGAACTGAACTGACTTCCTTTCCTGATGATTTTGTGTGATGGATGATAACAAGGAAAGTTAAAGTGCCAGTGAAAAGTGCAGAAAATACTCATTTTCTTCCTAACCCAGAATAGCTACCACTGGATAGTCATATTGTCCCAGCTGGCTCATTAGATTCCCGTGTGCCTCTTTTGTTTAGAAAACACTAGCTTAATGTAGTGTTTAGTTTCTCTGAGAGAAGAAACCTTAAAACCTTACATCAATCCTTATTTCAGATGTTAGATGACAAGTGAATATTTTTTCCAAATACTTTAAGCTCATTGCTATTGGAAAAAAGTTTCCCCAGGACTTTTAGTAATGAATGAATACTCAAACAACGTTTGGATATTAATCCCGTGGTGCAAAGATTTCCTGCAAAGTACCTTTAATATGTCTGCATCAGCAACAGGCAATTGGATGTGCTAATTTTGGCACCATAAGTTATATGTACAGCATTACATACTAGATACCAAGTCACCCAACCAATATTTATCCATATGAATAGAAAAACTGAACAAAAACATAGTTCTAATAAATGCTGCATTCATAAATCCAATACAATTTAAATTAATTGTTTACACAAATCAAGGGCTGCCATTTGGGATTATTTTGTTAATGATAAAAACAGGGATTACTTATAAAATACGTTACTGTTCTTTACTATTATATATTAAGTGGCTTGCTATATGAAATACCCTCAAAAATATTTAAAATCAGTGTTTCAAATAAAAATTACAGCTATGTTACTGTTCAGCAGCTCCATTCAAATAAACATTGGTACTTCATTCTCAAAGAAATTGTGGCTGAGGCAAAAGCTTTGAACTTTGCATTCTGGTGTGTAAAACAAACACCTCCTTCTGCATACTTTAAGTCTACCATTCTGCTTCAGTAATTTGAATTATGCCACATTCAACTTCAACAGGAAAAGCACTTTGCTGAGGATATAAAAAGTCATATAAGGCAATCACACAAGATTAAATCTTGGTAGGCATGTCAGCTTTCTTTTAATAAAAAAAAGTCATTGCCATCTAGTTAAATAAGTATCTTTTGTTATAGAGGGTTCCAGTTATTGTAAAAGGGCCATTAAAAAACCCAAATGCCTACATCTTAATACTCTACCCCCTCTTGCCCTAATACACATTTAAGGAAAGTAATTCAATGTGCAAATTGGCAAAACAAATGTGGAGGAGAGGGGACTTCTTGAAATGATGTGCCCAATCAATTCTTGGTTTATTCTTTTACAGTAACAACTTCCAAAAAGTAAAATAACCAAAGTAGTCCTAAAAATACACAAAACAGATCTTCAACTTTGCATTTCTTTCCCAATAACACAAAAAGTATGTACAGCATGTTTAATAATATGCAATATGCAAAAGCTTTGTGTTGCTGTTAGCAACCTCTAGACCCACCCACCCTCCTTATTCACAAATGTACCTCTACTAAACACAATTACATCACTAAGCCTGTTAGTTTGAAAGAATCTTAAATTTGTTAAAACTGAAAAATCTTTGTATAGGGGCTCCACTCATTTGACTCAAGGTTATAGACTTCTACGGTATTCAGAAATTCATTGCCATCAAATCCTCCCACTGCATAAATGGTGTTCCCTACAGATGCAATCCCAGCATTGCTCCTTGCTGAAGTCATGTTTCCAATCATCTTCCATTCATTTCTAGTTGGATCATACATCTCCACACAGCTGATGGCGTGAGAACCATCAAAGCCACCACCTACAAATAGTTTTCCTAAAAGAGAAATGAGATAAATAAATCTAGATGAAGAGAGAATCCTAAAATCTGCTAAAATCAGTGGTTTTAGAAAAGCCTTTTCATTCTGTCAGAAATACTTATTAAACTAGAGATCTGGTACATGAATTTGTGCACCAGTGGGGTCCCTTAGCCTGGCCTGCGGGATCTGGCGGAAACCGGCTCTTCAACATCTCCAAGGGATCCTGGATTGAGTGAGGGTGCAGGCCAGGCTTAGGGACTGCACTGGTACATGATTGGGGCAGGAAGGGATATACGAGGTTGGCTGGGGGAGGTTTCGTAGAGGGGCTCCAGGGCATGTCTGACCCATCTTACATAGGCTGGCTCTCAGCAGCAAGCTAACCCACCAGTAGGAGAGTCTGCTTCCTGGTGGTCAGTGCACATCCTAGTGAGTGGTTGAGCGGCCTTAGTATATCATTAACATGTTACACTTTGATTGGCTGAATGAACAACCAGACACTTGCAATATTAGGCTTTTATTACACAGGATGCGCACTATGGTGAGAGGCACTCTCTAGAGGTGGGGGATATAAATAGAATAAAATCAAAAACCATCTGCACATGGAACTTAGGCAATGTAAGGGGAGGGCAACATCTAACTAAAGTACAATTCTCACAACAATTCTATGTGGTAGTTGCTATTATTACCATTTCACAGATGAAGCAAGGCACAAAGAAGTTGGACAACTTGCCAAAAGACACAGCTAGTTAAGTGGCAAACCAAAATAGTTCTGTGCACTGGAACTTTTGTATTGTCTAGTGCAGTGGTCAGCAAACTCATTAATCAACAGAGCCAAATACCAACAGTATGATGACTGAAATGTCTTTTGAGAACCAAATTCTTTAAACTTAAAACTTTTTCTAACACCACTTCTTTAAAATAGACTGGCCCAGGACGTGGTACTTTGTGGAAGAGCCACACTCAAGGGGCCAAAGAGCTGCATGTGGCTTGCGAGCTGCAGTTTCCTGATCACTGGTCTAGTGTGTAACAACTAAAATTTGAAAAGCAGAATTTTTGAAAACTGAACTCTTTCCAATTATATTAAAATGATTTGGTAAATGTCTTCTTGGAAACAAAGTTGGGAGTTATGACTTATAACTTTTCAAATATACATGCAGAGCAGTTAACATTTTCAAACAAAATGTTAGCATTAGGTTCTGTTACTTAAAAATTTTTTAATTACAGGTTTTCAAATTGATCATTCCTACCTGTACCCATATACAATTGAGTCCTCACTTAGTGTTCTCAATAGGTTTTAGGACTTTAAGTGAAAGACATTTAACAAAACTAGTTTTACCATAGGCTATAAACAAGAGTTGAGTTCCTATGGCATCTCATCAATGTTTTAAAGTAACGTTATTGAAGGGCTTGCTGTACTTGTAAAACAATTGAGAAGGCCCATAGCCCATAGTAAGCTAGAGGCTACAGACCATACTTCCACCAGCTGAGGCCCAAACTTATTAATATTCTGCTTTTGTTCCAAAAACAATGTAAAATTCATTATAATTGTAAGTAAATATAGTGCACGTGAAAAGAAATCTGTGTTTGTATAAAAAAAGTTTAATGCCTTGGGAAGACTTCTTAAAAATAGTCTAGAAGTTTTACTTCCAATTAGGTATCAAATAGACAATTAGAAAAATAACTAGGTCTAGATGATTTACAAATCAAATACTTTAAAATTCTTGCTCTAAAGAAGTACTCTAATGATGCATTTTGAGTATGGTTTATGAAAGAAAATGACTTACAACTCAGTGAACTTATCAAAAGATTAACGAAGTGATATATTTACATTATACCAAGTACTGAGTTTCTGATAAAGGTATTTCTAAAAAAGAAATTAATCCCCACCACATCAGAAAAGATGGCAGCATCTGAATTCTTAATTATACAAGCATATGGTTATCACTGACATTCTTAGAATTTTAGAACAAACCTTGCCATTACCTATTCCTCGCTTCTCCAAACCCTAACACTCACCATCCAGAACAGCTACCCCAGCTCCTCTCCGAGCCACATTCATGGGTGCAATTAAAGTCCAGGTGTTATTTTCAGGATTGTAACGTTCTACGGTGCTCAGGCAATTCCAAGACTCTGCACCTCCAATTATGTACAAATAACCACCAAGCTCACAGACTGCAGACTGATGTCTACCTATAAAATCAAATCAAACTAAAATTATTGTTCTATCTCCCAAAACTCTTAAGTGTGTACTACACATACTATTGATTTAGAGGTCTTTTTAGGGGCAAAAAAAATAAAAACAAAAAACAAACCCAAAACAAAAACACAACAACTTCAAGGGGGAAAAGTGAACTTACGAATGTTTAGAGGAGCACAGCTTGTCCATGATTTTGTTACAGGATCAAAAACTTCACAATTTTTCAGCCCTTTCTGACCATATGGATCAGAGCCACCAAGGATGTATAATTTCCCATTCAGAGCACACACTCCTATGAGTATAAAATAAGGTTACACATTGATAAATTGTCACATTTAAACACTATCTTTTTAAAATATATATATATATATTTTATTGATTTTTTTACAGAGAGGAAGACAGAGGGATAGAGAGTTAGAAACTTCAATGAGAGAGAATCATCGATCAGCTGCCTCCTACACACCCCCTACTGGGGATGTGCCTGCAACCAAGGTACATGTCCTTGACCAGAATTGAACCCGGGACCCTTCAGTCTGCAGACCAACGCTCTATCCACTGAGCCAAACTGGTTTCGGCAACACTATCTTAATAGAAAGCGTTATTACCTGCATTACAACGGTTAGTTCTCAATTCTGGAACAGGAATCCAGTCATCTATGTTTGGATCATACATCTCTCCACAACTCAGGTCATCCGAGTGGCCATTTGATCCACCAACCACATAAAGTTGGCCCTAGATCCAAAGTGAGAGATTAGCATTTCTGCCATCTCAAGCTATGAGAAAAAGCTAAATATGGATTGCTTCCTCCTGAAACGTAACGCACTGACCATCAGCACAGCCATTTGAAATCGGGCTCTTGGTGTTCTCATGGGAGCAAGGAAGGACCAATGATCTGTATGTGGATCGTAGCATTCAACTGTTCGAAGGCATTCCTCTCTGTTATAGCCCCCTGGTAAAAGAACCATAAAGATTTACATTTACAGGATTAAACCATATGAGGGTTTCTGGTCCAGAATGCTTAAAAATAATCAGCACAGTGAGAAAAACAATTTTTACCCACAAACTTATAAGGCCCCAGGAATCATGTTTCTTATTTAAGGGCTTATAAACACCTTAATAACAACAGTATCATTATGACTAAATGGCTTGGTGTTGCCCTGAAAATTAGGAGAGAGCAATTTACCCACTTTATAGTGTTTTTTAAGAATCAGACACAGACTACTAAGTCAAAGGTTAGACAGTACAACAGTATTTACTTATTTCTCTGTTGTCTTACAGTGAGGTAAAGTGGAGTGCCAAGAAGGTATATTAAACCCTCTCTTCCAAAGTTTGCATGTCACAAAGTGTAAAATCCTCACTGGAGGTTTGGCTGGAGGTCCCCCATAAGAAATCACCCTCCTTGTCTTACCTGCAGCTATGAGTTTGCCATTCAGCTCCGCCGTCCCCAGGCCAGACCGTGCATAATGCATAGGCGACATGGGCTTTTCTATCAGCTCATCAGGCTGCATCTCAAAGCTTAAACTTTTAGTTAGTTTTGGAGTACTTGTTGGTGAGCTTTGTGGGCTGTTTCGCCCGTGAAGGAAAATGACACAGAATACACCATCGAGCACAGCCAGGCACAAGTAAGTGTTATCTGTTAAAGCACAAGAATTCAATGTTTAAGATGCAATTATTATTACACTAGAGGCCCGGTGTATGAAAATCGGTGCAGTCAGGGGTGTCTCTCAGCCCGGCCTGCACCCTCTCACAGTCTGGGACCCTTCAGGGGGTAGGGGGTGGTGTCCAATTGATAGCTTAGGCCTGCTCCTCAGGGAACTGGGCCTAAGCTGGCAATCAGACATCCCTCTGGCAACCTGGGAGCCCTCAGGAGATGTCCACCTGCTGGCTTAGGCCAGAAATCCTGGGGAGCAGGCCTAAGTCAATAGCCACACATACTTAGTGCTGCTGTGGAGGTAGGAGAGGTCCCTGCCACCTCCACTACACTGGCCAGCCATGAACTGGCTTCTAGTTGAGTGGTGCTTCCTCTGTGGAAGCTAGTTGAGTGGTGCTTCCTCTGTGGAAGCTCACTGACCACCAGGGGGCAACTCCTGCATTGAGCATCTGCTCCACTCTTCCCCCAGTGACCAGTTGTTCCACTGTTAGGGTGAATTTGCGTATTACCCTTGAATTATATAGGATTTGGCTGCTATACAATCCTGAATCAGACTCCAGATTCCAGACAGGAACAATCTGCTATTGTATTCCTAACTTAGTTGCTTCTGAGTTTTTTCTCAATTTGAAAGTACTAAAAAATGGTTCCACTCCTTAAAATAATTACATTTTAGACACTGTAAGTATAATGCACTTACTTGAAGTCTTTTCTGAAGCAATGATTTTCCACTCATGCTTAGGACTTTGTACCGGGGCATTTGGAGAAGGGAGACATCCAGTGGAACTGCTACTTATCGGCTTATGGCCATTCTCACGTGGTGGCTTTTTCTGCAAAATCAAAAGGCAGCTACAGAAACCTAGCCAAAGACCATACCTGGTGTACCTGTGTTGCTGAGCTATTTCACAACACTGAAAAAACACTAAATTTAACACAGAGCAACATTTCCTACTGGCACAAATTACAGGCATGTTTCCACCTCTTAATAACTACACTTCACAGATTGCCTGGTTAGAAAAAGCTAAATTAAAACAAGAAATATATTGTGGGTCAAGTATTAATTCCTAATGCAGGGGGAAAAAGGAAGTCCTCCACCCCATAACCCACATACTCTTTATTTTTAAGTACAGAATAGTCTAGAAGAAATAGTTATAAATTTAAAATGGCATGTATTAACTGAGAGTACATTAACCCACTGTCTTCATGAAACTGTCATACCTAAACTGTCACACCTAAATAAATCATATGTACCAGTATGTTCACATAATGCCAGCAAAAAGTGAGCAGACATAAATAATATCCATTCAGTCTCCCTGAAAGTATTTTACAGGAAAAAAAAAAGTGGTAAATACAAGAAACACCTAATAGTATATTTCTTTAGGACTACCTTATAGGTATTATAGAGCATTTTTCGGACAGATAAGACTACATCAAAACATAAAAAATAGTAATCAGAAATGAAATAATACTAAAAGAGCCAACCATTCACTAAAGTAGAATACCAAAGAACACTAAAGGAGGGAGAAATGGAAGAAGTTGCAAGTTTTCAAATGATAGTAAGAGAATTACACTGTGTTCTCATGTGTGAGTTCCCTTTGATGATTTTCTTCCAGTTACTTTAGCCTATGACACTTCCAAACAACATGGTCATAGACTTGGAAACGTCAACACTAAGTACCCTGAGAGGAGCTGCCAAGTGAACAGGTACCACCTACACCCTCAGTGCCTGGCCAACTCTGCCTATCCACTTATTTTGGTCCCCAGGGTCAGAGTCCCATGGCAGGTAAAAATTTTAATGGAAATTGCTATTTCTATTGGAAGCAAAAATCCATGTAACAATAGAAAAAAAAAGATTGTGGAACTACTTAAAGCTGTTAAAAAACAAACAAACAAAAAAAAACTACTGAAGTTTGGTCTGTGCCCTGCAGCAGGTGTGGTTACAGCATGTGTAGACTATTTTGAGAAAGGGCAGAAAATGTACCATGTAAATGGTTATTAAATTCCATATGGACATTTATTATATACTTAGGTATTATTAGGCACTTTTTCACAACTCTTTTAATCCAATGAGAGCAATACTACCTACCCATTTTATAAATAAAAATACTGAAATCTAAAGATGCATTGCCTAAAGCAATAAAGTAAAGATTAGGAATTCTAAGTATTCTGCTATGACAGACTGCACTCTGCTACTAGAATTACAAGGCACACAAAACCCCACCCAACCTGGGAAGAAGGGATCCAAAGTATCACAAATTGACCTTGCTCACATTAATAGCTTTTATCACACTGAGAAAACTGCTCTAATGTACGGAGAGAAAACCAATGTGAGAGAAAGCACAGTAACAACGAAGACTGCTGGTGTTCTGGAACCAACATTCCTGATACAGAAATGCTGGCTAACACCTTTATGTTCTTCTGTCTGGAACATTTTCAAACATAATTCCTCCTATCTTCAGACTTTCCCACATCTACTTTTACCACCTAGCCCACTCACTGGCCCGTGCTTTCTTTGCCTCTCTCTGCCCAAGAGGTGGCCTCTGGGGACTGTTTCCTTTTCATCCTCTCAAGCTAAGCGTTCCTTAACCTTAATACTCTGGAAATTATATCCACTCAAGGTTTCTATAAGTGGTTTCCTAAAAGTAATGTAGGAGAGATACCCCTGACCTTCTCTTTCATGACTTCCACTGCAGACACTTTGGTCCTTCTTCTAAATTCCTACTCCTGAGTTAACCAGACTTTACCACACTATGTGATTCTGATTGTGCTACTCAACTTCTGTCCCTATTCCTGAAGCCCAGTGTGTCCCTTCATCTTTTTTCTTCACGATTTCAATTCATGGCACTACCTCCTAAGGAGTCAAGTGTCAGAATCCCGCTCACTCTCAAATTTTCTTAATTTTCCTAATCTGAACAATCATTAAGAAGTACTACAGTCTCAACCTTTCCAACCATAAATGTCTAGAGTCCATCCTTTTTCCTTCGTGCCTATACAAACTGGTCTCATGAGCTCTAATCTACCTTCTGTATCTTGTTATAAAAATAAGTTTAATGCAACCATTTTGTAAAGTCACAAAAAACACAAATCAGCTGGAATCCCACAATCCACAGGCTACCACCTGATAGTTAAACATTTGTCTAAAAACATGATTAATAGACATATCTTTGGCCTATAGAAATACCATAATTTAACCCACCCCTCTACTGTTGTGAAATGCATCTGCTGTTCATATAATTTTACTCCCTTGTCTAAAATTCTCTGAAAGTTCCCCACTACTTGTAGGATAAAATATAAGCCCCATACAGGTGACATTTACCTACATTTCCAATCTTGTGACCTGCAATTCCAAGTGTATCATCCTTGGAGACTCTTTGCTATCTTGACATACTTCTATCTGCTATGCAGACTCTTCTAATCCTGACTGCTCCAACGTTGCCTCTTTTGTGAAATTTCCCCAGTTTCTCTCCTCTTGACTCCACTAAGCCCTACTTTTATACTTTAAAATAAATAAGTCTTAAATGTCTGCATTGTTTTACCTACTCCTATAAGGTCCTACAAGTAGAAACCGTCTCTTAAATTTTTATGTCCCCATATCTAAAACAGGGCCTGCCACACAGGCATTCAGCCTTTGTTTATACAAAGAGTACTTTTGGAAAATGTTCATACCCAAAAACTTTTTCTGAAAATAAAGATATCCAGCCATTATTAACACACCCCTAACATCATCACCATACAGGTTACACCTGGATCTGTCATTTGTCTTTTAATCACTAACGGAGAAGACCTCTTAAACTGGGTCAACTCTGCCTATTTTGTATTTTATCCCTCATAAATACAATGTTGAGCTGAAGGCCAAAAGAGGAATACATACTATAGGTATGTAAACGTCAAACATAGGCCAACTAGCCTGTTGTTTCAGAAGTTAGGATAGTGGTTTTCTTTGAGGGTAGTGTAGTGATCCAGAGGGGTAAGAGGAAGACTCATAGAGCACTAGAAATCTTTTCTTCTTGACCTGAGTAGTATTTAAATTTGTGAGTTCATTACTATGTGATACTTAGGATTTGTACAGTTCCTCTGTTATTTGTTCATAAACTTAAAAAGTTTACATCTAAGATTTTTTTTTTTAAATTGGGTCTATTTAATAGTCATTCCTGTTGCAAACAACTATTTTTCTAACCAAGTAACTTCTATATTGTTTCATCTTATTTGCAATTTTTCTTACTATTTTTAAATGTTGAGAAAAATGCTAAATGGGGTTTCCTAATTTGTTGAGTTAATTGAATTTTTTTTTTTTATGTGGCAAAAATGGTAGTAACTTGAAGGTATGCTTTTCTCCCAGGAATGTTTCTGTCCAGTCATACCAATGAAATTCTTCCACTTTCCTTTATTAAAGGAAAATTTCATAACTATAAAATGCTCTAATCAAATTTCAACCTGAGGTTACCTCAGATGTGCAATGTGTACCTGCACAAACTGAATGTGGTCATCATCACTGCCAAACACCTCAGCCTGTCCATCTAGTAGGTTCCCATCAAGCAGCTTGTGATCAGCTGAGTAGTACAAGGTTTGAACCTGCAAAACAGCAACAGAACACCCATGTGGCTACTGTCTCCATGGCTACACCTCTAGTCCGCAGATCACACAACCGCCTCAAGGTAACCTCCAGTGTGCTTCTTGAGCTTCTTGACATCTTACTCTGGCAGGATCCCGAAGCAAAGAAAATACATGTCATGGTTGTAAAATCTTAAAAAAAAAAAAAAAAAAAAAAAATACAGAATCTTCTAATCCTGGCTGAAGGGTCCTTGGCTTGATTGGCATGAAAGAAATCTTCATTTTTTTTTTTTCATAGCTTCTATTATATAGCATTAAGAAAAACGCACTAGTACAATATACAAGGTCTTAAAGAGTATACATATTTGCAATAAAATACTGAATATGGTTTACACCTTTGAGGATAAGTGGTCTAATTTGCATAAATATATTTCTGTCCTGTAGGCAATGTAAAAAAAAAAATTCAAAAATTCAAAAAAACTGTGGAGTACTTCCTTTAACAGATGCAAATACATAGCGACTGCATCTGACTTTCAAATGGAAAATCATTAACTTAAAGATCGCCTGTTAGCCTTTTCTGAACATGATAACAGCGTTTTTAAAGGTCTAACAGATCTGATAAGCCATTAGTGAACCTGAAAGGCTTAAGTGAAAGGATAAACTCAAAGTCACTCCATTGTTCCATCTGCCTATTTTAATTCCCACTATTTTTCCATTAATTTTTCTTTCTTGCTTGGTTTTTAAACGCCAAAGTTGAGTGACTATGCATGAACAACACCAATGAAAAACACAAAGCTTTAAAGATAAGAATCCTGTAAAGGAGTAAACACCATTAAATCATCATCGTTCTCTGCCCACAGCGGATTTTTCTTAGGAGAACTGGGGCAGGACTGCTGCTTCTTTACGTGTCAATACACTTGAGGTTTCTTCTTGTTTCTTCAGTCTTGGGTATCCTAGTTTTGTTAATAAACCTATGGGGAGATAAATCAACGGGGAGGAACAACCATTAGAAGCTTTTACCTACTTGTCATTTTTAAAGCAAAAACCTGTGAAGAAAAATTAAGAATCTACAGAAAATTTCAGTATACCACCTCCCATTTCTAAAGTAAATTACATGCTACTTTAAAGAAAGTTAATAGCACATAATAAGCAAAGAAATTAAAAAAAAGAAAAAAGAAAAAAAAGAAAAGCAGAAGACCAAACTGAACAGTTCATTCAGCTCACCTGGACACCCCCCCTGTTTCTCAGCTTAAGGGTACCTATAGCAAAATTTAAATTCTTTAGGGTCATGGTTATAAAATAAAAGTGAAAGGGAATCCTTCATGTTATAGCAAATAATTTTTAAGAATTGTTGAATCCCATTTACTTTAAAACTAACCTCTTCCATCAGCTCTTCCAGACTGTCTCCATTCTCCCAGATGCTACGCTGCACCCAGTTGATTACCTTTGTATACAATTTGCCATTGCTGGGCAAGCAAACATTATCTTCAAGCATTACCTCCAACTGGATTTGGAAAAAACACACAAAAACACATAGATCAGTGTTCACCCTCCAATTTTCAGCTTAATTCTCAATTTCATAATAAAGCTGTCAATAAAGATGCCCCATTGCATTCCATGCATTTACTCTAACTTGTGAATTAGAATTAAGTAGTCTATAATAGAAAACAAAGAAAGTAAATAAACTGGCAGAAAATGATTACACTGGGAAAAATAACTATCATTTCAATGTACTGTCTTTTTCATAACCAACACTCACTTTCTTGAAACACAAAGATTCCCTGCCTGGAGCTAAGTAGTATATATATATCTTTGTAGATTTTATTCCTTACCTTTAGCCGTGGAAGTTTAAGAAACTCTTCCTCTTCAGAAATTTGTAACAAATGCTCTTGAATATAAGCATCAACCTTATTCAACAAACGGGAGTCTCCCATACAACTAGCAAAGTTACGGTAGGAGATGCAGCTGGTAACATCCATTCGAGATAGTAAATAATCGCCACAAACCTTGGAAAACAAGAGTGCTAGTATTTACATACATTTTATTTAACAGGCATTTCATACTCAATGAATAAGCATTACGTACAGATAAAAAGACAAATAAAAAATCACTGGCATACTAGAACAAGTTTAACAGTAGGAAGAAACAATGTATACCATACAAATAATGAACAGCAAAGAATGCCATACAATGTGTAAACTATGTAAGGAAAACAGCACTGAACAAATGCTATGATAATGCATATGAAATGTTAAGACAAGTACAATTTTCAACTAGAATAATGAGACAAGTCTTCATGAAGGCAATATCTGAATTTGGCTCTTCAGGACATATGATGGTATAGAATGCAAATAGCAAGTAGAGTAGATGTTGCAATTTAGTTTGACTGGAGCAAAAGATAATCAGGGAATACTTTTGGAAAAACAGGAACTACTTAGGGAAAACCTAGTGGTAACTGAGGGATATGTGCTATAAGCCAGGGAAGGATTCTTAAGCAGAGAAGTGCTATAGAGGAGGAGCCAGGAAACTATCTTGAAGGGTCTGATAGGGATTGTAGGCCTACTTCCTCTTCACTTCTACTCAATCAACTGTCACTATAGGTGGAAAGTGGCCATACATCATATGAAGATGAAAGCTATGTTCCAGCTAAAACTAGATAAAACTAGGCAGCTGTTGGGAGGGTTGCAGTTTACCGACCCCCACCAGGGGATTAAATGCTTTTCCTCACATGAATTATTAAGCACTTCTCAATGGTGTTCAATTCTAGAAGTACTTTTAAAAAACCAAGAAGATTAAAAGAACAAAGAATTGTTCTGACTGGGTAGCTCCACTGGTTAGAACGTTATCCCAATATTTTTTTTTAAAAAAAACAAATGAGCAAAAAATTAAGGTTGTGTGAATAATCTGAGAAAAACAATATTTTAATTCATGCTAGCAGAGACTAACAGACACCCTGCCAGAGAAGACAGTTGGAAAAACAAGATTTTAGCCCATATTATCCAAGAGGAGGTATGACTTTGTTGCATTATTACACCTGCAGTTAAAATAGCATATTCAGTTCTGTAGCGGAAAAAAGAGACTCTCAAGTTCTTGAGGCGAACAAATAACAGATATAGATTCTAATAATAAGACTCCCTGACAACAGTAGTCTTTGTGGATTACTTCTGATACTCTACCTGCTTTACTCGGTCCATCTTCAGCTTTTTGGCTGCAGAATAAACATCTTTTACTAATTCCTTATCAGCTTTCAACCTATTAAAAAAAAAAAAAGGTCTTTATCATTTCATATATCAAGGTCTTAAAACAGATGAATTTAAACCTAGGGCAGGGGTATAGGGAACCTTTTTTTCTGCCAAGGGCCATTTGGATATTTATAACATCATATGTGGGCCATACAAAATTATCAACTTAAAAATTAGCCTGCTATATTTGGTCGAACATTTAATTAACTCACCTCTATTGCATTGGCAGGGCCAGACCAAATGATTTTGTGGGCCTTATACAGCCGCAAGGCCGGACGTTCCCCACCCTGATTTAGAGAAACGTAGATTTTCCTGATGACATTCCTGATTATACAAATGACTTAAAAAAAAAAAAAAAAACTTACTGTGCAGTGTAGGCATAATTCAACAAGACTTCAACAGCTTCTGGATTGAGATCATCGAACTTAACATGAGAAACTCTATGAGGATCGCCATCACTATTGAAGATTTCAAATAAATAGGGACTGCAGCAAGCCAGGACTGCTCTGTGTGCTAACATCTCATGGCCGCAGACCTGAAATTATGAGAAATTAAAATCGGAAACATTGTCGACTATTTATTTCTAATCACTTTTTTAAAAAGTTATTTCATTAAATGCCTCCTATGAATGAGAAAATAAGCAAATCCAAGATGTTATGGCTTTTAGTAATGAAGACCAATTCTATAAGTTTCCAATTAAGTTTTAACTACCTGAAGTCGAACATCACAGAACTGCCCACTTTTCCTAAGGGCATTTAATTTGGCAACCGAAGACTCAATGAAATTTTCATCTTCAAACATTAAATATCCGTTGGGAATCATTTTTCCTTATAAATTTGGCTGAAGGGAAAAAAGAAATGGTTATTTTACTTGTAAATGGTGATTTTTTATATTTAAAAGAGTAATACAGTTAATCTTTATTTTCAAATTCTGTCCTATCAACAACAAAAATTTTATCATACAAAAGCATTACTGAAAAAACACTGGCACCGTATGTCCAAGTCTTTGTACTCCTATGCTTTGGTCATCTTTTTAAGGATTCATACAGTACTGGATATCTCAGCAATTTTGGCCATTTCCATGTCTATTAACACAGTCATTGTAAAGGGAAAGAAATGTAAACCCAGCCTTATTCAAACCCATCTCACAAACAAACTAAAAGCTTGGACAGCTGTGAGTTGGTCTTCATGTATAGGTTTTCAATTGCTGTCATTCCTTTACCCACAAACGAGAAAAACTGATATTAAGATGAATTTAAATTCAGTTCTCTATGCAGGTTTCATATATCCTAAATCACTTATAGGAATACATAATCGAAACTTTGGTTCTTTTAAAGTTTCCACTTCACCTTTTCCTGTGAACAACTAACTAATGGGCTATACAAGATGCATCATTAAAAAGCAGTAATAGGCCCTGGCTCAGTTGTATTCCAGTCAGGGTACATGCCCAGGTTGCAGGCTCAAACCCTGGCAGGGGTCCTGCAAGAGGCAGCTGATTGATGTTTCACTCTCATATCCATGTTTCTCTCCCTCTCTCTAAAAATCAATTTTTAAAAAAGGCAAAAATAGGAGATTTAGTTTTAAGTAACTTATTCAAATTCAAAATACAAAGAAAAAATAGATGTGTTTTTACTACAAACAATTTACTGGCTTCACCTTATAAAAATTATGAAAGGCTTTTAGAGTACTTGGTACATACAGTGTTCAGAAAAACAAGGTGTCTTAATGCTGCATTGGGCATGAATATTCACTTACCTACGATACTGGTAAGAAATGTATTTCTGGGATGTCTTAAATAATTCAAGGATAAAGGAGTGTTAAAACTCAGCACTTCGTTGAGGTATGAAGATAGGTGGTTGACGTGAAGGCAAAGGTGTCTTAAGCTTTAATGGTGATTCCAAAACTATCAGGCTTGGAAATGATGTAATTAAGTCCTTAAAAGCTATAGACATGAATTTCTTCTGTGATAATCATGCATCATAATCTGTAACAATGAAAAATTTTAGATATTCAGAATGTCACTGATCTAGGTAGATTACATCACACAAAGTAAGTTGTGATCTTGAAGAGATTTGGACATACCGGTAAATGGCACAGAGAGAAAATAACTAACTTAATGGGACTATTTACAAACATTTTCCATTAATCAGCAACTACTCTGGTTAATTTTTTTTTTTAAACCTTTTAACATAGAAACAAGTGATCTTTCTGTTTTCACCAGCCAGCAAGCAACTTGGGCATCATTCCCAGATATGTACACAATGTTACAGTCAAACCAGATATATATACTGTTCCCCAGAGTGGGCTCTGTACTTCCTAGCCTCTACCTTCTTGAAATACCCTTAATCCAACCTCTGCCAGGTGAAATTTTAGCTCCAGAGAACCCCGTCAAGTCCCCCCAGGTAAGAAGTAGTTTCTCCACATACTGAACCCTCTGAAAAGTATTTTCATCTTCCAGCTGGCCTGTTCTGGGCTGTTTCTGTATGCCTGCTTATCTTCCTTAATTCAAGGTCCCTTGAAGGCATAGCCTCTACCAAAACAACTTAGCTAGAAACTTAAATATAAAGATTCACCCGAACTGCTATTACACCACTAATTCAAGAAACCAGAACTAAAAATTACTTGAAAGATGTGGGTAATTTTTAAAAAAAGACATCTTAAAATTACCCAAACTTTCCTTATACATTAATCAAACCTACAATTCTAAATCTAGCAATTACATTAAGGTAAACAATCACTAAAGCCTGGTCCAGTTCTAATTCAACAAACCTTTTGTGTTACATTCAACACAAAAGAGTGTGATCCCATATGACCTAACTGTGTAACTTAGGTTTTATTTCACAGAAACCTGAGTATTCTTCTGACTCAGTTAGGACTGTTGTGTAATATTGATTTCCTCTGCTCTACACTTTTATCTAGATTAGTTAGTTCAGCTTTCTTAAGAAACCAGGTCTAATAAAATAAATTTTTTCCAAGTGATACACAATTCTCTATATTACATATAGATACATATAGAAAACACACTATTTCTTAAAGAAACTATCCAACATTTTTTGCCAAGGCAGCTCAAATTAAGAAAATTTTTGTATATAGAGTGCCAATCTACACACACAGTTGGTAACTTCTCACTTCAATTTCATAAGCTGCTCTTAAAACAAGAGTGGAAGGGGAACTACCATGCAAATTCTTTTGATGATTAAAATGTGCCCATTGAAAAACCAAAAAACATTACATACGGAGGTTTATAAATATTCTAAACTTTGACAAATTGTATTCACTATTTGTAAACTAGTCTTAATCTAAGAATAAAATGGCACCTACTTATATTTAATAAATTGGAATTTCTACTTTAAATTTATTTTTAAAAGCAAAATCAGATTATTAAAATCACTTCAGTCCTCTTGGAACAACACATTAGAGAATTTTTGGAGCAACTCTTGGAATATAAATTTGTAGATTATTATTAGTTTCGCAATAGAGTGAGTCCCACTACATTTAGTACTTGGTTTTTTAGTACATCAAGGTCTTAATAGAACCTCATCACTTTAATGTCTACTCGTAAGTACAACCTTACTTGGTTTTAAAAGCTAGTTCAAATCCACTTAACATTTAAGTTAATGTAGCCAACTTACTTGATTTAACTGCTGTCCTCATGTCCCTACTCTCACCCACCCTCAAGTTAAGGGGTTAAAGCAAAACGAGTCTTTCAAAAATTCACATTCACTTTCACTAAAGACTGAGCAAATTGAAAGTTTTAAACTATTACAAAAATTCACAGAAAAATCTTTATTTTGCTCTATGAAACTCAAGCTCAAAAATCAATGGCATAAAAAAGTAGGGAGAACTTTTTTCCTCTGAAAAGCCAAACCAAAAGTCCCATCATCCAAGAGTTTCTGTAAAGTATAAAAGTTTGACTTTTGTCTGATATATATTTAAAAATTAATTTATCTGATTAATTTCGTCTGATATATATTTAAATTAATCCACTTTTAAAATTAAAAACCAGGGTCAAATACAGTATATTCTGGTAAATATACTTCAGTTCCTTAATATGACCAGTTCAAGAAAAGGGAGAAGACTCATAAATGAGTAATTAAACTTCTTTAGTAACATCCAGAAATTCACATTACCACAGCCTCCCCAAAAGATTATCTAACTGAAATACAATTCAACGAGTCTTATCAAAGAGTTTAAAAAAAGTAGGCACAATATTGCCTCCCCATCTCCTGCTTCCATTTTTCTCAGGCCTTCAGTAAGAAGAGCAAGATAAAACCTTATCAAACTTTCAAAGCATCCTTAAAACTAAAGCAAATCACAAACATTTAAGCTTTAAGGCAATCCTCTGAGGGCAGTCAACTTACATAAAATAGCAACCAACTCCATTTTTAAAAAACTTTATAATAATATAAAGTAAACCAATGAATGAATCTTTTTTAAAACCAGAAGTTATAGATTCCCAGTGTTATCTATGAAACTATCACCACCTTTCCATGTCAAAAGTCACCAGACAGACCAGACCCATGTGGTTCCATACTTTTATAACCTCATTGTTCTGTATTTCTTTCATCCCACACACATTCATGGCACCAAGCATAAGGCAGGCACAATCTGGAATGAGGTGCTCATGACACAATCAAGTTAACTCCATTCCTCAGCCTTGAACACTAGGCAGACCAACCAGACAGATAATCCAATCAGAGAAGACAACTCAAACAAAAAAGAAAAAAATGTATGACAGCACACACATTCCAGAAACTGTAGCTATTTTTGTTCAATAGGTTGCAGTTCGCAGGAGAGGAAATGCGAGAAATGAATGCTAGGTTTAAATAATGATGAAGGCCATAAAAGGATTTTAGCAAGCTAAGCATAGGACACTAGCAGAACTGTGTGGATAGTCTGCAGGAAGGGTAAAACTGGTATATATCTATACTCCAGGAAAATGTATAGATATATACCAGTGCTTATCCTAAGGTAGTAAGGGATTTTAGCGTGGATATGTGTCATCGAAATCAATATCCAAATTAGAATTCCAAAAGTTTAACATCATTTTAGTTTGCTGCATGCTGAAAGTTAGGAAAGGAGGAGAGGAATTTGCTTTGGGACATTATAATGCTGAGGTATACCTGCTGAGCATTAGGGTTGATACCCCAAGTGTGAGAATACTGATACAGGTATAGGTTCAGAAATCGTTTACAAGGTGGTAACTGAAATTGATGTGAGACTAAGCATGTATTTTCTGTGGTTCTAACAACAACAACAACAACAACAAATACCCACAAATCACTCCCTTATTCATAATTCCTCCACTTACACTCTAGCACAAAAAGGTCGAAGAACCCCCAACTTTTAAGAATTCCTTCAAGCCCTAACCGATTTGGCTCAGTGGATAGAGCTTCAGCCTGTGGACTGAGGGTCCCAGGTTCCATTTCAGGGTATGCAGGAGCATCTGATCAATGCTTCTCATTTATCGATGTTTCTAACTCTCTCTCTCCTTTCCTCTCTGCTTAAAAAAATCAATAAAATATATTAAATAAAAAAGAATTCCTTCAGTAGATTTGACTATACAGCCATACTATTGAAAAGTCAATGAAATTATTTTTAGTGGCACTTGATGTAGTGATAACAATTAAGACATTTCCTTAACAAGAAAACTTTTTCATTAAAAAATACTTACTTGCAAAACCATATTCAATTGCCATTTGAAATATCTTTCAAGCAAGGAATGCAAAATGCCAACCCAAATTAAGTGGCCAAAATCCCACCAATTTAAAGCTAAATAAAACCTGGAATGTTTTGGCTTGGGGGGAAGGGGGTTAGAAAAAA